TCACCGAATTTTGTGATTCTGTGGCTTCGTAAAAGGTAAAAAAAAAAAAAACATTCACGTGAGATCCGATGTCCAGTGAACAATAGTTGTGGCGGTTTTTATAGGCTTCTACATACGTATATGTATGAAAAAGGGAATAACTCATTGATTGCACTACAATATTCGACCATGTCTACTAACTTAGAGGTTTTCATTACTTTATTTTTTTACCTTTTTCAATAAATAAACAAACGTGATACTCCATAAGAGTAGAATATACTCAAATACAAACATGGAGCTCTGTGCTAAAAAATTCCCAGTCTAAAATCGAAAAAAATTTACAATAATAAAATTTATGTAACAAAATTCAATCGAAATTAAATTGATAAAAATAATTGTCCAAAAATATTTAACTTTTCCAAAGTATATTACAATTTGCACTGTTGAATAATTTTTTCGATAAAATAAAAAAACAATATCTGATAAATAGTAAGATAATATGATGATATTTAATAAGATAAAAAGTGATAAAGGAAAATTTTACACTTCATTCGATATCAATAATAATGTAATCAATTTTAGGGAACTGAATGATCAAAGGACTTTGGACCAATTACATAAGCTTTCTCAGATGTTGATCGATATGGTATAATCATCATACTTGTTGATTTGCAGCATGTGCATTTATTTCTATGTGAAGCATGACCACATGGTCATAGGTAAATAAGACATACATAAGGATATATACTACGTACGCTTATGTAGATACACCATGAACAGTGTTCCCCTAATAGGTATATAATCACTATGCATACGGTACTGTATATATCCACACAAGACGTTCACCAATATTTGACTACAGAATACCTGCTACATACTAATGTGTGAATGTAATCTTCCCGTACGTTTGCTTATATTTACTCCCTTAGCACATCCACTTTTTACTTTAAAACCATATTACATTTACATGATTTGTTTCTCTATCAATGTCATTTGACGAAACAGAACCTATTACACATGTAAACGTATCCAAAATTGTTTTCTCGATAATTTAATTGAAATGGTCAATCTACCACATTGTTGTAAAAAAAAAAAAAAATTTCCAAGCTGAATTCACAGTTACACAGAAAAATCAAATAAAAGGATTGCATCACGCATGAACTTGGTTAAAATATAACTGTGCACTTTCCACCCTTTTGTATGTTTCTATACACCGAGTAGAAATTGCAATCTGCAAATATCTACCAGTTTTCGTGGGTAAAGGGTCATCTACCTTCCGAGGATTCAATTCACTGCCACTCAATCAGTCAATGTAACGTCCAACATAGATTTACAAGCTCATGCATACATACATGCATGTATGTGAATCTATATATTTACTGTGTATTTACTTCACAAACGTACACCTGTTGTTTTATTACGCGCTGAAAGCTCTGGTGTTACTCTTCACACCCTCTTCTTTTGTACCCAAGTATTGGTTTATTTCAGTATTGTAATATGGCAGGAAACAATACGTATTTTTTTTTATAGAATGAAAGAAATTGAGTGCCCTCAACATAGTTTATATTTCACCATACATTTGTATTGTTCAAAATAAAAAAACAGCTTGGAAAGAAATCTAACAATTTAAATATAAATGTAATAAACTTTTCTAGTAGACTAATACATGTCTACATAGCAAGTTGCAAATTACTTGTATATAAGATAAAATATGGATATTGTAAAAAGAGTCGGATATGTATTCAAAAGGTTTTGGGACGACGACGATGACGACGAAAGTACCTACTTCCTATGCTAATTGACACAATTAGCATAGGAACGTAGGAAAGCCGCGTAAGTTCACGGTTCGTTTCATCATAAATTCGTCGATATTTCGGTTAGTTATGACTACGAAGCTAGTGAGAAGTTAGTTTCTGGTTTACAATGTGCAAAATCTACATTCAAGCACATTCGCGTATGTCATTTTGGCATATCTTCGGACAGCGAATTAACATAAAAGGGAAAGGTCAATATCATAAACAACTCTACGCTCCAAATGGGGTGCAAATCTTAACAATAAATTTATTGATATATTGAGCAGGGGTTACTTACTGAATATAGTATTAGACAAATAATGCATAGTAGAATAACGCATACGCTCATTGTAATAGCTTTATAAAGTTTCTTGCGACTAATGGTAGAAATTTTTTCTTCATCTCTTGACAAAAAAATTTCAACTATCACCAAAACCATGTATTAATTAACTTTAAAATATTTTATTAAAGCATTTTAAAATCAAAGGCAATGTTAAAAATTTGATAAATTTAAGAAAAACACTAGATAAAAATAAAAAGAAATGACAGACATGAGTTTGAAGTTCATTCCTCTCATCTAAATATCAAGTGATATTGTATTTCTAAAAGCTGCAACTAAACACGAATTATCTTGTTCTTGATAAAATGATACTTCACACCTTTTGATTCTCTACACCAATGATTCTTACAAAAAGGATTCGAGCTTAAGAAACTCGAGTCCAATGTATTACATACAAAGTACATAGAAACACGTTTATCCTTCATGATGATACTTGAAAAATAAATTACTTATTTCACTGCATACAAACACACACTAATTAAAAAAACTTGACCTCACATGTATTTACCAAATAACAGAGAATACCATGAATGTACAGCCGTCAAGCCTATAATCAATCAGCGGACATCTTCAATAGGCGATGCAATTACCAAATTCTAGATATCGTCACGTTGGCACGTGTAGGAAATAGTCGGTATGCTCGCTGCACATACACTGCATCCATTCAAACCCTGTAGGGCATATGTGCATTCGATGAGGCATCACTGCATAGAATAGTTGCAAGATATAGTTCAATCACTCTGTGTCTCACATCGACATGTACATATGTACATACTATGTACATAGAACCCTATTGGAACCGTGTAACAAAAATATATTAATCAACTTCCCATCAATTTATTTTGTATATAATTAATGACAAATATATTTTCATCCATTTTGTTACTTTAAAATCATACTTGTGACATTGAAATTTATCAAAAATATTTCATGCTCTTCATGATATAATTTTCAATTAATTTTAGAAAATTTAATATCAATTATTAATCGTTAATCGTCAACAATAGTCATTTTTCAATGGGAAGTAAAATATTTTCATGGGAATAATATTGAAAATAAATTAATTTGTGATAAAAAATAATTGACTTCAAAAATTCACTTTATGATTTTATTAATAGATGGATGATTTGATTTCAAGTAGTAATAGGGTAGTTTTGATTATAATTAATATTTTAAAAGAATTACGGTATACCGTAGGAATACGTGATCATACAAGGCCATATTTCATTTCTAGTCGGAGACATGACAGGATAATAGGAGTTTCAAATTCAACAGAATATATAGAAGAAAAAAAGAAATGAAGCAAAGCATAACAAATCAAAATCCTAAATCAATTTCAATGTTTACCTTCTCATAGACGTCATAGTCAGTTGTGGAGAGATTACGTAAATTTAACTGCACAACTTGCAAAATCTAATATAGTTCAACAGCAATGATACATTAGTGAATTAACGTACTCGCCAGTCGTGCATTACTAGTATAGTACCGAATGATGAGATATATTTGCATGACATTATATTTGTAATCCCGTACACTCAATCTCTTACTGTCTCTCTCATTCCCTCTCTATTGAGAGCACTAATTATACGCGCAGCAGCACTATCGAGAATCCTCTCTTGTCCAGGTGATAATTGTATTACCATCCTATCAGCGTGATTGCCATTCCTGAATGTGTTCGTCAATAGCTAGCTTATTTGAATAAGTGTGTATTGCTGTATAGTTAGAAGCTCTTAGCATATTCAGTCAAATAGATTTTCGTCTTTTATCTGAATCAGTGATCGTCTCTATTTGATAAATATTCTGCAATTTTAATATTCAAATTTAAACTTATCTTTTTATCGATATTCAACTATCACAAAATAGTAATAAATAAAAAACAAGACGTCATTAAAAACAAGATTTAAATTTATTTATTCTTCTTTGAAAAATATATAGTTCGATATACCTAAATTTTCCTAGTTTAGAGAAAATTGTTGTAAAAAAATAATTAAAGTTAGTTATAAAAAATTCAAGGAATTTCAGCTTGGTCTTGAGCTTCGAACGACTTGTGATGATTTTTCAAACATTAAGAAGCAATTCGCTAATTATTAATAATTTGTTTCAACGTAAAAAATAGTCTAGGGATAGGCTCCAAAGCAGATAAAGAATTAAGATTTTTTCTAAAGGTTCTAAAGCTTTAAACTGCTTTTAATTTTTTTTTTGAGAATTAAAAAATAATTTATGATTTAATTTCCAATAAAAAAATCCTCATAACATAATTTATTCTTTTTTGTTTAGTAAAATTCAATTAAATGACTCTAAGTTTTATTATGTATTGTTTTAATAAAAATGGTAAGATTAATCTTGTTGATTTTTAATAATAAACATTGGATTGAAATCTTTTATTCCTGGATTATCTGCATACGATAAAAATGACTCAGATCATAACGCGCATCCAACTTATTACATACACTGATGAGGAAATTCTAAAGTTTATTTATTAATAAGTCACGGGAAGTACTGATAAAATAATCAATATAATTGATGTAATTGGTTCTATTGATTAGTCATCCCTCATATCGTTGAAGTCATTGGTAGAAAGTGTTCCCGCGTTTCATCAATTATCAGCCTAGTATCTCCATCTATCAGCTTAGCATTGTTTTAAACCCAAACAATGGATTGTAAAATGTATTTTATTATTTTTTTACGACAGTATTATCATATGTTACTTAAGCTAACAATTGTCAAAATTATCTGAAATTTTTGAAATAATTAACACACAATTTTTTACTACTTAAAAAAATATTTTAAAATAAATATGACAGATGACATGCGCAAAATGAACGCAGCCTTTACGAGAGTGACCCCTACTACAGTGTCGGGAACACTCACCAATCAGTTTAGTCGGAAGTAGTCCGAGGTACAAGACAGTTGTGAATTTTTTTTTGTGTTGTCTTTCACATTTGTGTTTTTCATCTCAATGTTAGCGCCAAAAGTATAAGAAAAGAAGAAATATCCGTGTGGAGCAAACATACGTAGTGGAGTTAGATGTGAAGTTTAGTGAAGAACGTCGATGTGTCATAATCCTTTGTTTTAATACTTTTATACCACAGTTTATATTGTTGTATAAAAAAATAAATATACGTATAATAGGTAAACAAAAAGTTTCGTTATTATTATCGTAAGTAGAAAAAGTTTTAATTTTTTTTTTTTAAATGTTGATAATTATAGTAGTAAATCATCCGTGAATTTTTTTCATGACCTTCGACATTTTGTCACTAAAAAATGGTTCTTAAAAAATTTACTCTATTTTTTAAACTTGCGGTTTTCTTTGTTCGCTCTTAAATTTAAAACTATATTTTTTTTTCACAAATTATTATTTTATTTATAAGTAATCAATGTCTTTCTTACATTCATAATGAAATAAATATATATTTACAGGTATTATAGAAAATAATCGAAATGGATCATTTGTACCAAAAAGTTATCGAAAAATTGCAGTCACAAATTATAGATGATGTTAATGTCGATTGCGGTGTCATGGATCGTTTAAAAAAAGATAATATTTTAAGTTATGATGAAGTTGATCTTATCAGTCGTCAAAAGTCGAGAGAAGCAAAAATAAAACTATTACTAAAAATATTATTCAAGTAAATAATTTATCTTTAAGTTGAAAAATTTGTCACCGTAATTTCGATAATAATTTATTATATATTTTTAGCTGTGGTCCATATGCATTAAAATCATTTCACGAATCTTTGGAAATGGCCTACGAGTGGTTATATTCATCCATTACAACCGAATTAAAAAAAAATAAAGAAACATTTCATGATACATTCATGTATGATACAACAGATTCATATAGATCTTCAATCATGCCAATGCCTCCAGAATTGAATGTCGATCGAAAAAAAAAAGTAATCAAGGCTGTTCAAATTTTTTATAATTAATCATTCAAAAAATTCAAATAATTCTTAATTATTCTATCTTTACTTTTGTTTTACAGATTGAAGAATTAACAAATGCACTAAAGGAGTTATCACCAGAAAAATATGTAGTCTTACATGGAATGAAAGGATATGGAAAATCTTGTTTAGCCAGCATGACCTTAAGAAACTCACCAAATATTCGAAAACATTTTAAAGTAAGAAATTAATTCAAGTTCTAGCTTTCATTACTATTTATAATTGAATAATTAATGAAATCATTTTAGGATATTTGGTGGATGAATTTTGGATGTAAAGAATCTCTTGAAAATTTGATTCAAACACGGTTGTATAGTTTATACCATAAAATCATAACTTCAAATTGTCTTCATAGTATTTTAAATTCACAAGAAGCAATAACAAAAATACAAATCGATGACGTACGTCGTGAACTCAAAAAACATTTTGAGGATTGTTCTATGCATATGAATTCATTATTAGTTCTGGATGATGTTTCAGACAAAAGGATTATTGAAACATTTGATTTTCACTGTAAAATATTAGTATTAACGACTGACGTTGAAGTATTAGATAATCATAGTCACGACGGGTCAATCAAAAATAGACAAAAAAAAATAATCAAAATGCATGATGGTTTTACTGAAGAAGAAAGTTTGCAATTATTTGCAAATGCTTTGAATACAGAAAAAGAAGCATTACCAGCTGAAGCCAAAATAATACATCATGATTGTGGAGGAATGCCTATTTTAATAGCTATGTTTGCTGCTCAATTTCAAGAATTTGGTGATGATATGAAAAAAAATCGTGACCGTTGGCAGTATTATATTGAAGCAATACGGAATAAAGATGTTTCTACAAAAATAGTTGAGAAGTCAATAGCTAAACAAACAGCAATATTTGATATGTGCATAAAACAATTATCTGTGGAAGAAAAATCAAGATATTTTAATTTAGCAATTTTTAGTGAAGATGTAAATATTACTCCTAAAACATTATCCATTTTGTGGGATGATAAAATTCTTAGAGTTGATGAATTTATGGTAAATTTACGTAAAAAATCTCTTGTCTTTAAATGGTGGAACGAAGAATTAGATACGTATATTTATGGTGTACATGAATTATTATTATCTCATTTGAGAAAATTAAATAAATCTAATTTGGTAGAAATGCACAAAGAATTTGTGTTAAAGTATTTTAATCATTGTAATAATGATCTGTCACAACTGCCAACTGATAATTATAGTTACTCGTACATAGGACATCATTTAGAAGAAGCTCAAATGTATGATGAATTCAAAAAAGTTTATTTGGATTTTAAATTTATCCAAGCTAAAATATGCAATAGTGGAGTAAATGACTTGTTACTTGATTTAAAAAAGTATAGACGTTATATTAAAATGAGTAACAATCCTGCACAAGAAGAAGAAATTGAAAATAAAATAATTGATTTAGAAAATTTTCTAAAAACATACGCGAAAACAGTTGCTGAATATCGAAACAGAGGTTGTCTTGATCTCATTCAAATGGCTTTAAGTTCCAACACTAATCGAGGATTTGTGTATGAAACAGCTAAAAGTTTAGCCAGCTCTAAAGCAAAAGAATATTTATATTTATTGAACAATTATAAACCACTAGATGATCATATGATACCTCAAGTTCATCATGAAGAGTATCAGGAACCAAGAAGTACTGAAGTATGTACAATTCATTTCACAGATGATCCAGATAAAATAATAATTGGAGGAAAATCAGGAAAATTAACTCGATGGGATTTCAGTGAAGCAAGAAGACATATCTTCTTTGATGGATTTGATCCAAAATCAATTATTACTAAAGTCGTTGTATCACATAATGGCAAGTTCTTTATTGCACTAAATAAACAATCAATAATTAAACTATTTAATTTATCGGATATTGAAGAGATTGAAGATGCCTGTAAGAAAATATATCCATCAGAAAGATTACCAATACCAAGTACCCCTATAGAAAAGCAAGTTTTTTGGACCAGGAGAAATAACGGTGAAGTAGAAGACATGAGTCTGGCAACTTTAACTATGGATAGAGGCCTAGATATCTGTGATATTACTCTTAGTTTCGATGATCAAACAATTGCTGCGTGTACAATGACTGGAGTCATCAAAGTCTGGAATATACTTTACGAGAAGAAAGAAATAAAAATTACTGAAATAAAAATTGAAAATGTACATGAAGATAAACCCCAGCAACAACTATTAGCTTTTTCCATAGAGGGTCATCGTCTTAGTAGAGTTAATAAACATGGTGATATTTATGTATTTGTTTTGCGTAATAACGAATTCCGTTATACAACTTATATTAATCCATTGAACCAAAATGAAGATCTACAAGAAAAGCTTATATATTTCAAAGAAATAAAAAAAAATAATATTCACGAAGATGAAAAGGAGAAAGATGTAATGAATTATATTCTTGTAACAGGTACTACAGTAATACATGGTACTTTCGCAACTGGTTTTGCGAATCCTCGTAAACGAATTCTTACTACAACCAATAAGAATACCAAATTCACTGCTGCTACCCTAACACATGATGAACAGTATTTAATAACTGCAGATAATGAGGATTTAATAAAGATATGGAATATTGATAATTCAAACAACGAACCAGAAAAGATTTACAAAGAACGTGCTACTGTATTAGATACATATTATGATGATTATCACATAATTGCATGGGGTAATAAAAGTTATATTCAAAAAATGATTTTTCAACCTCACGTTTCAAAAACTCCACAAGTAGTCACTTCAATTTTTGATGCAGTAATACATCCAATAGGTAATGAGAATGAAGAAAAAGATGAAGATGTTGTCATTCAAGACATCGATAGGAAAAAGATAAAGTTATCCATCTTTAAAGATATGATTGATGCTCGGGGAAAAATACTTCAGTTGATGTTAAATTCTAAGGGTGATAAAATTTTCTATGTTGAGATGTACTTAGGAAAAAGGCTTTGCCGTTATAACATAGAGAATTATGAACAAATCGTAATTTTAGTACTGCCTCCTGATAGTGACTTCATGAAATTTATTGAATATGAAGATCAGTTTTCTAATAAGCACGTTGTCATTGCATGGAAAGGGAATGCGATAACAAATGATAAATTTAACCCGAAAAAAAATTTATGGCTGATGAATTGTGACAATACAATCATATATGGTTTCATTGAAGATGTAGGTGAAGTAGTAGCATTTCAGAAAATGAATGATAAATATGCTATTGCGATAAGTGAAGATGAAAAATTTATAGTTTGGAAAATGATAAACCATGACATTCCAGAGACACGTAAACAAGAATTAATTTGTGAACATTTTGAAAACTTCAAATCAGAATCAAAGATTTGCTTTAGTACTTCAAGTTCAGATGGTAGTATGTTGGCAGTTTTAAAAGCCAACTCATGTTTTCATTTATATACTATCCAATATGATGTTCAAAAGGATGATAATCCGAATGAAACTTGTACTAAAATCGAATTGTATTTTAAAGGATATGATCCTCATCATAATTTAATCTCATGTGCATTTTCACCAGATAACAAATATCTAGCAATTGGAACATCCACCGGAGAAGTTTTGGTAAGTTTACTAAAAATTCATTTTTTTCTATTATAACAATATATTTTTCAAATTTATTAAACCAAACATTTTATTTTCAGTTGTTTAATATGATGTCAAAAGAATGTGCCATTCAAGGCATATGTATTCTTCATAAAAGTCCAATTTTACAGTTACATTGGGCACCTAGTAATATAGGTGTACCAATTCTTCTTTCTATCAACTGTGATGAACTAGCCTGGTGGAAAGCTGATTTAATAATCAATAAAGCAAATGAAAAGAAGCGACGGAGTCGAATGGGAATGACAAGAAGTGCTACTATACCACCATCAAGTTCAAGTGGAAGCTTAAAGAGTTTATCTTTAGATCTTTTACCTAATTTTAGAGATATAGACAGTCCAGATGGAACCATGAATGTAAGTCTCGAGGAAAATAGCAATAATCATGACAGTATTGATAAGAAGGCTTATGAGTTTTGGTCGTCGAAAAAAGTTCTGTATGATAATAAATGGCCAGGGTTATTGGGATTAGTTCAATTGCATCCTCATGGTCGAGGAGCAAAAATATGTGTCTCGAGTGATTTTAGAAAATTTCTTTCAGTAGACACACAAGGCTCGATTAATAAATTAACATTATTTCAATTTCAATAATGAATTAATTCAATGACTGATGTCAACGTTATTGTTTTGTGGTAATTATTTAAAATCAGGCTTTATGGTACACGCAATTATGCCATAAATCTGTTAAAATGAATTGATAATTTTAAAAAAAAATGCCATATCGAAAGAAAAGAAATTTTGAATCAGTGATAAAATACATGCGATGGGATAAGTGCAAAATTTTTAAAAATAAAAATCGAATATTTTGTATGTTGAATATATATGCAATTTATATAGTATATTTTGTACCAAGGGAAGAAAAGTAGGTTGACTTAACCACAAAATTACAACGTAAACCGAAAGTGATGACCTAATTATCTTCCTAAAACTCGTGTACAATTTTGCATCATGCCTACGTGAAAAGTTCTGTGAGAAAAATTGAACCTTTCGCTAAGGTATAATGAAAAGTACTATTTAGCTTAAGAATATTAACTTATTTTAGTAATAATTCTATGTTTTAAATGAATCAATAATTATTGGGCATAAAATTTTCAAAATTAACTATTTTTTTTTTTAATTAGTAAGAAATTATTCTTTTATCAAATTAATTTTTTATAATCGAAAAGAATATAGAGAATATGCCAAACACTTTTTTTGGTGCTTTCTTATGGTGCACAAACAATAGTGCAAAATATAATTAAATACCTTATTTTAAATAATTACCGTTTTCAGATACATAGTTCATAAATACACAAACATTTTTGTATGCATTTACTCGATAAGACTCGAATTTTTTTATATTTATACTTGCATTTATTTTTATATAAATTCGTGATTATTCTGCATTTAAAAAAAATCAAACTTACACAAAAACAAAGTCATTTAAATCAATTTTTGTACTCTTATATACATATATTCATATAACCAGTGCCTAAACTATTGTTATCAAAATTAACTTTAAAAAAAAATTATAAAATTTCAAGTAATTAAATATTACTTTTTTATCAAAAAAAAACAGTCTTAATTTATTTCTTTAATTCAATCAACCTTCATAAATTACATTTAAAATTTTTTGCTATCAAAAAAGCAATATAAAAAAATGAAAAGAATGCAAAAAAAGAAACAAACCTGACAACTACATAATTACGACAAGGAAATTATTGTGTATAAATAGAGTACTGTGAGCAACATGTGTTGCGGAACAGTCATCATCTAACTAAAATAAAAGCACGAGGCGGAATTTGGCACTAGTAAATCATTGCTACATTTATTTTTGATTAATAGGTCAATGTTGATATAAATTGAAGGACACGTTTAATTCACTTTTATAAGATATAATACTAACAGTTCAAAATTTAAAAACAACAATCATTGTTAATTACTATCAATTAAAAATTTATTAACATTGTAAACAATAATTAATTCAAAAATAATATTGCAGAATTTATTAAATATTTCTACCAGAATTTCAATACAATTTTCGCTAATCATCAATTCTTAGAGAACCGAGAAATTGCATTAAAATCTAACGTAATTTTCCCAGATTTGATGATAATGATTTTCTTATCTCTTATCAAAGTTTTCTTTGTTTCTAAATGAATAGTAAATAATACAAAAAGTGAGACACCTAGCGGGAAGTAAGACAAATTCCTGTATGTATCGTACCTGTAGAGATACAGAGTGAGAGCGTAAATAGCAAAGCTAAAGCGGAAGAAAATAAAATAATGCACGCTTACACTTCGTACTGTTACGCACGATTACGTAGGATACAGTAGCGATTGCGGCGATACATAACATTCAAGTAAATATATCAAGACGCAGACGTACTGTTCCTAGCAGCAGTGACATTGACCATTTTCTAGTCAAAGCAGTGTGCTAAAGCTCAAAAAAATGTCGCTTATTTACAAAAATTCTATGAAAACTATTGGTAAATTTGTACCTGAAAAATTACAGCCACTGTGGAATCATCCGGCTGGTAAGTAAATTGTTATTTCTAAAAAAATTAATCATTAAATAATGCTTGTAAGTTATTATTCATACACGTAGTTCATCAACAAGATTAATAACCTAAGTTCATATTTTTCCTGCTGATAGTGATAGAATATGATTTATACTTATTATATTATGTGAAATAAAAATAATATCTTTAATACATTCCACATAATTAAATGTATTTTCTTCATCTGGAATATTAATAAAAATAATTAAATTAGGTCAAGGTTACACCACTGTAGCTTTATGTCACTATACTATTTAAATTATGTTATTTATTGATTAATTCACTTTTAAATATATTCTTATTATTTTCATTTCATTTAATTATCATCATAGTCTTTATCATTGATGTTGTTATTATTATTTTTTTTGTTATTATGGTTTTGTAATCATTTGAACCGGTTTCAGGTCCGCAGACAATATTTTTTTGGGCGCCAGCATTCAAATGGGTAATGAATAAATTAATTATTTATACATTATTTATCATAACTGACTTTCTTTTTCATTAATGAATAAAAATAATAACAACAATTAATTACATAAAATTATTATTTCAAAATTACTTCAACTATTGTTGGCTATCTATTATTTATATCAGCAATTCATTGAAAAAATCTATTTTTTTTTCGTTTTATACTTTTTTTACAAAGCAATTGAATATTTAAATAAACTTAAGAATATATGATAATTAAGTTACTGATAAAATGTGTAAAATTTTGCATGAGTTAATTTTAAAAGAAAAATAAATTCTTAGATAAACACATGTTACTAAATTATAAATCTAATTTTAAATTATAACAATTTCAGGGTCTCGTGATTGCTGGTCTTGGAGATTTACAACGACCTGCTGATAAAATATCTATCAGTCAATCAAGTGCACTTGGAATAACTGGAGTAATCTGGACACGATATTCAATGGCTATAACACCAAAAAATTGGAGCTTATTCAGTGTTAATCTCTTTGTAGCGTTCACTGCACTCTATCAAGTTGCCAGAGCTATCAAGTAAGTATTTAAATATTCAAATATAAATATTTATCAATTAATATCAATATTTTATTGCAGATATCAAAGGGAACAAGCGAGTTTAGTCGGAAGTAGTGGAGTAACAACACATTTCAAGCGATTAATGATAATATTGATATAATGATGATAATAATGATAATAATAGCAATGAACGGACATTCCTCTACTTATAGTTAATACAAGTATAGAAAAATAGGTATATTTGTAAAAAATAGTGTCAATTAAAATAATTATTATAGTTTATATGATAAATTGATATTTTAAAATCTGTGATACATTATTATTATTATCGTTATCATTATTATTGACAATCTAATAGATAATATTTCAATTAAAAATCATATATCTTCGAAATAAGATACATTTGACTCAAATCGAAATCTCTATAACCAAAGAATTTAATATTCTTTATAATGCTCATATAAAAATTATACTTCCAATTTTATCAATGTAAAAAAGGGAAATATGTAAAATATTTAGCTGAAATAATTCAACTAAAAAAGAAATGTTCGATCTGATGTTACATAAAATTTTCAATAAATCGATAAAATTCATAAAAAATATTTGTAGTAATCACATTACATACATCTAAATATTTTCTTATCTTATCCATGAGTAAAATGACCAAATTAATTTTTTAAAAAAAGTCTAAAATCCCGGATATTTGATAAATACTGTCTACAACGACATAACTGTACTTTTACCTAACAATCTACATTATCTGGCCAACTTTTATACATGTAGAGAATCCAATAGTCGTGTTATCCTTCACATTAGTTACCAGCAGACCTTGCAACTAATGCCGACTGAGTGCTGACTAGTTATTGTAGGTCATCCTGGTCGTCTGCTAGACTTATATTGTTGTACGTATATGATCGTGCAGCAGTCTGCTGGCTAATCGTTGCTGACAGCAGTAGTTGGTAGTCGTGTTCCACAGTGTTTATTATACAGACAATTATTTTTGCAATACGCAAATAGTACGAAATACGTGTGATATTTTACATGTTTTCCTATACTTGTCATTATCATCACAACCCAAAACGTGTTGGAGACTTTTTAGATCATTTTAGTGTGCATAATTGGTTATAATATAATTAATATATAATCATATAATTGCATTATAACTAATCATATATTTCTTAATAGTGAGCAATATCAGTTTAATTCAATTTTCTCATTCGCACAAATAAATCATTTATATTTATACGGTAATTATTCTACTACGTTCAATATATTACGTATATAGGTTTTCAAATTGATTAATTGATAAAAAAAAAAATTCAATAATAATCTAATGCCTGATAAAATTCAGTAAACGATGATTTAGTGAAATTTGTACTACTTATTTTTTTCGTCCTACTTATTTTTACTTAAAATGTGTATATATACAGATTTACTAGTTTTATATGTTACTTAAAAATTCATGGTGTATATTAATGTATATATGATGAAGATCAGCATATTTAGAAAGTTTCTGTTATAATTTTTCAGTTCAAGTATCGCTGATACTAATAATAATACACAATGTCTAAAGTTGAAGTAAGTGCAGTTGGTGATGTTTATAATGATAATAAAGGGATAGAGGAAGAAGAAGATGATGATGAAGTGGTAAGAGTTATTAACAGTATTGTTTAAAAAAATAATAATCAACTATTATCTATCGTGAACTTTTCTTTTTTATATTTGTATGGTATCTTTCTTTGTAATATTCTTATAAATTTATTATAAAGGTATTACATAAAAAAATTTTATGTAATACGTTTTTTTCGATTAAAATTAATTAAATCTTACTTGAATGAAACTATTTACGTTTTAATGAGATTTTTTATGATTATAGTTTGAAGATGCTCAAGATATTAGTCCTAGCCTGATATTATCACCCCAAGAATTACGGCCTGATAACATTAGGTAAGTATATTTTAGGAGATTAATATTAAAATAATAAATATCACTGAGAAAAAGATTTATTTATAGTGAAGAGAGTTTATGAATTATTAAAAAATATTTCTTATTTTTATTCAAAAATGACTTTATGGATAAATAAGAGTTTTTTTTATGAATTTATCTTGTGTCATATGCGAAAAAAATTATGGAAAGCAGATATATGACATTGTGAATAATGTTTGAGTTTAAAAAATTAATAAATGGTAATTTATTTATTGTTTTTTTTTGACATCAGTTTAAATAAATTGTTCAATAAAGTCATTTAAATAAAATTCTCGGAATAAAATTAATTTAATACAAAAAAAAAAAATTAATTTTAACGCATAAAATCTTTCTCGAATGTCCAAGAACTTGTCAGTCATATGATTATCCAATTTCTAAAATTAATCAATTGGATCAGTTTGACAAAAATAAAACGATCGTTTTCTCAATATGCTAGTCTCATAAGAAATATTTATTCACTAATACGATTATAATTATTGTCATTTATATTTAAGTCCTACGTACCGAATGGACCTGAGAACGGCTATAAATGAAGCTAAGACAGCCTCACATTATTTCTTTAATAATGAATATGGTCGAGCAAAAAAAATACTAGAGCCATGGGCAGAGAGTAGCATGTATCACTCACTAGGAAATAGTGTTTTCGCATGTCTCGAAGCTTTTTTAACTTTTGAACAGGTAAGCAGCATCCATCAGTAATGGACACAATCAAAATAATATAATAGAGTATTCTTTATTCCAAATGATAACTTCAGCACTCATGTCTATATTACTTCTTCAATTACTCATGCTTAAAAAAATTTTCTTATGAGTAATTAACTAGTGCTTCATAAATATTTTTTCATTTATTTACGCTATTATTATTACAATTGAATTTCTCCTAGACTGCATCTATTCTTTACATTACATTACTTTCTACCAAGTTTCCATTAAGATAAATAAAACAAACATTAAAATCATTCTTAGAACATAACATTCAAATTGGAAAGTTTGTATTCAATTTTCACTTTTCATCTTAATTCATAATAAAAATTTATACAAAAACCATCTGTGCATGGTAATAAAAACAATTGAAAATAATTAACTTCAATTTTCTAATTTTCTAATCTTGCTATTTTTTTTAATATCATAATAACCAAACGTTAGTTTCGATAAAAAAACAATTAACCGTTATTTTTGTCACATCCTTTATATATAAAAAATATTGACATATGATAATGATAAGTATAAATATAAATTTAATTCATTAAAAAAATATTGAGAAAAATTATCTTTCCGTTGATATGATGAAAGCACACATGGCAAGAGTGCTGACGACTGGTTACAAACATGTAATGTCATGTCATGACAAATATTGAATGCTCAAATACGCGTTGTCAACTCGTTTAATTAGATATAATTACAATTATTATTGTTATGATTACATACAATTAGAAACACATAGAAAAAGCATCTGAGGCTCTAAGGATATGCATGAATGTTTGCTCGAAGAATCGCCGTCATATTACTCTCACACAAAACATTGGAAAGATGGTTAAAAAAACAAACTATAATACTTATACTGTCGGTAATGTATTTTTTTTAAATTTCTAAATAATTAATAATAATATTATTATTATTATCATCATCATTATAGATGGATATCGATTATATTTTTTTTTTATCACTAGACCAATTTTTATAGCAATTAATTTATTCATCGTTAGTCATTAATTTATTTATAATTGAATCGAAAGATAGTTGTTCATTGAAAAAAGCTCTATGTATAATGCAAAAACCTTTGCATGATTTAGTAATAGTCATAGAACAGTTTACTTAGTTGATATTATTCTCATATGTTGATGTACAACGAGCAGCAGAAATAGTGTAGAGAATAAATATTAAAATTTAAAAAAAAATAACGTAAAAATAATTGAATAAAAAAAAATAATGTATATTATAACTATTACAGAGGAAGTACATGCAGAATTGTGTTATGCTGAGTCACTTTTGTTAAAAGCTATACTGACTTTTGTGGAAGATGAGACTCTAGTCAGCTTTGTAAAAGCTGGATTAAAAATCCGTACCTGCTACCTGATGTATAAGTAAATAGTTATTCATATTTTTTATCATAAAATAATCATAAATCTTCAACATATGTTTACATGATTACTATAATTAACATAATTGGAAAAAAAATCTAATCTAATTTGTATTTGTTTTTTTTTTAAATTTTAGAGAATGCTTGCTTATCCTTAAATCTCGAAAGTGGGAAAATGAAACAGATCGAGTACATTTTGAGAGTGGAGTACGCATGGGAATAGGGACATTTAATTTGGTAAATATTATCATTCAAAAAATCGATTTGTATAAATAAATAATAATTATGTCAACTATTATAAAATTTATTTGTTTTTATAAATATTTAATTACAGATGATATCATTGCTACCAGGTCGTGTTATAAAATTGTTAGAATTTATTGGATTTTCTGGCGACAAGGTCAGTACTACTAAAAAGTATCTAGCAGTGGAATTATCAAGCACAATTGTACACGTAACATGTAACTGAAAAACAAATATTTTTTTTTAAAAACCGCGTTTATCTTTTATCCATACGTTAATAGCAAACTAATTATTATTGGTTGTCTCCATAATTGTAGCAATTTAATTTTTTCATAGAACTTTAACCTGATAAAAAAATACTTTTAAACATTCATCATACTCGTAAGTGCAAGACAATTATGAGTTTTTATAAAGTTCAAAATGACGTATCTAAGTTGTAATTATTAATTTATAAAGTAATCTATGTTCATGTTCTGTGCAATTAGTTATTTAATTTTAATTATTAACAAAAATTTGATGATATGTTTATGTTCATTCAGAACTTTGGCCTTGAAGAACTGAAAAAAGGATATGAAGATAGAAGAGGTATTCGGCACGTGTTATGTGCGATGACACTCCTTTCATATCACCTTATTACTTCATTCATCATCAGTCTAGATCGTGATGGTGATTTAGAGTGGAGTGAAAAAGCCTTACAAATTGAATTACAACACTATCCAGATGGTGTATGGTTTTTATTTTTCAAAGGAAGATTAGAATTTATTAAAGGCAATATTGAAAAGTCTGTAGAATGGTATAAAAAATCATGGAAGAGTCAAGATACATGGCCTCAATTTCATCATCTTTGCTTTTGGGAACTTATGTGGGCTAATTGTTGTCAACAAAAATGGGACGATGCTCTATTCTTTTCTAACTGCCTTGTCCAAGAATCAAACTGGTCCCGAACGATTTATTATTATCAACAAGCAGCTATAATGATGATGAAGAAAATACATGGTAATAAAGACGATGATAAGAACAATGAAGACAACAATTATGATGATATCAATAATTTAATGCTGAAAGTTCCTGCATTTAAACAACGAATAGCTGGTAAATCAGTACCAATGGAAAAATTTGTTGTTAAAAAATCAGAACGATACTTTTTACAAAATCATAATTTAATTCTTCCTATATTTGAACTGGAATTTGTTTGGAATTTATTCCGTATTGTAGGCAAAAGATCAGATCTAATAATAAATATGTTCAAAGTCATAGAAAAAGAAGAAAAACGTTTAAAAAATTTCTCATCGTAAGTTGCAGGAAATTTTTTTAAATTCCTATAAATATTTGACATTAACAATAAAAATAAATGAATATCATACATTTCATTTCAGAAATATTCCAGAAGATTACCAAACAGATAATTTAGCATTATTGTTATTGTTGAAAGGAGCATGTTTACGACAAATGAAACATTATTTGCAAGCAGAGGACTGTTTGAATCGAGTTGTGCAACTCGAAAAACAGATAAAAGAAGATATATATCTAGTTCCATACGCTATTGTTGAATTGGCGGTATTGAATCGTGACAGAGGAAATATTCATAGAGCTGTAACACTCCTAGAAGATGCTAAGTATGCAAACAAATTAATATGTTAATTTAGGCCATATTAATGACTTTATTAATTACCATAATTCACCTTTTTTTTATACCTTAGGAAAAATTACACTGGCTATTCCTTAGAGTCTCGATTACACTTTAGAATACACTCAGAATTAATGGAGCTGGAATACCAAATAAAATCAGCAGCTAAAGCTGGGAATAAGGGATCAAGTAATAAACAAATAGATCTTATTAATTCAACAAGTGAAGTTGAAACTGCAACAGAGGCTATATTTCATAATTAAATGAAAAATGTTTTTAAATTTATCTAAAATAAATTTATATTTGGTTATTTAATAAAATATCCATAATATATTGAATTAGATGTTTAAGATTGTAAATTGCATTGTTTAGCATTTAACGGTTTGTGAATTTAATTATTATTATTTATTAAAGTTCCTATTATTTTCCTATTAAAGAGTCTGTTCAATTAGGAAATATTTATTTTAAGGATACATCTGCTTTAATTTTGAGATCATTTGGCTTTAAAAGTTATTAAAGAGTTTTTAAATATTTGATGATATGATAGTAAGTTAATAAAAAGTTAAATATTTATAATATGATCGATTATAGTAGAAAAAAAAATCCTAATAAACATTTAAATATTTGTACAATACAGAAAATAAACGATTAAATTCAAATAGACGCTGACTATAGTCGATAAAAACAATACCGACTGCTCCGAACGAATAAATTCTTAGAATTATCGAGCTCACTTTTTCAATAGAAAAGTAATAGATAGACGCAACAATCGGAGGACCAAAACAATACATATATACATATATATAACAACGCTCGAAAAATTCTAGGAAAAAAGAAAATTTTTTTTTTCGAAGTAAATAGAGTAACTTCACGACATTCAACCAGTTTCTTTCTTGAACATTTTTTAAAAAAAAAACTCTAAAATTTATAATTTTATTACAATATTCGTGACATTTGTTATAATTAAATATTCATATCAATAAAAACAAAAGGAAAATAACATCAGCGCCATTTTGGTTTGGCGACAGTTTGTTTACAGTTTTTATTTAACAAGATTTTACGCAATGATTATCATTAAAATTCAATTAAAAATGACTTGTCGTATACATAAAATTACATCAAAAACCATTTAAAGTTTATTGTAACTGAATAAACTTTGAAAATATCATAAGACTAAGTCATATTTGTACGCGGCGTCACCCGGCATATTTATAGCGTAACGTTCTATCTCATATTCGCTATAAATTTTTTAAATTCAATAAAAAAAATGTGTCACTTACATTGGCGAATGCTGAAGCGTCGGTTTTTTTACGCAGCCATATTACAAATTTTCATATTCAAATTTCACTCGCACTATTAACACATTTTACACACTAATAAACACTACTTAACACTTAAAATATACATAATATCGATTGTTATTACTTTATTGAATTAATTAAACCATTTTTTACAATTGAAACACGCACGTTACCTGAAAATTTTAATAAAGAAATCGGAGCGTCTTAAGACGACGTGAATTCCTCAATTTCCCGGCTTAAACTAACTCCATCACTGCTATTGGTGGACGCAAGAGGGAGCGAGTGACGTCATCTCGCGGCTTCCAATCCGATCTCGTGTCTCTGTTTAGTCTAAACGTTAGATGTGAAATTTATTACTAATTTAAATAAATATTAAATAATCATATAGTATATCAACATTTTATTAAAATTCATTATTATTTTATATAAATATACATTTCTTTATTATAAAATGCAACGAAAAAAAATTATTCAATAAAGTTTTTGATCATGTCAAAACAAATTTCCAGAAACAAGTAGATGAACGCTATTCCCCGAATTCGCTTTATATTTTGATGCTCAAACAATCACAAGGAGCTCTACATGTATCACTCGGTTTGTTGATATTTTTTTCTGGGTTCGCCACATTTCTCATTCTTTTACTTCAAACTATGGACGTTGAATTATTAAAAACTATTCATCATACATTTAATGAAATTTTAGTGAATATTATTTTACAAAAAATATTTCAAAAATAGAGAGCAACTTCTTAAGGTAATTTTCAATATTTAAATTCATTAAGTTTATTTTACAATTAGCAATGATACACATTTAATAGAAACAATATTAAATAAATTGAAGTAATAAAACATATTAAAGCTATTTATTTCTATATATTTTGCTTATTAATATTGCCTACTTAAAATTTAATATTTTTGCTATATAGATAATATAAGTTTTCAATAAAATTGTATCAATAAATACAATATAAATAAATAATAATAAATGAATTATTCGTAATTCATAATTGAAGACATTTCTCAACAATAAAGCTAAAATGATAGAAAAAAACTTTGGTTCATTTTTTGTTTGAAATGAATAATATGAAAAATGCTGTGATTATGGAAATTATAAAAAACAAGTTATTGAATTAGAAGTGATAGATTGTGATGGCTGAAACATTTTAACCAATAATACTGAAAACTATTTTCTTATGATCTATTTTTAACTTAATTGCATTGAAAATATTTACAAACATTTGTATGAGAATCTTAAAAGTTATGATTGACTGATCAAAAATCACTGTGACACAATTCCAGCTATTATCACCTAATAGATTCTCTTTAAGTTAATTTATCTTCTTGACCCACTAGTACATAAAGAAATTGTTTTAATTTCGAGCTAGTCCGAGTTTCTTTCTTCTTCCTCAGTGTTTCTTTGAATTGTCTCCAAGCAGCATAGTCTACTGGATCTGCCGGTCCCCATAGCTTTGTGGGTTGAAATGCTTTAATAATCATCTGTGAAAAAAAATTATTCAAGAATCACACATCCAATTACTACAAACAGAGGAAACAAAAGAATTAAAATAGTTTAGAATCATTACCTGTGAGACACTATGTTCTTTGTTAGAAATTATTGTATAAATTAACCAGAATGGCAATTGAAGGATACCAAAGGAGAACAGTGTCCATCCAGCAGCTGCAAATTATTTATGATGGTAAATAATTTCATTCAATTTGTCATTATCTCGATTGTATTAAAATAATTATTTACCATAAGCAGAATCAGGGTATAAAACTTTGTTATAGGTAAGAGGCTGAAGAGTGATTATAGTATAAACTAAAATCGTCGCAAGAAGCAAAGGAGTGATGACTCCCCAACACAATCTCCAATATATGGTCGGCCTTCTTTTCAGCATAAATTCAACATCATCCAACAAATTTTCAAGCCCATAAATCCAAAATATTCCACTAATCTCCAATGTTGCAAAAACAAAAACAATGAATGATCCAGCGTAGTAATCAACCAAATTTAAAACGAACTGTCCACCCTGTAAGTATAATTTCATTGATATCCAAACATTCTATTAGATGCTTTATCAATTTTTTTTTAGTGTACTTACCGGAGTACAATAAGCACAACCAACAAATAATCCAAATAGACAAGTGCCCAGAACGACTTTCCAATATTTTACTTGTGGAAATTGGTCACAAAGAATACTGATAATACCTCCGGCAAGAGCAATACCACTGCCGATACCCAACACATACAGCATAAGGAAAAATAGTACAGAAAACAGCTAGAAAAAAAAAGATTTCGGATAATTAAACTATCAAGGTTTTGTTGATATAATATACTATTACGTCATAGTTCATTATTTATATTTATATTATCATCGAAACGTACTTGTGGTAAAATCGTGAATTTAGCAATTGCATCCGGATACGAAACAAAAGCTAATCCTGTTCCCCCTCGAACAACATTGCTGACATCATCTGTCCCAAGTTCATGAGCTAGATTTCCCAATATTCCAAAAATTGTTATGCCAGCGATGAGACTAGTGAATGTGTCAAGTGTAGTCACCACCAAAACATCTCTGAAATATTAAACGAAAATTAATATTCTATTGAAAAAAATATCCGCTATGACTAATACCTGTAAATGTTGTGTCTGAATTCATTGAATGAAGAGTACATAACGACTCCACCAAAGCAAACTGATAGGGAGAAAAAACATTGAGTAACAGCAGCATACCAGACATTTGGATCAAATAATTTGTTCCAATTGGGATTAATGAAGAAGATAATTCCATTCGCAGCACCTTCCAATGTTACTGCTCTGATAAGAAGAGCAATCATGATAACATAAGGAAATAAAGCCAAAAAGTAGGCAGCTTTTCCAGAACTTTTGGTGCCTTTTACGAGAACACCAAATATACAAAGCCAAGAAGCCAGTAAGCAAAGGGTTAATCTCCAATCAGGTAATCCTATGCCATCGTAGATATTATCTTTTTCTTTGAGAACCGATTTTCTGGAAAAAAAATAATCTAATTTATAATTTCATTGAATTTCAGCAGCTACGTAATATTGTAACAATTAATATCTAATTTCTTTTTAATGATTGTAAATTTTTGTAAGTAATACCAATATTTCTTAAAAAGATAAAGTTTATTTATAATATCTTGAAGGTAATATTGAGACATCAGAATCAAGTTATCTTTCAAGGGACAGCAGTCCTACTTTTAAATAAAATAATTACTGTTAATTCACTATCAAGTCATGAGGTTTCTACGTAAATCTCATATGTTTACCGAGATAATTTCCGTTTATGGCATTGAAAATAAAATAAACTTACATAAAATACAATTCTGCTGAACTTGTTAATTTTGTACTATTATTCACTGATTGAACTGTCACATTTTCTTCAGGTTTTTGGGAATCAACACAATTATCACCCCAGTCTAGTTGACACTTGGCCCAAGGTAATGGTGATGAGAAGCTTCCGAAAAGATAGATGAGTGTAATGGACATCAATGAACAGTAGTAAGTGCCAACTGATAACATGGAGAACATTTGAGCCCAACCAACACCACGGAATCCTGGTACAGCTGACCACATCTTCACAGATGATTTGCTTGTGAATTGGCCCATAATCATCTCCAAATAATAGAAAGGTTTGCCCACAAGGAACAATACAATAATATAAGGAATCAAGAAAGCACCACCACCATTTTCGTATGCTGTAAATGGAAATCTCCACACATTTCCTAGACCAATAGACATGGCTATGCAGGACATCAGAAATTCTACTTCATTGCCCCAGGTTTGTCTCGGTTTATTTGTCGCCGTCTATATTTAAACAAAATAGTATTATTAAAGGAATATTTAGTTGTTGAACATTGAAAAAATTCTTGAGTGTAGAAAATTATTAATTATGATCTCAACTAAATAATAACTTTATTATACCTTTCAGATTTGCATAGAAAACTGTTCTCTATCTTGAGAAAAATGTTTTCAAGGAGATATCGTTTAAAATAGTTTCCTTGATGAATAAAAAATTATATGTATTAATAACAACGGTAAACAAGCAGTATCAACTATTTAAGTTAATTAATTTGATATTCAAATTCTTAACAATAAAAACAAATCTAAATAAAGATACACATGTGTCCTCAAGAATTTTTTATCATTGGAATAGGAAAAGAACATCTTTTAATATTTATTACTATTTGTTCTCCCGGTGATGAGATGGTTTTTGGGTCGACGTGTGTATGATGATCAGCGTCATAATCTCCCTAATAAAAATAAAGCGTTAGTGATATCAAAAAATTTTGAGCTTTATACCAATAAAACATACCTTGGAAAATATTGCAATATCGATATTCTTAAAGTCGACTGTACTTTCCTCATCATTGACAAAAGCTGGATTGGGATTACCTCCCTAAAATGAAAAGCCAGTCTCCAGTAAATCGGTATTACAGTGAAGGTGAGAATCAATTACATCACATTACTAATAGCATATGACTTATTCATTTATAAATATATACAATTTTCGTTTTTTAGGTTGAATGTGATCTATAAAATCTATTCTTATCTAGCTGTCAATAAATTATATAAATCCTTTTATCTGTCAGTAATGTATTCCATGTATTATTTAGTGAGAATCTGAGATGAGTGTTACCATTAAGAATTTTGCATCTTTTCCTTATTTGTTAAGAGCTCTGTTCGAATGTTACTTAAAAAATTTTCTTTAAGAAAATAAAGTAAATGATCATCATAAAGTATGTGATAGTGGTAAAAAATTTATATTATTTTGGATAAAAATAGAATCTTTTCACATAATTTTTATGAAATATAATCTTCTACTGATACAACAATGATTTTTCATTGAAAGCAATCGATTGCTATGTAGATATCAATCAAAACAATTGAAACATGAGAAAAATGACATTAAATTTAATTGAATAATCAAGTTTTTTTTATGTTTAAGACTCATTCTGTTATTATCTTTATTATGTAATGTTACATGTTCTTTACAATGCATATTTATTTTTATGTTAAACACTCAGTAATAGTCAGTGTCAAATTGGTCGTTATTAAATTCAATGTTTCGAGGTGAAAGTCAGGACTTAATGTACATGAAGTGATTTTGTTAAACTGAACACGTGAATGTGAGTGATTTTTATTCCATGTGTAATAATTGTAAACCAAAGAAGTGTCATGGTTACGAATTTTTATATCCCTGATAAATGTTCATGACTAAAAAGATAAACAGGTCTTTGATGGTATAAATATAAAGTAATATTTTTCGCCTTCAGACTGATATTTATAATATTTTAAAAACTATATTTTTATATTGAAGGCAATAATGTCAAACATATATCAAGAACTTATCGATTATATTGAAAATTGATCTCACTTTACTGTTTGATCTATTTTTTAATACTGACCTCAGATGAATTCATTATTGTAATAAACTTCTTCAATTCACTATCAGCTTAAATTAGGCAGTTGTAAAAAAAGCGCGCCAAGTTCTCAGTTAATTTTGAATGATTGTTAATCTGTTAATAGTTTTTGAATTTTTATGTGAACGTGATGCCGATCAACAACCTACTAACACCGCAGAATACCGAACAGAATGATTGTCGTCCACCTTTACGTCAATTCTCAATGTAGTAGGGATTGTTCTCTCTTTCCCACTCTTTCTTTTAAGATACACATGAATAGTATAGTTATAATCAGGAAATTTAGTGCTTATGGAGGGGATTTACATTAACCATCGAAAAATGAAGAAACAACTTTCTTAATGACTTTTGTATTTATATCGAGTGAATAGCTTTAATCAATTAAAACTTTATGTTATGGCCTAAATCAATTAATATCGCTCCTTTTTATGTATTACACACACTTCTTTTCCTTTTACACAATAATTGCAAAATCATGGTATCGATAGGATAAGCGAATTGTTAAACTCATTTCCGTATAAGTAATTTAAGATGTATTTGGGAATTTTAGAATCAAGATTAAATCAATAATATTGCATACCGGAATTAATGAATTGACAAAAAAATCGTTTGTCATCAACTCTTTAAGATAGGAATGATTATCAATATAAGATAAAACGAATAATCGTATAAATATCAACTTTCTTTTTTTTTTACAACTTAATACATAAGTTTTCATGAAATTTTTCTTTAATATATAGATAATAATTTCTCACGTAATATTGAACCTTATGTCATGGCTGTATGCTCAACGATGTCATTGACAAATGTTCTTACATGTCATCGAAGAGAACGCAGAGTGAATGTTGAAGTTTAATTGATTAAAAAATATTGTAAACATCAAAAATGAATACATTGTATGTAAACATTTTTTTTACATCTCGAAAGTTTAAGTATATGGTCTACTCGTGTAATTTTTTTGTAAAAAACAGTCACGTCGTGAACAATATGTTGGAATTACGCGATAACATTTACAATTATGCGAAGTTGAGTTTTTCAATACTCACGTTTAAAGATAGTTTATCATTTGAAAATTACTGTAAAATGAGTCTGAATTTTATAGAAAAAATTTGTTAAAATTAATCATTTGAATTGAATAAGTTGTTATATTGTTTCTACATAAAACGATTGAAAATCTGAAAGTAATATTTCAATCATCAAGTAAAAAATTGTTACATAAAATTGTATAAAGCTGATGAAAGCAAATCATCAAATTATCTTTATACATAATAACAGAATAAATCTTTGTGATGGCTGCATATATTAAATAACATAAATCTTGGGAAATATGTGTTCAAGTATAAAAATTATTCCATATTACTTATATCAAGAAATATTTATCACATGAGAATATTATTTTAAACACATACGAGATGTCGTGAAAAAATTTTGCAAAAGTTAATATTGAATTTTTCTTATTATATATTTTCTGCGTAATTCTGTATTCAATTAAATGATAATATTAATACATTTTTCCGGGATAATTAGAGCAGTAGTCGGAAATGATGTATTTACAAGGAATCGGAAGAAGAACAACTGATTCATAAGTTTTTCATTCATATCAAAGACGTCACAATGCTAAATGAATAAAACAAAGACCGGTTTTTCAAGAAGATCAATCTTATAACTAAGAGCAAAAAATGAATTATCATATTTCGCATCAATGATGATATAAATGTATATTCGAATAGCAATTGCATGTCTAGGCTAAACATTTAATGCATGTAATTTACACATATTAGCTTATCTGTGCTTCAAAACTGGCAATCAAAGGAGCACAGGTGCACCAAATCATCAACAGACCTTTCACAATTGCCTTCATCCAACAAATTTGCGGTTTCTTCATCAACTTGAAATATCATTATTTACAATGCAAAATACATAACTAACACAAAGAAGCGGATGATTTTTGAGTAATTATTACTTTTTAGGTTTATTTTTGTCTGGCGATCATCAATTTAACATTTTTTTATTATGTATATTTGTCATATTAATTATAAATTATTGCCTTAATCTGAAATCGAATTGTTTCATCCTACAGGAAGACTAACATCCGGCTTTATGATAAGCTATTGTTTAATAGCACTAAATTTTATACGTGAAATTACGAAACTAACTTAGGTATTATTGTTGCTGTGATAAACAGCATCCTTTACTTTGAATTCATAGCATAATTATTATTTATTAACTTAAATGTTAACTGAAAAGTGAATTTATTTTTACAAAAATTCTAAAGAAGTATTTAATAATAATAATAATAATTACCAATGTTTTGCATAATATTTGTTCGTGTTTTATCGATTGATTTGCTGACTACTGTGTATAGTTCTGAATCATAAAAATTCTTCAATGGGAAAAAATATGTACACGTGAACCCTGCATTGAACGTCATCGTGAATTTTAACCAGTTAGCACTAGATTTAGCTAGATTTCAAACCAACTTTCACTTGATTCAACCGTACCATCTAATCGCTCTCTGTTCCTTTAAGATTTCATGCATTGCTCCAATCCTAAAACAACATAAAAAACTTTTAGAAATCTAAAATATACGACCAATTTTTTTTTCTTCAAATCATAAGATTTTAATAATTTGTATTGTCACTATTATGATTCAGCTACTTAATTCTTATATGTTAATTGTATAAAAAATTTATTTTTTATTTAAACTAAATTTTTACGCGCCTTTTAAACAGCGCATATACCGTTACTGCTCTCTGTCGGTTAGAATAAAAATTTTCTGAGCATGACTAATCGGTAATTGAACCATAGTTGATAAAAAAAAATTATCACCTTTTTTCCATTGTTAATAATTTTTTATCCCGATAATTATTATCAATAAATGTCATTTTACTCGTTGTTATAATAATTATGCAATAAATCTACTTGATTCACTGTAATTCTACAATAATAATTTTACTCCGCAAAAAACCTGTCTGGGATCTTTTCATTATGGTTTATTATTGTCAGTTCAATGTTAACGTAAAAATAACTCATTCATTTCATATTTTCATAATAGAAAATATATTTCTCAACATTTTCATTGAAAAATGCAGGTGTGAACTGGAAGCTTACGTAATAAAATTCCTCATTCAATGTCTAATTGTTGAAAAACCACCACTTTGGGCTCGTGATCCAGACCTTGGAACTGAATGTAAACAAAAAATGATGTTTATCCGTGACAATGGGCCTTCAAGTTTATACTTATGTATGTACTTTATTTATACATATAGATCCCTATCACTTTTGGTGAGCACAATAATAGATTTCCCGCGTTGACTTGACACAAGCACAAAATCGACGCGCGCATCGCGTAATATTATTTTCATCATCTCGCAGATCTCAAAAGATTCTTGCAAAAGCGCCCCCTGCACCAACGACTTCAATCTAAGATGTGTCATCTGACAGCATAATTGTGTCAAGATTTGACCCTGTTATTCTTAATAAATATTATCAAACTAAGTCTGAGGGCTCGCAGTAGCATTCTAGCTCTGACTAGCTGATATTATTACGTCTCTAATTTTTATAATTTAACACCTAGTGCTAAAGTACGTCATGTGCTGTATTTAAATAAATTAAATTGTTAAGTAGCACAAACGTGTTTAAGATTCTTATCAGTGCTGTGTTAATAAGGATTACGCAGTCTTCATTTGATCTTTGATTGTTTATCCTGTAGAAGTATCTAGTTGTCTCTAACGCTAGTGTCGATAACATAAATAATGCCGCACGGGCGCACGTTGAGAAGTGTAGCTATGATTGGGGGGTGGCCGGCAGGGCGGCCATGGGAGTACGGGGGGAGACCTTACCCAGAGCCGACAAGTGCTAGTCAGACAAACATAAGTGTAGTTCCGTTAAGACAGCCGGTCGCATATATTTCATCAACTTCGTACCTCAGTACGATGGCGAAAATAAGTGAAAAAACACTTACAATCGACAATGTATTTTCGAATCTACGTCGAATGGAGTATGCTGTGCGTGGTCCACTTCTTTTACGTGCTCTTGAGATAGAAAAAGAGCTGAAAAAGGTGAGCTGCCAAGATTTGTTGAGAAACTTTATATTGAGAATCAATGTGTTGTGCCAAAAAACCAGAACGCGTGGGCAATAGCTTTTTTTATGAGAGTCTAAATTCTTGTTATTATACAAAAAAAAACGTAATTTATTGAAGGTTGCATTCAAAAATTTACCTTGGAGATACAACAAAGGTTAAGAAAGCTGTGCAGTAGTGATAGTTCTGTAGTTTAATTATCCAATAAAAATTTTATGATTTTAATTTAATCAATAATCATACAGATAACATTTTGAAGAAGATGCAGTTTCATGTTTACGTGACTTTTGTCATGCAACCACGCGACTGCCAAGACTTTAATCCTCCAACCTGAGTAATAAATGAATTCATCTCATGTTTCACCGCTATTACCGGTGAGAATGATCCTATGAAGTGCATGCACTTCGAGCAATATAGAAATCATAAAAAACCCAATTGTTGACAATGATTCAAACTTATTTGGTTTATAACAATTAATCTTAATTTATGAGATTGATTCCAAACAGTTGCAAATTAACCCTTTGCACTCTTCGTTTTTTAACAGTATGCATTTAGTCATTAATAACGGCCATGCTGGTGTAGAAGACTACAGAGGGTTAAGTACCCATTAAATGATGCATTCAACTATTGAAAATATGATACAATAACAAAACATAATGAATGATCTACTAATTATGATCTTATTTAATGAAGTGAACTTTAGAATTTATGTGTTAATTATAAAATATAGAGATTTTATTCTCTGATAATAAATCAATCTAAGTCTTCTGAACGACCATTACTAGAACATTTATCAATTAACTTAATAACATTGAATGACTCTTATAAATTGGGTTCTTTAATCATTATTTAATCAATAATGTTTGAATGCTTTTCTATAGAAGGTAGAAATCACTTTAATTCCAAGTTATGAAAGATGCTTTCACTTTCTCACACGCATTTAGCATGAAAGTTCACGTTAACCTTTGATTTATATTGAACCAGCTGCAAGATACATGTTATTAACCTTATCAAGTGCTAAATTTAAATCTTAGTTCATGTATTTTATTTATTTTCTATGAATATATATGAACAATGTTGATAACATTTTTCAGGACATTAAAAAAAATGTCAACTTTGACAATCGCATAACTTCATATCTATATCTATATAGACATATATTTATAATTTTAATTTTATAGTGCCCAATACAATAAATTCAATAATAAAGTTATAAATAATTAACGTTTTAATATTAATATGCATTCTACTGTTAAATTAATTCTTTAGTTATTTGACCTTCTTTGTTTAAATGATTACTACATATAGAGTATGCTTTTTATTGAGTTATTGAGCACTTCCTGTTTGTAAATGAGGCGCACTAACAGAAGCCACAAATCGATTTAGTTAACTACGCACCCAACCGAAGTTTTTTTGTTCAATAAATAAAATTTCCCAGATATGTCACAATTTTTATTACAATTTTCATGATTAACTCAACCTTGATTATGATAACATTCAATGATAGAATACAATAATTTACTCACAGCACTGGGAAATTATTTTATTTCAGTTCCGTGAAAATTTTATCATAAAAAAACTCTCATAAATAATAATTGTTTAAAACCTGTTTTTAGCTGAGTGATCAATAAAAAAAAATTATTATCAGAAATTTTTTTTATCAGCACAGTATTGAATGATTATCTAGAAAAAATATTTGTTCTTTAAATAAACTTTAAAACATGACAATAAAATTAGATAAATATTTTAATCAATTCAAAATCATATTTTTCAGGGTGTAAAGAAGCCATTTAAACAAGTAATAAAAGCAAACATTGGAGATGCTCATGCAATGGGTCAAAGACCAATTACATTTTTGCGGCAGCTGTTGCTACTTACTGTATCGCCAGAGCTAATGAATGATCCTAGATATCCGGAAGATGTCAAAAAACGTGCTCGTGATATTCTAGACGGATGTAAAGGAGGCAGCGTGGGATCATATTCAGAATCTCCAGGAATTGAAATAATTCGAAAACATGTTGCAGAATATATAGAAAGGCGTGATGGTTTCCCGTCAAATTATGAGAATATTATTCTATCTAATGGTGCTTCAGACGGAATCAAATCTTTCTTAAAATTATTCAACGAATCAATAAATGGTTTGCCATCTGGTGTTATGATTCCTATTCCGCAGTATCCATTATACTCAGCAGCGTTAGCAGAGTTTGGCTTATCTCAAATTGGATATTATCTTGATGAAGATAATAAGTGGGGATTAGATATCGAAGAATTAGAAAGAGCTTATAAAGAATCAAAAAAAACATGCAACCCACGTGTTCTAGTTGTTATAAATCCGGGCAATCCCACTGGCCAAGTTCTCACTCGAACTAACATCGAAAATATCATACGCTTCGCTCATAAAAATCGATTGTTTATTTTAGCTGACGAGGTATATCAAGACAATGTGTACGATCCTGATAGCGCATTTCACTCTTTCAAGAAAGTCATGATGGAGATGGGAGAACCCTATTCTAAAATGGAACTTGCGTCATTTATGTCCATATCGAAAGGTACCCTTTGTTAACTTATTGATTAATGGATTATTAAATGATGAAAGAGATACTGTTTGAAAGTTTTAAAATTAAATAGCTTTTTCTATGAATATAATTACATTGATTTTTTAATTTATTTGTAGGATATATGGGAGAGTGCGGAATTCGATGTGGTTATGGAGAATATTTTAACATGGATCCTGAAGTTATGGCTGTATTATCAAAGTCGATATCAGCAATGTTATGTCCAACCGTACTAGGTCAAGTAGCTATGGATGTTGTAGTTAATCCTCCGAAACCTGGTGAACCTTCTCACGAACAATTCATCAAAGAAAAGACTGCTGTTCTTCAATCTTTAGCAGAAAGATCTCGTTTAGTAGTTGACACTCTTAACAGCATTCCAGGATTCAAGGTAATTTTTTTCCATTAAAAAATAAACAAAAAAGTTCATAGAATCAAGTACAAGTTTATTCTTTATTTTCAGAGTAATCCAGCAATGGGGGCCATGTATGTTTTTCCCCGCATTGACCTTCCGCCTAAAGCAATTGAAGCCGCAAAAGCTGCAGGGCAGGCACCTGACGTATTTTATGCATTTAAACTTCTTGAAGCTACAGGCATTTGCGTTATTGCTGGTAGTGGTTTCGGTCAAAAGCCAGGCACTTATCACATTCGTACTACCATTCTACCACAAAAAGAAATGATTAAAACTATGTTAAATAGTCTCAAAGAATTTCATCTGAAGTTTTTACAAGAGTATAGTTAGTCATTTTGAACTGTGATTCAAGATTAATTTTTTAATTTTCAATTAATGTCATATTATTTTTTTATAGATGAACTATAAATATCTTTTACCAATTATAACTAACTGAGTTTATTTGTAAATAATTATCACTAAAAATTGCCTGTACTATATTATCTTAAAAGAAATTTCAACAAATGTTTACATTGTTATTTATTATATCAAATAAATTACAATAATGTTAGCTGTGATAATTCATTAAATATTGTCTATTGGATTGGGAAAAAAAGTTTGGAATATTAATTTACTAATAACTGATCATTTTTATAAAATTTTGTCATATCATGTTTGAATATTCTATTAAATGAATTACGTTAATTATTCAAATTATACTTTTTAATTAAATAAATGTTATACTAAAAAACATTAATAAAAAACTTCAATCCAAAGACCTGAGGTTTTTGGTATAATTATTTTTAATATCAGAACTTAACATCTAGATTAATTAACAATAAGAACATTCATTTCACAAATCTTCGGATAATACTTCAAATTCATTAACAAAATATCTCATATCATCTTCTGTTAACGCTGAGTTTTGTAATACAAATCGAAAGAAATTTGGTTTACCATGAATAGGTTGATATGTCACTAACATTGATCCTTTCTTAATCATTCGTTCTTTCACAATAGGAGCTATCTTATGCAGAGCTTTATCAAGTTGTGAATCACTTAAATGCCTTTTAGATTTAGGTATATACCAAAAGCAAACATTAGTGCACTCTGGCTCTTGAAGAAGTTTCCAACCTTCTCGATTACGTATCAGATCAGTAAAGTATCTTGAAAGATGAAATACTCGATCAACATGCTTCTCAAAACCAGATGTTCCTTTTGCTTTCCACATTAGCCAAAACTTTAAGACATCAGCTCGACGACCACATTGTATGTGTTTATCACCAGAATCATACGACGTATCATAAAACTTATCTTTCTGGAAGAGATACGTAGCGTTAGAACAGTGAGCCGATTGCAGAAGATTTTCATGTCGAATAAGAAGGGTTGAACACTGTTGTGGTGCTGCTAACAATTTGTGAGGATTCCAAGTAACAGAATCGGCAAGTTCTATTCCATCAAGATACTTTTTATGCTTTTTAGATATTAAGGCACCACCACCCCATGCTGCATCAACGTGAAGCCACAAATCGTATTTTTGACAAAGTGCGGAAATTTGTCTAATAGGATCAAACACACCTAAAACAGTTGTTCCAGCTGTTGCTGATACCATTAGTGGAATTGCACCTTCTTGAATAGTTTTGATAATTTGTTCTTCTAAATTATTTACATCCATCTTGCCTATACTATCCACCTTAATACAATAAACGTTATTTGTTCCGATCCCAAGAAAGGCAGCTAGTTTTTTTACTGAATAATGAGCGTCTTCTGACGTAAAAACAACAAGTCGAGGTAATCCAGCCAAACCACTCTCTTTCAATTTCGGAAATTTATGATGTCTTGCAAGATTGATTGCATATCCATTAGCAATTGATCCGCCCGGACAGAAAATCCCATCCCCTTTAGCCCATCCAATAATACTTCTCATTTCTCGTAAAACTTGATTCTCCATCAGTGAAAATACTGGAGATACTTCATAGGTATACACGGATGGATTTAATGCATCAGTCAACCATTGTCCTACTAAACCATAAGGATCAACACTGGAGAAAAGTTGATTTATGAATCGTGGATTTCCTGTTTTAACGCTGTATTTAATCACACCACGGATCAGATTAAGTAATTCATCATGTGGTATACCATTATCTGAGAGGCGGAGATCAATTATTGACGGTAGGTGCTCTGGATCTATCCATTCAACAACCTTGGTCTTGCGAGAAGTACCCTACATTCCAAAAAACTTGTTAACAATATTTCTTCACACTTTAGTGAGTTTTTTTGAAATGATAATATAATTATTTAGTTGTACGTTCTCATTTTTATTATATATTTCATCACACTCGTAACTATGATTTATAAGATGAAAGTGAAAATTATTAGGATAGAGCTAAAAGAACAAAAAACTATGACAATGGGTTATTTTATGATTTAAAAAATTAATTAGTTTATCAATATTTTAATTTTCAATTATTACTATTATTGGTATGTAATTATTGTTATTTGATAAAATTAAGTAATTCTTAACTTACGTCGAAAATTGCATGTTGCAGAATGACTTCAAATGAATCTCTGAAGAAGTCTTCATGTATTGCTTTAATTGGTGTACTCTGATAATAAGATGACGATGTACCATTAATTATTGAATTCGCCATGGTGTTTACTTGATTGTCGTCTTCTTGCGAATCATCAGAAGAGTGACTAGAAAACGTCTTCAGCGAATCCTTTAGATTCTCAAAGCTTTGGTGCTCCAAGATCTCGTCAAAAGTACCTTCATTTGCGGGCATCGTTCTGATTGCCGTTCTAAATCACTCTGGACCACTCTTGGAGTCCGCACGTCCTTTATAAGCTAAAAGTTTGACCAAGGACAAAATCGTGAACCCCTCCAGCAGCATTAAACCAATTAGGTGACTGATATACGTCATATCACCTAAACCTTTCGTTCTTATTATCGTTTTTCTAATAATTTTTCAGGAAAGTATTTCATAATTAACTCTTTCTGAATTCCTAAGAAGGATGTTATCATTTGCGTTGGATTTCCTGGTTCATCAATAAAGTCGACATGTTATTATTATCAATAAAGATGATGATGCATTTCTAAATCATTCACCGAATGTATTTATTATTATTTTAGTTTTTTTAATTTAATATTATTTCTTTTGTACATTTGAAATCGAAAATTTTAAGAATCTATTTAACTAAGATAAATCAATTTCGGAACAGCTGATTTAATTTTACTTTCCTCAATAGCCTTAAGACTAGAAATTAAGTAAATGTTTTTATTGGAGGCCATTGTCTTCGAGGAAATAATCTTGATCTAAATGTAATATAAAATCAATGACATATACGTTTCAGAAGAACTGAGGTCAATTAGATACAAAAACATTTGATAGAAAATCTTCATAAGTTTATAAACAAAACCAATATTTATTATGTCCTGAAAATTTTTTTACTTTTAATAATATTTATCTGATTAATTAATTCATTCAATTCACCTTCATCGAATAGGTTGAAAAAAAAAGTTGAATGGAATAGACTAGCATTTTTATAAATTTATTATTCAATATCTTTTTATAGAATATTTTACAATCAATAGAATGTTACACTTTATCTATGATCTTTCTTATTTTTATATTAAATTTCATTAATGATCAGCGTATACTGCTATCGTCTTTTTTACTATAATTATCACAGCGATCATTTTTATTAAAAAATTTCATTGTTGTCATCATTAAATCATTAAATTCATTCATCAACTATGCATTCATTAAAGAACAAAAGTTTAATCACATATAATAGTAAACGTCATGTCACTATTATCACCTAATAGGATGCAATAAATGTCATGTAAGATCACGCAGAATATGAATGATCTAGAAGAAAGGGTGATAACAAAGTAATTCAGAACAATTATTTTTATATATCAAAATTTTTTCACGATAATATATGTATTTATATTCTTTTATAAATATTTATCAGATTTAATTTACATATGTAACATTTACCGGCCACATATTAATTACAATGTAACATTTTAAATTAAAAAATTTTTTCTATGTTGTAAATTATATTTACACACTGTATTTTATCTATCATTTATTCAGTGGCTTTCAATTTGTAGAAAATTTTTCCAACTATTTACTTAAAAAAATAAAATTTGATCTATGAAACTTCTATCTTTCAAAAAAATATAACTGCCTCATCATAAAATTTCATCAACTGTAATCTTATTTATTAACATAGAATAAGTCATTAATAAATATCATAGTTTCACCTTGAAACTAAATCTTTCAACATTGTTGGCATAATTTCTGCATCACAAAAAACTTTGACATTGTAAACGTCATTAAATTTTATTGTAAAAAAATTAATGTTAAATTCTGTATTAAACTTACGTAATAAATTCATAAAAATTATATCATCACATCTTCTAACCAACTCTTTGATAGTTTAATTGAACAGAGCTCCGCAGTTGGAACATTTTTTATTTTTCATCAATAAACAAAATAAGATTCCAAAAGGAAAAAAGAAGATAGCACATAATACTCCAAGACATGTATAATCGTCTTCTAACAAACCAACCTATGCAGATAAAAATAACATTACTCTGAGGATATTGTTCATAACAATTTAAAAAACAAATAACATATAATTATTAAAATCAAACTTAAACAATGCATAAGCAGAATTTAAGTTTATGAAAAACATACTCTGCATGCCGGACAAGCGCCAACAAAAATTATTTCTGGTACCACAACAGTAGTTGTTGTACCATATGACGGAATAGATGCACTTTGGTAAGGAGCTCCATTACTAGGATAATAACCAGGAGGAGGTTGCCACGAAGATGCTGTAAATTATACATGAATATGAGAAAACATTCTTGAACAAGTGTAATAATTAAAAAATGACGCAATCATTGAGAAGAATTAACCCAGATGTTCTGAGAATACAAAAAAATGTGCTTAATAAACTTTTTCTTACCTGGAGGTGCTGTAGCTACTGAATAAGGTGGTGGCTTATCATATGCTGGATTCAATGGTTGGCTTTCCATGATCGAATTACAGATTTTTAAATGTCAAGCTCAATATGATATAGAGAAGTCAGCCAATGATGAGAAGTAAATCAGCTGATTGTCGATTATAACGATTTATGACACTTGTAGACGCCTGACAATGAACATACATTTAATGATTTATTAATTATTACTTATAATGACAGATATTATAATAATTTTTCACCATAAATCAACTCGTTTTCAATAATTAATTAACTTTTTTCTATGTTATTACGATAAATTTATTTCTAAAGAAACATTTAATTGCAGAGAAGATAAACTAATTTGAATTTCCCTCTTTATGAAGTATGTGACACAAGCATTATTTTTTTTTTGAAAGAACTAATGTTTATACAAATTTTTGCATTAATATAAAAATTTTCGCGCAATTATAAGTGTGTCTGAAAGTGAATGGAAATGATATCGGCCCTGAGAATGAAATCAATTATTCGATTTCATAATATATAAACATAGATGAACAAACGAGTACTAAAGCAGAAAAAATGACAAATAAGAATAATAATTAAACTAAAAGTATTATGGTTTAGTGATTTTGCCCTGTCTGGTAGAAACTTACTACTCTATTTTTATATTATCATTTTTTTACAACTAGATAACTAACTTAGTAAGTCATATAACACACTTAAAGGTGCTAGTAGCTGTCAAAGTTGAAATGTTTAAATTTTCATTATGACCAGACCTTAGCATTAAAAAATTGGAATCAAAAGATTGAATGTATATACACGAAAGTTATAATAAATTTATAATTTATTAAGTATTGAGATTAATAAATATAATTTTCATTTATTACAAAATTTTATGAAAGATTTCATTGAACATTTAACTTTGTTTTCTTTCGAAAGATTTCTTTTAACCTATGATCACTTTTATGATTATTTAGAAACTCACCAACTTGGTCAATTAAGTCAACATGTCATATATTGGATAAACATCTTTATTTAATTTTTAAAGAAGTTTAAAAAAATATTACAATAAGGTTATTTTTTATATCATTAGAACCATTTTTTGATATCTTTGCGCAACGTAGACGCGCATTAACGGTGGCGTCGGAACTAAATTCCAAACCCTCCCCCCTCTCCTTTCCGGTTTCTGAAAAGGTTATGTTTGATGATGCTGTGTGAGACGTGTTTTTCCGGCAATTGATTGTTTACAATAGATTATTTAGTTATTAATTCTAATAATTATTATTAAAAGTGCTGTAAGTGATAAGAAAAATACCACAAATGTATATAAGCAATATATTGAACTTAGTGGAATAATATTGATATAAATCATTAAAAGATAATATGGCAGACTCTGGGTATCATGCTTTTTCGCCTGATGGCAAATATTGGGCTCATTGTGGTAGAGTTGGAAAATTACATATTTGGGAAACATCAACAAGTAAATTAAAGCAAGAATTTATCCCAAATTTACATTTATCATCACCATGCAGTGTTTTGGAATGGATATCAGTTGTTCAGCAAGCATCTACGACCACTGTAAGCCACGTGCTCACGTTAAGAGTATTCTTTTTATATTTTTTAAACAACTTTAATTTGATTTTTTTTTCTTATTTTATTTACGATGTTTAATAATTTTTATAATGATTGAATTATTGAATTATTCGAATATTTTGAATTTTACATATTATTTACTAAACTATTCTTAAACGTAGTAAAACAAAGGAGATATCAACTCATAATATTTACTACTGTATGTTTATCACAATTACTGATATTTCTTTAGAATTATTATTTGAATTGTAATTATTTTTTAGCCATCACCATGGAAAAAACGCAGAAGAAAGTCAATTGTAGAAGATTCAGAGCAGAAGCAAATTGTAGCTATGGGTTCCATAAATGGAAAGATAACTTTATATGATGTAGCATCAGCATCAGTTAATAAAGTATTAGAAAGTAATCAATCAGCGGCTATCACAGCGATGACTTGGTCTGCATCAAGTGGATTATTCTCTGCTGGAGCAGATAATCAAATTATTGAATGGAATATACAGGAAAATGGCATTAAATGCAAATGGAAATCAGGAACAAATAAAATTACAGCTTTGGCAGTTTTACCTGATGGTAATTCAATCATTTCTGCGGAAAGGTTAATAACATGGTGGGATTTAGAAACAAAAAATGTAATTGCTACATATACGGGACATGCCAATCCAATAGTTTTATTTAGAACGGTCAGACTTGACAATAATACAAGTTATCTCATTAGTGGAGCTAATGGTGATAATTATTTGAATGTTTGGTCATTGTCGAAGGTAAGATATTTCACCAAATTTTCGAAATGATGAAAAGAATAAAAATTTATTTACATAATAGTAATCAAAATCTTATTTAACTTCATTAATGTTTCAGAATGCAACCAACAAAACAGCAGTCGCCACATTAACTCTCCAAGATGATCCTGTATCATTATCTGTAAAAATGAAGGAAAATTCTCAACTTTCGATTTTAACGACAAACAGATTAGGTCAATGCCACTTTTTTTCATACCAACTTAATGGAATTAGTTTGAAACCATTAAAACCAACACTCACAGTTGTAATTGCTTCGGATTCTAAAGAAAAAGATACTATACCACAAATTCCAATTCAATCAGCGCACCTTACTGAAGATGATAAATTTTTAATAGCATATGGATCACGATTATCATTAACATTTGAAAAAATAACACCTGATTTTTCGGATAAATTCCTAGGTTTGGTACGATCAGAAATAAAATGGACAAAAGAAAAGAAAGAAGAGGCTGTAGCGAAAGTTAAATCTATAGAGACTGAAGGAAATGTTGAATATCTTGCTACAGGTTCAACAAGTATTTCAACAAAACGCCCGAAAGGCGGAGGATCCCAATTACCCCTGCAAAATAGATTAGAAAATTTAAGTTTGAATGTTGAAACAAATTTACCGGGTCAAACACCTTTGAAAGGTGCTAATATGGCTCAATTATTGTTCCAAGGATTGATGAGTAAAGATACAAAAATTTTAACTGAAGTTTTATACATTAAAAGAGAAGAAAAATTAATTAAAAATACAATATTAAAATTACCGGTCCAAGCAATAACGCCATTACTGCAAGAATTAACGACTATGTTGCAAGGAAAAACGTATCCAAGTAAAATAGCTGTTATTTGGCTAAAAAATCTTATAATTATACATACAGCACATCTTCTGTCTCTTCCGAATATTGGAGAGCTACTAAGTCCAATTTTAGGATTAATCGATGCGAAACTGGGTATTCTATCTGAGTTGTCCAGGTTGAGAGGTCGTGTGGCTCTGGTCACTGGCCAGATATCACATTTAAATGAGAAACAGAACGATGATATAACTAATGACTGCCTTCTTACTTATCAAGACCCAGGTTAATCTTACTTTACATAAATCATCGTTATTTTTTTCTAGATTATTCAAATTTAAACATTGAATATTAAATTTATATCTTTATGGAATTTTTTAGATTCTTCAGAAGAAGAAGCAGATGCTCAAGGAATGGAAGAAGAAAGTGAATCTGGTGAAAGTTGGGAAGAAATGTCTGATCAGGATGAAAATCTACAAATGCTGCAGAATGGCCGATCCGATGATGAGGATAATGATGATGATAATGCTTCAATAGGCAGTTGAATATTATTTATATAAGTTATAAATAAATAAATATGATCATTTTTACAATATAATAAAGTTTTTATCAATTTAATTAATTGAATAAATTAAAATATTTAAACTTTCCTTCTGTTTTCTCAGGGCTATGTATCATAAAATGCTAATATTTCTTTTAGTTGTTACTTTCATACGTTGTTTGGAGTACTAATGGTTTATACAATTATGTATACATACTTATTGAAAATAATAATTACATTTTGATACTCTAAACATATGACTCAATAGTTGATATTTTTTTACCAAAAATGAATTTGATAAACGTAATATAAGCAGTTCTTGATCTTATTAATATAAAAATTTGAAATTGATTGTATTTTTAATCATTAAATCTTAAAGACAAAAATAATTTATCACAATGAATTGTAATAAAGCTTTGAATAATGTAAACGATTGAATCAATTATTTTCCTTATTTTAAGAATAAAAATAAAACTATTATATTATAACAGTATCCAAAATTCTTAATAAAAATCTTAAATAATTACCATCTTAATCTTAAAAAAAGTTATTGTGATCTAGATTACAATTATTTTAACTATTTATTATAGTTACGACAATTACAATTTTTTATCTAATTATTAATAATTAATTTAAAATATTAAATTCATCCATAATAATTTGCAAGTTATATAAATTCTTTTTGAATCCAATCTCTTCAAATTATATGATAATAAATAATAAGAAGTGATAGTGAAAAAAACTTTATGTCATACATAATATATTTTTCGCATTATCACAGCGCAAACATGTTTATGAGAAAAAGTCACGAATTTACTTGATAAGCAATGGATGTTAATGAACAAAATGATACAAAGTAATCATAAATAAATTTATAATTATCTTTGATAGCTTTGTACTATTAGTTAAATTATTTTCTAAAAAATATATTCTAAAATTAATAAATTTCATTTTGTTACATAAAAAAGTCTTGACAGTAATTATCATTGTCATTTATTGATTCATGAGTAAAATTATCTCAAAGTCATTGAATGAAGTAATAATGATGAGAGAAATAAAATGTTGATTAGTGAAGTTATTTGTATATTTGCACAATTCATCAAAGGTCGGTAGGTCTTTTGCGATTAAACCCACAGAATTTTGGTATAAAAGCTTGAATGGCACAGTGAACTGGCATCCTCCTCTTGTTGGTGGTTCGCGAAACATTACCGAAGAGGAAAGTTTACAACCGCAAAGATGTTCAAGGAGTTCTTGGTGTTGGCCATCTCGGCCTTGTGCCTGACTCAGGCATTTACTGAAACCCACACTGCTGACATGGAGTTCCTCCACAAGCAGAAGAAGATCTACGACTTGTTCTTCTACGTTGATCAGTACAAACTTGAGGGAAGCGAATGGTACGAGGTTGGCAAAAGCTATGACATCTCAGCTAACATGGAAATGTACAATGACAAAGTAAGACTAGTTTTTAAAAAAAATTTTTTAATATATTTGAAAGAATATGAAAAAACATTCGAAACATGAACTTGAATTTAATAATTTTTCCATTTTTTTTAGATGGTTGTACGTGAATTCTTGTACAGATTCAAGTTGGGTTTCCTTCGCCGTGGAGCCCTCTTCTCTGTATTCTATGAAGAACACCGTGAAGAACTTCGTATCTTGTTCAAACTTTTCTACACTGCCAAGGACTTTTCCACCTTCTACAAGACTGCCTGTTGGTGTCGTCATTACATGAACCAGGGAATGTTCATCACTGCTCTTTCCACCGCTGTGATGTACCGCCCTGACTGTAAATACATCGTATTGCCACCAATGTACGAAGTCTACCCACATCTCTTCTTCGACAATGAAGTTATCCAAGAAGCTCACAAATACATGATGTCTCATGGTAAAAATCCTAACCAACATTAAAATTCCCTTTATTGAAATGACTTTTTTATTTAAGTAATATTCATTAATTCCCTCAGGATACAAGCAATTCTCTGGAGAACACGGATATGACACCTACGTCATTGACTACAACTCTACCGCTTCATTCATGAAGTACTTCATGGACCCAGAATACAAACTCTACTACTTCACCGAAGATGTTGGTCTTAACAACTACTACTACTACATCCGCAGCTTGTTCCCATTCTGGATCACCATCAAGGACCTCGAATTACCAAAACACATCCGTGGAGAACTTTACTACTATGTCCACCAACAGTTGATGGCTCGTTACTACTTGGAACGTCTCAGCAACGGTTTTGGAGAGATCGAAGACTTCAGTTTCTACAAATCCTTCGCCCCTGGCTACTACTCCTCTTTGGTCTATGGCAATGGTGTTTCTGTTCCAAGCCGTGAACCATACTCATTCGTACCTTACTACAAATACAAATACGTCAAGGAAGCCGAGAACATTGAAAGCCGCATCTTGGCTGCCATTGACAGTGGATACGTCTATGACTACGAAGGAAAGAAATACGAACTCTACTCTCCTGAAGGGATTGAACTACCTTGGAAACATCATTGAAGGTAACTACGACTCCTGCAACCCACGATTCTACGGTGCCATCGACGCTCTCTACAGAGACATCTTCGGCTTTAACTATGACTGCAAGAGCAAACACTGCTTTGTCCCAAGTGCCCTTCAATTCTACTCCACCAGTCTTCGTGACCCAGCCTTCTACTACTTGTACAAGAGAATCATCGGCTACTTCTACAGATACAAATGCAACTTGCCATCATACAGTCACAGCGAATTGGAATTCCCAGGTGTTTACATCGAAGATGTTAAGGTTGAAAAACTCTACACCTTCATGGAACCATACGACTACTTCATCAACAACGCTGTCACTGTTGATAGCTACAAGAGTGGAATGAACTTCGACATCAAGGTCAAGAAATACCGTCTTAACTACAAACCATTCACCTACTATTTCAACATTAAGAGCGACAAAGCAACCAAGGGTATGGTGCGCATCTTCTTGGGGCCATCTTACGATGACTACTACTTCAAGGAACCCAACTACTTCTATTACAACTGGTACGAATTCGTTGAACTCGACAAATTCTCCGTCGACTGTAAGTACTCTTTTTTTTCATTCTTTGCTCTAAGCTTAATTTTTTCATATTTTTTAAAATTCATATTTGATGATTTTAGTGAAACCTGGAATGAACACCATTGAGCGTCTCAGCACTGACTCTTACTACACCGCCAAAGACTTCGTCGGAAGTGACTACTTCTACAAGAAACTCCTTAAATCCATTGGTGGAAGTGAACCATTCACCTACTCTGGTAAATACTACGGATTCCCCAACAACTTATACCTTCCTAAAGGTAAAGCTGGTGGTATGCCATACAAACTCTTCGTCTTCGTCTATCCATTTGAGGAAAGCAAGATGACCACCTTCGACTTCCCACTCTTCGGCAAGATGTTCTACGATGGCAAACCATTCGGTTTCCCATTAGACAGACCCATGTACCCATGGTACTACGATCTCAGCAACATGTACTTCAAGGATGTATATATCTATCACAACGATGATTATTATGGTGATTATTACCAACACGAGTACTCTTACAAACCTGCCTACAAAGAGTTCTCCTACAAAGACTACAAAAACTACAAAGACTACCCTTATGAAAAATCTGCTCCATTCGAACACAAATACGAACACAAATATGAGCCCAAATACGAACACAAGTATGAAGGTGGTGAGAAACCATACTACTTCAACAGCCACAAATCCCACATGTACTAAAGTTTAAGACATGATGTTTCTAGGGGTATTTGACCAGTAATTTGATACTTAAGTTTATGCTTAGTATGCTGAACTTTTGTAATATTTTTGTAAATCAACTTTGAATAATAAAAAAATTTCTTTGGACTATATTTATCTGATTTTAATTTGCTCTATACCTCATATTCCTTAATATTTTAATAAATTTTACATCAAACCATACTTATAAATTATAAATAATTTATTTTGAAATTGAATTTCAATATAATTAAATAATTTGCATTTACTATTAATAAGAAGAATATCTGATGAGAAATGATAATAAGAAAAGACAATTTATTTATAGTTCGCAAAGCTGATTAATATTATCCTTATAGTATTGTTAAATAAGATAATTTAATTAAAATAAAATTTACTGAGATTGGAATTTCTGTATTCATAGAATTCTTGTATTTATAGATGTTATGAAGGCATTGTCTTAATAATCTATATTAGCTTCAGGTAATTAATAATGCATTGCAGTAAATTTGTTTAATAAAAGCGATGTCCATAAATTATTTATATCAAAATTTTTTTATAGTACATTAAAATATAATATTCATGTTATCAAATAATTTTCCTAAATTATTTTTTATCATTTTTAAGCTACCATTTTATCAACGTCATTTATTCCAACTGTTCAATAAAAATTTAAATAAAAATTATTTCTTGATTTATTTTTTATCCTTTCCTTTCAACTATAATTAATTTAGAAATAAGTAATCATGCTAGTAGATGTGTGATAAAAAACAACAATCATAAATTTTATGTTAAGATTGATTAAATTAAATAAAGTTGGAAAATCTAGATAAACATTAACAAATTGAAGTATTAAAAAATAAGGGATATAATAGATGTTATTGAATTGAATATTTATTTTATTTGTATGAACATGAAAAATAACAACTTAAATAAGAATTGTTTTAGACGTTTAAATATTTAAAAAATGATACATTTATGTACCAGTAACTTTTTGACAGCATGAAAGTTTCTAGATGTTTCAATCTCATATCTTATAAATTAATGAAAATATCTAAATAAAAACAAAATAAATAAATCGCATGAACTACCCGATAAGTCTTTGATCCGAATGAAAGTAGATATTTTTACACCCGGATTTTAACAAAATTAAAGAGTTAAAGGTCAATTGATGGAAATAACTATCTCCAAAATGTTAAATATTTTTCCAATCTTATCAGTCACTTGTGAAACTACAGTGATACACAATTGTTCTCTATCTCCACGAATGTCAAGGGTGAATGTCAATCAAGGGATATATAAAGATGTAAATGAATTTAATGGATGCGAATAGTAAGACGAAGCTCGAGGTGGAATCGTCGGTGGAATTTTTAAAAATGCTGAGAAATATCGTGGTTTTGGCCACGGCCTGCCTCTGCTTGGTGGCAGCGCACAAGCAAGCTGATGTTCACACTGCTGATAAAGCCTTCTTGGTCAAGCAGAAGGATCTTTACTCTCTATTCTGGCATGTTGATCAGCCAACTACTGTAAATGCTGATCTCTATCAGGTTGCACGTTCTTGGAGCATCGAAGAACACATTGACTCTTATGTAAATCAGGTAAAGTATTTTTTCTACTTTTATATTGTCAAGATGGTTTTGGGGTTCATTCGATTATAGTTTCAATAATATTTAATACAAATGTTTATTTTCAGACTGTTGTTCATGATTTCGTGCTCCGTTACAAGCATGGTCTTCTCCACCGTGGTGCTGTGTTTTCAACTTTCCACCATGAACATCTTGAAGAAGCTGTCGCTCTTTTCAAATTATTCTGGTATGCCAAGGACTACGAAACCTTCTACAACACTGCCGTATGGGCTCGTTTTAACGTCAATGAGAAACTTTTCACCTATGCTCTTGCTGTAGCTATCATTCATCGTCCTGACACTAAATACATTCATCTTCCTCCTCTCCATGAAATCATGCCACACTTCTTCTTCAACAATGAAGTCATCCAAGCTGCTTACTACGCTAAAATGGGAGATTCCAGTAAGTAAATTTAACTTATTAGAATAAAAATAATAGATTTTCAAAGTTTAAAAAAATTTTTTTTGTAACTTGTTTAGGTGTCAAAGCTGCCGTCAGTGTTAAATACCGTGAAGGTGGTGATGTTATTATCCACTCCAATTACAGTGGTTGGTATTTGACTCATGAGCATACCGATGAAAAATTGAACTACTTCACTGAAGATGTTGGTCTCAACTCCTACTACTTTACCTTCGTCCATGACTATCCTCATTGGATGGACAGCGAAACTCATCATCTTCAGAAAGAAGTCCGTGGAGAACTCTACTACTATGGACACAAACAACTGTTGGGTCGTTACTACCTCGAACGTTTGTCCAACGACATGGGAGAAATTGAAATGATTGATTGGCATGAACCTATCATCACTGGCTACTATCCAAGCATCCACCATGCCAATGGACTTCCATTCCCCCATAGACATTCATACAGCCATGTTCCTCATCACAAATACGATTTGGTTCATGTAAGTATTTCTTTTATTTTCTTCTTAACATGTTCGCACAATGATAACAAAAAGTTAATCTCGATTACAAATAAGAAAATTTTAATTTCTTTTCAATGAAACATTGACCTTTAGTTTTATAAAAAAAATTATTTATTAAAAATTGAAGTATATAACAGGAAAAAATAATATAATCTAAATATAGCATATCTTTGTTATTTATATTAAACTAATATTGGTTTTGTAGGATGTTGAGGAATACGAAACTAGAATTCATGCAGCAATCGATTTTGGATACGTCTATGATCACAGTCACCCACCCAAACCAGTAGACATTTACACACCTGAAGGTTTCAACATTCTTGCCAACATTATTGAAGGAAACGCTGATTCTATTAACGTACACTTCTACGGTAGCATCGACCATCTCTGCAGAAAAATCCTTGGTTTCGGCCTGAGTCCCATTGACAAACACCATATCCACCCCAGTGCTTTGGAATACTACGTCACCAGTCTTAGAGACCCAGCATTCTGGCGTATCTACAAAAAGATCGTTACTTACTTCTTAAAATACAAAGAACATTTACCCACATACACTCATGAAGAGCTGACCTTCCCCGGAATTAAGATTGATTCAGTAGCTGTTGACAAACTTCTTACTTACTTCGAGCACTACGACTCTGAAATTAGCAATGGAGTGCCAGTATCTACTCACAAAGATGCTGAAACGACTTCCATCAAGGTGCGTCAACACCGTCTCAACCACAAACCCTTCACATATCACATTACCGTCAACAGTGACAAAAATGTTAAAGCTGTTGTTCGAGTATTCCTTGGACCCAAATTTGATCACCACGGACATGAAATCGACTTTGTTGACAACTGGGTCAACTTTGTGGAACTTGATCAATGGGTTGTTGATCGTAAGTATTAGAAATCATTGCATTTATGACGAAACAATATTTAAAACAGCGCTAATAATTAAATTAATTTTTTTTTTAGTTAAATCTGGTATCAATAAAATTGAACGCAGCAGTCACGAGTCTATCTATGTAGTTCCTGATGAGCCTAGTGGTGTAGTCTACTGGAAGAAGCTTGTTAAAGCCATTGAAACTGGCGAAGCATTCACCTATTCCAGCCAAGTTTATGGCTTCCCTGATCGTCTCATTTTACCAAAGGGTAAAAGAGAAGGTCTCCCACTTAAACTCTTCGTTTTCATTAGTGAATTCGATGAGAACCACGTTGTCAAAATGGACTCACCAGTATGGGGAACCACTGTTGTTGATGCTAAACCCATGGGATACCCATTGGACAAACCTGTTGTTGCTCACAGTTTCCATGTTCCTAACGCTTACTTTAAGGACGTTGTGGTCTTCCACAAACACGTTGAAGAACTGAACCTTACTGTTTAATTGTTTAAGTGTATTTTCATTCAATTTATATGTAAATGAGTATACTTAGTTTTATAATTCTTTGAAATATATTGAACCAATTTCATTTATAATATTGTTGTTTTTTTATTCAGTTATTGTTCTTGACGAAACCTGTGACCTTTAATATCATTCAATGCTAATTAAAATGGGAATAAAAGTAGATTTATTTTTCTTCCATCTAAAGCTAAGAATTAACTATCCGGAAATAATTGTTAGCTGAATAATTTAAAATTGAGAAATATGTTTTTGAATGAATTAGAAAAAAATTATGTAATTATGATAACTCATTTTTCAGAATAAAGAAAAAAATCAGTTCAATTTTATCAGCAGACGAAACAAATTAAATGATTGATGTAAACATGGGGTACCTTATCATGTATTTGCTACAATTTATAATTTTAATCAAAACATTAAATTTATTAGAATTTAATACGACTGAATAGAATAACAAATATAAAAATAAATTTTTTAACATCTAAATTAAAATATTCTACCAAATAATAACATAAATAAGAAAGCAGTTGAATAAATATTGATAAGTATGGTTTTTATACTTGTATTTAATATACTGATCACGTTCAAAATATGTGCACGAAAGCGATTGATGACAATTTTTAGATGTTGATAATAATATTTTTCTACAAAGTAGTATCTACCCCTTTTGTAGATAAAATATTGTTTTTATGACAAATGTTAGTTTTTCAAGTGCACTTTATGACCTTTAGTCTGATACATGATTATTACCTATCACCGTCCTATAAAAGTCTGAAAGCTAGGGGGAACTAATGATTCTTAGTTTTTCTTCCAAGTGCGACATAAGTCGCACATAGTTTTTAACTACTCCTTAGAAATACTAATTAAATTACAATGTTAAAGCAAGTATTTTTACTTGCTTGTGTGACTTTTATAGCTGTTGCTGCTGAGGGTGGCTTTTATTATACAGAAGTGACTGCTGATAAAGACTTTTTGCTCAAACAAAAAAAAATTTACAATTTATTCTATCATGTTGGTCAGCCAAATCTTGTTAATCAAGATTTATACTCAGAAGGACAAGCTTACAGTATTGAAGCCAACATTGACTCTTACACCAATAAGGTATTGAAATATTAATGTATTAATTTTTTTTTGGTAATATTAATTATTATTCTAAATATTAATGAATGTTTTTGAACTTTCAGGATGCTGTAAACTACTTCCTGGAGTTGTACAAGTTTGGACTGCTTCCGAAGGGTGAACTCTTTTCTCTCTATTACCCAAAACTCTTAACAGAAACTAAAGCTCTTTTCAAACTGTTTTATTATGCCAAGGACTTTGATACTTTCTTTAAAACTGCTCTGTGGGCTCGTGCCTACATTAATGAAGGCGAATTCCTTTGCGCTCTTTACCAAGCAGTTATTCGTCGACCTGACACTTTATATATCCAACTTCCACCTCCATATGAATTCTACCCATATGCCTTCTTCAACTCTGAAGTCATCGAAGCTGCAAAGAATATTAAACTGCTCAACAGGATTGGTAATATATTTATTTGTATCATAATTCATTTTATTCCAAATAAATTCTTTTCTATAATTCATACGAATTCTAGACAATCCAGACAGCAATTCCTATATTATTCGAGGAAATTATTCTGGATGGTATTTGAATCGCGATTATGATATTGAGATGAAACTAAAATACTTCCTTGAAGATATTGGATTAAATACTTATTACTTTTTCTTCCGTCAAAATAATCCTTTCTGGTTGAGCTCTGAGGAATTAGGTCCCTCGGGAGAAATTCGTGGTGAAGAATACTTATATGGACATCAGCAACTTTTCAATCGTTACAACCTTGAACGATTGGCTAACCACCTAGAGAAGATTGAAGATTTTGATTGGGGCTCTGAATTTTATCCAGGTTATTATCCAACTATGGTTTATCACAATGGTCTGCCGTACCCTCAACGTCCACATTGGAGCAAGATTCCTCACTACAAGTATAAATTCCTTTTCGTAAGTATTATTTAAAAAATACAATCAAGTTATGAAGTTTATAATTATAAAACATTTTTTTCTTTCTGCAAAGGCTATACGTGATTATGAGCTCCGGATTTCTGCTGCCATTGACTCAGGATTCATACTTGGTGCCAATGGTAAACATCACAGCATATATACACCAGAGGGTTTAAATATGTTAGGCAATTTAATTGAAGGAAATGAAGACTCATGTAATAAAGACTTTTATGGAAGCATTGACTTCTTTGCCAGAAGAATTCTTGGCTTTAATTTGGAGCCGAAATCTCCTTATCAAGTAATACCCAGTGCACTGGAATCATCCTTCTCTTGTATGCGAGATCCAGCATTCTATCGTTTATATAAACGAATCAGTTACTTTTTATACCGATATAATTTGCGTAAAAAGCCGTATACCAAAGAAGAGCTCGTTTTCCCTGAGCTAAAAATAGAGTCTGTTGCTGTAGATAAGTTGCTAACATACTTTGATGACTTTGATGCAACAATCAGCAATGGCTTACCAATAGCAAGTCAGAAAGAAGCTGAATTAATGACTATTAAAGTACGACAACAACGTCTTAATCATAAACCATTTACTATTCACATCACTCTTAATTCTGACAAAGCTCAGAAGGTCGCTATTCAAATATTTATGGGACCAAAATACGATGCACAGAATAATCTTCTAGAGTTTTCTGAGAGCTACAAGTACTTTTATGAATTTGATTACTGGATCACTGATGGTAAGTATCTTGAGTTAATTTTTTTATCATTCAACATTCTTTTCTGAATATTTGTCTTTAAGTGACTATGGAACCCAACCCTTCTTTTTAATGAAAATAGCTTTCTTGATATTATCTCTCAAGTAATAGTTTTACGCACATCCATTATTTTTATCTTTCATAAACACTTAGGAAATGAATTATGCTTGAAGAAGATAATTGCAGTATTGCGATAAAAAACTATATTATAATAAACTTTTTAGTGGCTGCTGGTAGCAACAAACTTGAACGCAATAGCCACGACTTTTTCTTCCTGATGCCAGACAAGGAACCTAGTGAGATTTTCTACAAAAGAATCGAGAAAGCACTTGAAGGCACTGACCAGTTTACTTACAAACAGTATCTCTACGGCTTTCCCGAACGTCTTCTTCTACCTAAAGGAAGAAGAGGCGGTTCTCCCTATCAACTATTTATCTATGTTAGTCCAGTCAACGAACTCTATGACTACAAGTCTCGAGTATTCGGAAACTATCAGTTTAATAAAAAATGCATTGGATTCCCACTCGATAGACCCATCTATTATCCTTATTTCCAAGGACCTAACATCTTCTTTAAAGACATCATTATTTATCACAAATCTGATATTGATCCCAATGCCACCAGTTAAATTACAATCACATTTTAAAATTTCCTCCATATTCGACGTTTGGAAGATTATCATAATTTATGTCACTATTTTTTTAATGACCAGTGGAATGCTTTATTTTACTGCGTTTTTTTTCCTTAGCTTCGTTAATGTTTTCTTTAATGTGACTTTGACTAAATAAAAATTTTTTGCACTGATGAATTTTTTTATTTCTCCAGGACGTTTGTATTATCCGTTGCTTTGCCTGTTCATAGTCGTTTTTACGTCACAATGTAACTGTACTGTCAGATATAACAGTACATCGATAGAACGCAGGGATACTCCCACAATTGAATTCATTTATTCTTTATATTGTGTGCATTCATTTGAGTGAGAAAAAGTATTACATAAATAATGCCACAATTGATTAGACAATCACCTTAGATCCGCTTTCTTCTTCGATGATGATCTACCACAGATTAATGGATAAATTATGTAACTGATGTAATCAATGATTGAAAGGTACAGAAAAATTTCAAGAGTGAAAAATTTCTTTATAATTGATGAAGTGATAAAATGACTTAACTGAGTACAGTGCAAGGACCGGATTTTTCAAATAAATACCTGATGATCAAGATCTCGAGGCTTCCGGAAGTTTAGCTCGATCTTGTAGTCGGTCAAGGTCAAACATGTTTGGAGTGGATTACCAAGCAAAGTTGAAAGAATGTGGAACGTTAACCTGTAGTCCGGGGGGACATACAGACAAGGAGCAGGTAGAGGAAGGTGCCGTTTACATTCGAAGTTGAGTTCAAGATCTTCAGTATTGCCATGACCGTCAAGACTTGAAGAATCATCAAGTGAGACTCAGACATTTCTAGCATTATTTTTTATATCATTTCATTTCTGAAAGTTCATTTAAATCATCATTATGGAATTCAAACCATTTGTTGTAAGTTCATTTTTTCATTATTTTCATCAATTTATATTAAAATAATTAAATATTCATCATGCTCTAATAATTAAAAAAAAACTTGATCAATCAACAATCACTTCAGAAATATTTAATAGATATGTTGAGCTTGTATAGCATTTGAATGTGATAAAAAATAGATTGCCAGTAAAAAAAAGTTGATAAAAAATAAAAATAAAGAATATTGTGTGTTAGATATTATTTGTTATTGAATGTCTGGACGAAAGGTTATTATTATTTAACTGATCGAAGATAATAAAAACAGAATGATATAATAATTAAAATGTTTTCAAGTACTTAATCATTATGCAGGTCGGATTGTTGCATTTATTATTAACTTCCGTGTTTGTCGATACCGGTTTTGAAAGTATCGTCTTGGTAACTGTAACAGTGGATCTATAATGTACACGAGCAATAACAGTTACTTGATTTTTTTAGGCTTGATCTATGAAGTAGTTATAGACTAAATTGAAGAGCCTCGTCTACTGTATTAGTCTTATAAATAACTTTCAATCGGTCATTTAAATGTTGTTATTTACAAGTAGGTTAACATCTTCCTCTTCAATAAATCCGGTTATCTAGAAATAAATTGCTACATAGTTCTATGAACTTGTGCTTAATTATTATTACCATGTAAAAACAAGAATCAAACGAAACATTTTACATGAAACTTATTAATTTGCACAGTAGGTATATTTTATGAATAAAGCTATCACGATGATCAATTATTAAAGAATTGTTTTGAAAATATTTGCTTAATTATGACTATAAAAATGAATTATTTATTTTTTTTTTTTCAGTTGATATTAATGTGTTTTTCTGCGTTTGCTGATCCAAATCCAAGTAAATTAGGTTTGCAAATAAATGACTCATCAACCATGCCAGAAGAAGAACCACCAGAAGGATATTATGCTTTTATTGAATCACCAAATGCTGAACCACCAAAACTACGACCACCTCCTTACATAGATAGTGATAAAGAATGCTATGGTACAGAACAATAAAAGCTCTAGATAGAAATAGAAAAGTTTGAGTTTTTAGAAATATAAAAATATATTTAATCTTTTATATTGAAGAGAATAATCTCTTTATGCGATTAATTTATAAAATAATCTTTCTAGATACTGGAAAACAAGGCCAAGGTTTTGTGTCAATACACAATGTTTGTGGAGATTTGAATAAAGGATACATACCTAGAAATCCAATGAAACAAAACGTTGCTGGCTCATCATATCCATTGTAAGATTAATATTATTTATTTTCTTCAATTGATTTGCCTTAAGAAAAAACATTCTAGTGATTTACTATATTTTTTAATTGTTTAATCAAGTGAGCTGATAAGAAACCACACACTCAAATTTTTGAGTAAAACAGTACCCATACTTAAAGCAGATGATTCATTGCCAAAAGTTGCTAAAGTTCAACCGTTTTCTCAAAACTCGTAAGTACAGTTATAACAAGATCTATCCATATTTAGGTACACTATAATTTATTATCAAGATACGATTTACTATTTAATATAGTTAAAACATTGTATTTACAAATAACGAATATTATTCTCAGCCATTACTAATAAATCAAATAATTTTTATAAAAAAGATATTCATTTTATTTACAATTGCTTGTATTAATAATTAAAAAGACATAAATATTTAAATAATGAACTTCATTACAAATTCAAATAATACTGATGTTTATCAATAATAATACATTAAATAATCAATAATTTATTACTGAATTATCAGAGTCCATACCAATGAGAAACGCAGCCGAAGCAAACGATCAGCAGAATCAAACACAGATGCAAATCGAAGTGGTCGTAAATTTTGTGAGAACGGTAGTGGAGTGTAAGTAATTTCTATGTGATAAAGAAGTTGATAACATGATCAATGTAATTAATGAGCAATAATTCATAACACAATATTACATGACTGAAAAACACTTGCAGTGTCTGCATGCTGTACAAAGCTATTCAGGGAGAACCATTAACTTCATCTGTTGTTGAACGAAGAGATGAACCAATATCACCTGAATATCGTCAGCGAACTCCATCTCAAGAGAAACCTGAATACACTGGACCACCAACTCCATGTCCGGCGAAAGTAGAATATGCTACTCCAGTTTTTGCTAAAAATTATCAAGGAATCTGGCGTTATGTTGTTCAAATTCCTTATGAAGGATATTTCACTCAAACTATTGAATTAACGAGATGCATGTATGTATCAATTATTTTGTAGAATAGTTACTGATTGCTCTTAATTTTGAACTAAATGATAGAGTTTATTTAGAACTAGAAAGCTACTAGAAAGAATAATAATTGATGGTAACATAAAATGATTCATCATGTTTACAGGCAACCTAAGTGCCATTACTTAGATGGTGGCTGTCTATCATCACCAAGATGGACGAGTCTTCTAGTAGCGGAAATATTTTACCCAGATACTTTCCTCGAGGAAAACCAGAACGGCAAATTCCCAGGTCCAAGAGAACCAATAGCAGGCTCACCACCACCTGTTCATGATTATCAGAATTTCCAGATGTATTTGCAAAAAAGAGCTGGAGAAAATGAAGGACGCAGTAGTACAAGTCAACAACACCATTGTGATGGAGTTGATGATATGGGCTGTTTCCAGGTGAATATTTATATATAATTATTCTATTGTTCAATAATTAATGAACTATTAAATGATAAAAAGATCATATATATTAATAAGGATATGGGAATTTTCCTATTATGATTGATAACTGCAATCAAGGAAATATTATTAATTACCTTTTAATTATTCTCAGGTTCGTCTCTATTATGACTGGTTCTTAGTACCTGGAAGCTGTAAATGCTGGAGACCTGATTACTTTAATCGTTATGTTCGTCGCACTAGCATAAGCTCTGATTTGTAAATCTAATTTTTGCTATCTTGTTTGAAGATAAAATACTAATGACTTTAATTACTTGGATTAGAAGTTGTGGAAATTTTAATTTTCAATTGTTTTCCAGCTCTACTCAGCGAAGTAATTATACTTGATAGTAATTTAAAAAAAAAACGACTGATGATTGCTGTAGTTTAGTATTATACGGATTGTAAATTTAGATTCTAGTGTATGTAGACTACAAATTAACAATTAAGTATTTTATTGTATTTTTTCATTTAATAAAACTTTTTTATTTCTAGTTAAGATTTAGTCACATGATTTATGTCAATATCTAGATTCATGTTGATTTGTTTATTCATGAGCTTTCTTACTCATGAGTGAATAATTAATGATTAATAATTCAAATAAATAAATAAGTGAATAAAACTGGTAATATAGGGTGGAGAAAAATTTCAATCAATGAACTTCTTTGGATGTTTTTTGTTATTGGGAAGTTTATACAAATTAATAGTTGAGGATGGTGTCAATACTTGAATGATTCACACTTTTCATCCTCAACGATAAAATTACTGGAATCAACTGGATTTCCAAGTGATTTTATCAAACCATCAAGGGTTTCGTCAGCTGTAGAATAAATATTCCACGATTTTTCATAATTTTATATCATTAAAAAAATAGATAAAAATTTAAAATATTTTCAAAATTTAGAAAGCAGACAGGAAGTATAATAAAAATCTAAATAAAGGTCATATACACAAATAATAGTGGTTCATGGTTTTCAAGTTGTTTTAGTAGAATATTAATACTTATATATAAAATAATTCATGTTTTGTCCTTTATCAGAGAAAGGTTAATCCATGGATATACTCATTACGTAGTCTATCCGAATAAAAAAATTTTCCTCGTAACTACTGGTTTCTCCTTCGGCCACTTGTCATGTGACAATTTAATTGAAATCAGTTAACCTCAGATCTCTCGATTTCTACAGTCTACATACTTATATACACCGCGTGACTTTTCTCGAACTCGCATCACGTGCCTTCAATCTTGTAAAGCTCGCGCAAAACATTTAATTCTGCTTCAAGAACAACTACTGATGTCAATAACCGTATTCTTAGCAGTATTTATCTCATATTATTTGCAGTATCATTTTTCCTAAGCTTGATAACAATCACTGCTAAATGAATTTTGTAAACAGGAAAAGATCAGTGAGTAATTAACAATTAACAATACTTAATAAGATGATAAGTATTCTAACGAAAATTGTTATTATGGTAATCAATGTGCAATTATAATTATTCGATATTTTAATAAATAATTTTTATTTAGTAATAATTTATGTGTATTAGTCGTTGATAGTAAAATCAATATTGATATTTTATTCACTGGTAGAATTGCAAAAAAAATTTAAGTTTCTTTCTTTACAGGACATATATAGATATCTAATAATAGATCAAAAAGAAATGATAAAATTTGACAAATAATATCATTAGAAAAATTTTTAATCAAATATATTTGAAGAATATTTACAAGAAGATAAGGAAAGTATATGTTTGATTCTCGTGATTCTCACGAGATCAGTAATTGAGTCATCTTATATTTGTCAGTAAACACAAGATGTTCAAAAACATGATATCGTTTATATCCTGGTAGTCGAAATTTATATTTTCTTCTTAATTAAACCTAAACAAATTCAATGACAACCAATTTGAATTTTTTATCGAGGAAATGTAAAAAACCATCAATCATTAATCATGCAAATAAAATATAAACACACATTTGTCTGACATGTTTGATGAGTCGACTTACAGGTGCTAACATTGACTTTGCATCTGCACAATTTATGGATATAATAATATAATAAAACGCTACTTATCCGAAGGACTTGGAATTAATTGCTAATTTACAAAAAAAAACAATAGTAAACATAATTAAAATTTGACATATCTGAGTTAATAAAGTATTTAAAGCGACCTGAATTTTCGAGTTGTCAACATGATAATTCTTTTGTTTACCGTGGATTGTAATATTTAATTAAGTGTAACATATCAATAATCTGTTAATAAATTTTTTAAGAGTATTCTATTTCATTATCTATGACTACAATACACATTAATATTTTTTTAATGAAATTCAAATCATTTGTCAAACATTGGTATTTCCTTCTTCATTTAATTTTAAAAATTATTTAATACAAGATAAATTTTTTCTCTGAATAGTTTCACGTGATCCTTCTTAACTTTCCTGAATTCTAAGAAAAATCTTTGATGCATTTATATTATATCTGCAACCGACGATTTTGTTCATTCAAGTGGAAGAAAACTTCTAACACACTTTCCAATAGTAATATTTGCTCTAAACTAATTGCATTGAGTAATCAAAATGTATGTAAAGATAATTTTAATCCAAGATGATCAAATAAAAGAAAAAAAAATAATAATCATTACAATAACTTATTATCAACCTTTTGTATCCGAAACATTTTATATTTCTTATCTAGTTGAACCAATTGAGTGAAGCAATTTAAACATTCTATGTGAAATATATTTCTATTGTTAATTATTTAAAATATAGCAAAATGCAAGTCACGAGACACATAGCATAGATCCCAATCGGGTGCTTAAAGATATTTTAAAGTTGCAATCCGTTTGTTCTCCAGTGACGTCAACAAAAGTGCCGACGAAGAGGGGATTCACAGACACAAAAGGGCAAGAGAAGGGGACGTTGTCTTACGATACAGGAAAACACACTTGGAGATTCGTTCTAGCCATTTAAATGACGGAACGCACGTCGTGTGGGATCAGTTTTTACTTCAATCCCGAAAAGTGACAATTGTAGACAACACTTTACATTAAAAATCAATTTAATCAAATAGTTCTTATATACTTCACGTATTGACTTTACATTTCGTGGATTTTTTTTTTAATTTTCTATTATTCAGAAACGTGTTAGAAATATTTAAAAATTTTTCTCCTAATTATTTAAATAAGTGTTAGAAATAGTGAACAGTTGAAAGAAAATTAAATATTATTTTAAATATAATTTCTAATTATTTTAACTTGAATTCAACATATTTTTTCTTAGAGTTTACAAATTTTTGAAAACGAATTTGGAATTAAAAGTAAATTAATGATTGAATAGATAAAGATTGCTACTATGTGAATGCAAACAAAAATAAATACCATTGTAAGGTGTGGTACTGCATGGTACAATTTTGTATTCATACAAGGTAATATTTAAAGCTTATTTATCACGTGTTAATAAATATTTACAATTATTAATTCACAATCAGAAATCGTTTTCTCGTTACTTCAAATAATTAACAATCAATCATTCAATTACTCAACAAAAAATAATTTCATAGATAATTTTCAATTTACACCCAAAGAACATACTAACTGGTATCGAGTAGCATTTTATAGTGTCTGACACATAATAGACTGTACCACTAGAGCGTAAACTAATATTTGATTTATCACCAAATAAAAGAACTTATCTAAATTATTTTTTTTCATTTAACCAATATCTTGATTCAAAAAAATGTATTATTACTACAATCTTACACTCTGTCTCAGCTAATTGATTAATTAAACATATCTCGAAATGATTAATCGTCCATCAAAAGCATAAAGGAAACTTGATCGCATCGGATATCGAATCACATAATAAGCATCATTTGTGTCGATGTTTGCTGAAGAAAAATATTTCTTTATCATCCAAAATACGTAACAGAGAATTTTCCAAAACTATGCCATGGTTCTTCTATTGATCGGTTATCAAAGAAAAATGAATCTAAAAGTTACGAAACAGTCCGATTATTACGTAAAATAGTCGCAAATATTGCTTCTCTTTTTTAAAGATCACGTAATCGACTAAAATATATACACATGTTACACGAACTAGTGCACATTTCCAATGGCAAATGGATATAAATGTGTTTCAAGATCCACAAGAGTGCTCACACGTGTATACGTACTTGAGTAGAAACGGAAAGACAAAGATAACATCAGCGCCTACCTGTCTATTAATTTCTTTGGACTTGGATTGCTCGTAAAGTGTCAGGGTCTTCGAACTATCATCGTTTTCCTGCTTCTTCCATACTACTCAACACATTCCTTATCAATCTAAACTCACTCGATTGATGTTAAAGTATTTATTCATCATCAAATATTTACGAGAGTTTCTAAAAAAACAATCTAGAATCATTATAACTTACTTCTCACTTGTCAAAAAGTCACGAGGTTGATAGCAGTTCATTATTTATTTTTTTCCATTTTTATTTGATTAGATAAAAAAACGATTCCTTTTATTTTCAACGATTTCATTTTTACGTTATTACTTATTCATTAGTGGTTTGACAACTAACTGAAATTATACGTTGTTATACCTGATGAATTTTTAGTGTCCCTCAAAACAATATCAATTCGTTACTCACACGCGGCATCTATCCATACATGATCCACGTGCTGCTATTTATTCTTTGATTGGTTACATTTATTGATGATTCGACTTGATCAATAATAATAAGTAAGAGTCCATTAGTAGAAATAAATATTAATAACTGACTGATCATTTGATTGATTAAATGATTCAACAATAATAAATCCATAAATCACTTTGTTGCTGAAGTTATTTGTTCTAGAATGTCATTTTTGAAAATTCACCGATATTGACTTTGTTTTCTTCTTATTTACAGCTGTCATTAAAATTGTATACTCGTTTGAATGTTTGTTTATCGCATTTTTCTGTTTATTCTTGAGTTAATAATTAATATAAAAATTTGCTTAACATAAACCGCAGTTTATCTAAATTATCCTAGATGAGTATTCTTTGATTTATTACTATTCAGATAATTCCAATTCACCTTGAGAGTCTAGATGACGAAAATATTTGTCATATTGAATGATCTAGATTGTAGAAAATAGAATGATAACAGAAAAGGATCAATGTTTATATAACAATCATAAATAATAGGATTTATTTTTATCAAGTGTAATTTTTGATGTCAATTATGTGACAATTATGTATATGGTTATGAATAATATTGTGTATTAAAAAATTTTGTTGATGTTATAAATGAGAATGAAATGAAATTGACTGTATTCAACGTTTATATTGTAGTGAACTCGTGAACGTCGGATGAAAACGTGTTGGTTGTGGAAGAAGAAAAAACCTTGTTGCAAAATCAAAAGATATAAGGTATCTCGATGATTCAGATATGAGGAACGGAAAAAAAGTCAATGAAATAAACGGAAAAACCATGGTTGGATACATTAATGAGGGTATGCATGACTCTCAGGGAAACATTAATATTGATAAATTCAGCAATAATTATAAAATTCAAGACTCCACCTACGAACAACGTGCTGACATTCAAAGTTCTTATGACCTGATCTGTAAGTTTACAAGTTTATCATTATTATAAATTATTTTTGAAAAATCAATCTAATATTTTTTACTTCAAAAAATGACTTTGTTCATTTTTAAATGTCAATCACAAATTTGATAATAATTTTATTAATTGATTCCTCTTGCATTCAACGAGGATATTTTAAAAGTGAGTCTGTAGTATTAAGAACAAAAAATAAAATAATCATAATGCATACAAACATAAAAAAAAACAATTATAAAATATCGTTAACATTGACAATGAAAACAATATGGCAAAATGAATAATTCATGTAATTTTTCAATAGTGACGGAAGAACCAAATAATGTTGGTGGAAAACAAAGAACCAACATCTTGAAGTCAGCTTTCCAGTACACAGTGCATCGTGTTAAAAAATCGTGTACGAGGAAAACTTTACATAGGAGGCTGCCAATTTTTCAATGGCTGCCGAAGTATAACGGAGATGATGCTCTTGGTGATATTGTTGCTGGTATCACTGTTGGACTCACTGTCATTCCACAGTCTTTAGCTTATGCTAATGTCGCTGGACTACCTCCTCAAGTAATTTAAAAACTTAAACGTTGATAAATAAACTTTTTTTTGCTTTCAACAATACTAATTAATTGTTTTTTATTTAATATGTTTGCAGTATGGATTATATGGTAGCTTCTTAGGGTGTTTTCTTTATATATTTTTTGGATCTTGCAAAGATATTCCTTTCGGACCGAGTGCCATAGTATCATTGTTAACATTCCAAACAGTAGGCCACTTAGATTCGCCAGTTCCACACGCTATTTTGTTGTGTTTTTTATGTGGAATTATACAATTATTCATGGGAATCTTTGGTCTAGGTGAGTAATTAATTATAAAATATATTGTTGCTAATGAGTAATTATTACAAGTAGTAATAGTCTTACTACAGTCATAACCAGGTTTCTTTATCAAAAGCACAAATAGTTAAAATTATTTAATGTACTTAATTCATTAAACTTGAACTGCCTATGATTCATCAAGATTAACGTGTAACTTGATAAAATCTTTTGTAATAGAAAGAGCAACGTAAAATTCCATTCATGACAATAATGTTCTAGAAACTTATCTAAGTTCTCTTTCACTCAACAGAAAATTTAAAAATTTCTCAACTTTTAATTATCATTTAATACATATAAATTATCACTTGTACAAGAATTTTCATTATTGTACTACTTATTGGATAATGTCTAATTAATTTATGTTTTTATCAAAATTAGGTTTCCTTATCGACTTCGTATCAGGTCCTGTAAGTTCAGGGTTCACATCTGCAGTAGCTTTAGTCATTGTAACATCCCAAATTAAAGATATTCTTGGAATTCCTGTCGTAGGATCGTCATTTGTGAACATTTGGCAAAGTATTTTTACAGAAATTCATAAAACGAGGCTTTCAGATACAGTTTTAGGATTTTCTTGCATTACATTGTTGCTGCTTCTCAGAGTAATTAATTAGAAAATATTTATTTATTGATTAAAAAATTACTTAATGCTAACAAGATACTGAATATCGAATTATTTCTCAATTTATTAGGCAATTACAAACATCAGAATTGGCCCTGCCGAAGAAGAACAACGAAATACCAAACATAAAGTGTTCACCAAAATGATTTGGCTTATTGGAACATCTAGAAATGCTGTGATGGTTGTACTCTGTGGAGTACTAGGATATAGTTTTACTTCAAGCCCATTCAAATTAATAGGTAAGTATTTCATTTAAATCAATATAATTAAAGAAAATTAAAGATTCTATCAGCATTATTGTGATACTTATTTTAATGAATATAGGCTATTTACCTGGTGGGTTGCCAAGTGTTCAAATACCACCTTTTGGATTCACAAAAGAGGATAATTCAACAGTTACATTTGTTGAAATGTGTTCAAATTTAGGCAGTGGAATTCTCATTTTGCCACTAATTGCTTTAATGGAGGATGTAGCAGTTTGTAAAGCTTTTAGTGAGTTGATAATTATTTTAAACTATTTTCATTGTACAAGTTTTATTATCTTTAATTGTTTATGCTGTACTGAGAATTTTTCTTCAAAGTTGCATTACTCTTAAATTTTTTTAGGTAATGGAAAATCTATTGATGCTACACAAGAGTTGATAGCAATTGGAATATCGAATATCGGTTGTTCCTTTGTTCAAGCTTTTCCTGGTACTGGCTCACTTAGTAGAAGTGCTGTTAATAACGCTTCTGGAGTGAGAACTCCACTTGGTGGACTTTATACTGGTAAATAACATTTTAATTACTTTTAAAATATTACTTACTTATTATTCAGCAATTTTCATAAATTGTTTTACTTGATTTAAAATTTAAAATTTTCAATATTTCTATTTAATAGGTATTCTGGTTATTGTCGCTCTTTTATTTCTCACACCTTATTTCTTCTACATACCAAAAGCATGTTTAGCAGCAATTATAATATCTGCAGTCATTTTTATGGTCGAAGTGAAGGTGATAAAACCCATGTGGCGAACAAAAAGTGAGTAAAAATCTATTTTTTAATGTTTGGATAATAAATCAAAAAAATATTTCATTAATTTCCATAAGAATTACCGTAAAATTTACATACTATGATATCTGAATTTAATTAAAAGAATCATGTGACTCTACTGTTATAAAAAAAAATTTTAATTCATTATAATTCCGATAAGAATGCAAAATAAATTTTAATTATTCATAATAACTATATCTATAAATAAAAAATGATTTATTCATGCAATTTTTTCTAGAATCTGACCTGATACCAGGCGTAGCAACATTTATTGCGTGTCTAGTTTTACAATTAGAAGTTGGAATTCTACTTGGGATAGGTCTAAATATTTTATTCATCCTCTATCACGCTGCGAGACCAAAAATCTCGCTAGAAAAACTTCAGGTAAATACCAGATTTTTTTCACCTATTTCCATTACTATCAATTGACTCTAGCCATTGATTAACTTTTAATGACTCACATGTTACTTAAATGGTTATTCATATATGTAATAATTATTTTATAATGATTATGACTGATGCAATACTTAACATGTGACTTTTTTATAGTATAAAAACATTCCTTCATCCTCATTAACATTACTATACATAATAATATCTATCTGTTATTATTTTTTATATAATAAACAATCCTGTTTTTCTATCCCTGTCATTTAATGTCTCAATCCTGCCAATTATTTAATCATCTTTTTATTACTTATTTATTATTATTACCTACTACTAGTTCTAATTTTATTTAATTATTATTTATAGAGCTGCTGTGGTGTAGAGTATCTCATGTTAACACCAGATCGTTGTCTAATTTTCCCATCAGTCGACTATGTAAGAAATCTAGTAACAAAGTACAGTCGTTGCACCGGAAATACATTGACCCCTGTTGTAATTGACTGTTCACACATTTATGGAGCTGATTATACAGCAGCTACAGTAGTGGAAAGCCTGTCAAGAGATTTTGCATTACGTGGTCAGCCACTATTTTTTTACAACCTGAAACCTTCAGTCTATGCTGTCTTTGAAGGTGTTGAACCTGCTGATCTTATTGTTTATTATACACAAGATGCTCTAGATGATCTTTTGAGAGAAAGAGGATACTTGAAGCAAGACAAACCAAATCCTTCACCAGCGTAGTCTTTACAACTTAAAAATATAAGTTAATTTATTAGTACGACAATAATATTTATTTTTTTTATTGAAAAAAATCGCTAGATAGTTCAAAACTATTTTTAATGTTAAGACATAAGAAGACGCATTTATGTGGATGTTGAAATTTGTTGAAAAATTTTTCTGCATAAAGTAGAATGTCCATAGGTCTGTCATATCGGTTAATTGTTCGAACTCAAGATAGAAATATTGATAAGTCATAGATAAAATCAATAATAGCGATTATGATGATTGACTTTGTTGTGAATTTATCGTCAATATAATTCATATAATTAATTAATGACAATGATACAATGTATATGCAAATTCTTACGTTAAAGAGTTGAAAAATTTACGAAAACATATTTATAATCGTTTCTGCATGATCCATTACGTCCATAATTAATTTATGTAATGTTAGGATGTTTATAATCCGATAAGCATTTTTGAAGAGAATTTTATGTGAACCTTTGCACTATGTTATGAATCTATTATAATTTCATAAAAATGATAGATTTACTTATGCTAGATAGTTTAATAGTTTAACTAATTGATTTATTTAAAAATATATTAGAAAAATTTTTAAGTTCATTATAAAATGTAGTATTAACAGTATTTTACATGTATCTGAATGTTCAATTTGGAAAACACTGTGATAATTTTATAATAAAATAAGGATAAAATATTGTTATTAATTAGGATAAAAATAACGAAATAAAACTGTTATATTGGCAGAAATATATACATATATTTTTAAAAATTATTTTGTTTAAATGATATGGTGTACAACCTGATATTAAAAAATTATAAATCACATTTTTTTTCATATTATTATTGTTAATACATTAATAATACGTTATCAATATTATTTCAAAAGTCTTGGCAAATTTCTATAATAAATAAAATGACATTGATTTTGAATAATTATTTAAATATTGTTAAATATAAATAAAATTTTTAAAAAAAACCAACATTTTCTAAATATTTTACGTAAATATTGCAAAGACTTTTATTACAAAATTTCTCTTAACGTAAAAGAAGACTGTTACTTATGTTGTACAAATATTTTTATTTATCAATTTACATAAATCTTTTATTTTATCTACATTACCGTAGTTTGAGCAAGAAAGTGCAGATTTCTTTTTTATTCATTTTTTCTTAATTATCTTTATTTATTGACTATTTCAAAAACTATGACATTTTAATATCTTTAGCTTTCATCTTAACTCAAGACTAGTATCTACTCGATTATTGTAGAAAAAATGATTTGCAAAAGCTGCACTGAATATCAAATGTAAATATGAATGTGTATAATAAATAATTAAACGTAATTAACTAACTTACTTAGTAAGAATTGACTTTTTTCGATGAGTTATGAGATATGTTCAAGTTGCTATTGAGCAGCTTTTACTTTGTTCCTTGGATATATCAGTCTGATATACTTTAAGACCATCCAAAATTCATTCGTGTCAGCTGATAGAATCGTTGATTAAAAGGTCTATAAAAATCTCGTAGACGTTGGATAGCAGTCGGATCAATATATGGATGGCTTCGACCTTTTGTTTTACCTTAAACCAGATTTAGTAATTTAACTTTTAATATGAGACCTTAATAAATAAAAAGTTTGATCAATAGGATTATTTTAGATCTTCATTAAACAAAGATATTTACCTAAGCAATGAGGAACAGCTTTCTGTTCTGACTTCATAAGACAAGGAAATCCTTTAGTCGTATTGAAATAAAAATGTTTCTCAGAAATGACACGTTTTAGACCAAGGAAATCCTGAACTCTAGTAATCTCAATTACCGGATCAGCAATCAAGCGTTCTCCGGATACGAAAAGTAGTTGGGAAAGTGGAAAATATTCAAGCCAACGTTCTAAATATCTAGCGTATACACCGATTCTCAATGGAGCCCAATTAGTATCAACGATTTGTGATCCATTGATAAAGGCACGGTCTTCAAACCTCGGTAGTTCTGGCCGTTTACTCTTTACTTGTGTATAATCCGAAATGGCTCTGGTAACTGGATCACGTACCACAACTATCAATTTCGTTCCTGGATTCATATGCTGAACTCTTCTTGGTACTTCTGGTGTTATAAAATAGGAAGGAGTCTTTTCCATAGTTACTTGGCCTTCTAGTGTTGGAGGCATTCGATGTCTGTTGATAAAATTGATTAATTAGTGACATTGCTGATTGAAAAATATTCAATGAATACTGATTTCCAGTGAATAATTACCTATACCAGTGAAATCCTTTGGAATAATTATGATCAAAAAAATGTATCTCAGAGCCGGCAGCTCGTATATCAGGATGAAGTCTCATGAATTCTAAAAGAGCTCGGGTACCTCCTTTTTTAACACCAATTATTAAAGCACTTGGTAGTTGTCTACTAGGTATTAAGCCTTGTTGCCTTAAAATTTTGTACTTTGGTGATGCATCTACGCTATCTTTTGATGTTACGTTATTACTTAATAGGGATATCACTTGAACTTTTGTTTTATTTACTTTGAAATTGGTAAAATCACCAAGTGGAATTTCTTCAACTTTCACTTCATTGATGGCTCGGCCAATGTTAATATTAGCAGTTAATCGTATTCGATGCAAAATGATTTTACGTGATAATCCACCGAAGGCACAAAACGTATCATTAAAATAAGCCCATGTGAAAATAATAAGAAAAAAAATACAAAAAAGGAATTTATTTGTCCATGAGATTCTACGTAATTCCATTGTTTACAAATGTATGTTATCTATGATTTTATCAATAAACATAATTTATTAAATTTATATCAAATAATTGATAATGATCTAAATGTATCGTAGATACCAAAAATTTCGATGTTACGGAATTCAAACAAAATTCTAGATTGACAGCCCTATCGACTTAATAACGACTGATATAAGATAAGAGAAGTTATTTAGTTCTTTTTGAAATATAAGTCTCTCGATGTTGATAAACATTTCCAAGAAATTGACTTATAGTATTGAAGAAAGAAAAATTTCTAAAGTGTTATGATAATTACTATTAATTCTTAATCATTCTCAATAAGATTTTGATTAAGTTATAAATCATTTAGTGCCTATTATTTAACTATTTCTAAAAAGAATCAACAATTATATAATATATATTATTTAAATCTAATTCATGTTAATCACGAGTTTCTAATAATTATTACTCGTTAATAAAGTCTTACTTAGCTTATAGTTAGTTAATAGTCTAAATGGTTAAATCAATATTACTACAGAGAATAAATGTCAATAATCGATAATATCAGATAAAAATGATCATGTCAAATAGTATATTTTATCACTAGTAATTGAAGGAAAATTGAGTTCAACTACATCACTTTTTCCAGCGTTATGTGATATCTAAACGACGTATCATTTTCACGAAACGAACTAAACTGACTACCAGGGAGAGGAATAAAGGTGCTGGCAGTCTCTACGCTTGCGCAAATTTTTCCGGGGTTAAACAAAAAAGTACTCTAAAATAAAAAGCTTGACAATTAGCATAAAAAAATATCCTTGATTTTTCAGGATAAAGATAATAAAAACCATTTCTATTTAAGCAAAAAAATTAAATGAAAATAAATTGAATCTATATACTTTAAAAATTCATATTCATCGTTTTTGTATTTAAAGCTAATTATTCACAGTTAATTATACATTTATCAATTTTACGATTTCGATTTACAATATTTCTCATCACTTAATTCTATGTACATCAAAGTAATCTGTATTCATTTAGAGTTATTAAATACAATAAAATTATTTTATCTTAATTAACTTCAACCTTGCATCACAAACATTTTATTATTATGGATTAATAATTATTTTACATACTTAATAGAACATTTTTATCAGAAGTTCATAAGAATATTTGCAGTTTTTATTACCAAAATTGTATATTTCAATTTTTAAAAGATTTTGTGCAAGTATTGGCAGAATTAGTCTAGAAATAATTCGTAATCATTATTAAGCTTTGTTAATAAATGTACAGCTATCCAGTAGGAATGTAATTATATGCAATAATAAAAATTGATAAATAGATAGAAAATAAATATAAGTGAATAAAAAAAATAAATATTACAGTTTCACTGTAATAATCATATCATAATATGAAAGACATGAGTGAGCTGAAGGTATAGCATTGATACCCTATTCGCTGTTAATGATTGAGTTGCAATAATAATTTGAAATATTCCATGACGGAACATAAAAAAATATCTTAAGAAGTTTTTAAATAATAGATTTTTATTTTATTGAATAGAATAAAATGCTGCGCAATAACCTCATACTTTTTATAGAAACTAGATGTTGGTTGTGAAGATTAATTCAATACTTATTGATTAATAATATTATCATTACGTAATTATAAATACCGTCTAATTACAGAGTTGCCAGGATTCGTGTAAAACCTACACACGCGGCCAATACTGTTTGTCCTGTACCCCAAAATAATGCATATAATGCTGGCATTTGATAGCTCGATGCTCGATAAACAAATGCTACTGTTGCGGAGCTGAGAACTCCTGATGTCAATGGCAGCAGAAACCCCATTATTAATATTAACAAAGGAAAAAATCTACAATTAAATTGATAGTTTATAATTTGTTAAAAATCAGGTCAGTTTGAAAGATGAAAAGAAATTTATTGATACTTACTTTCCATATTTGTGTTTACGCAAAGTAGCAAAACAGATGGATGCAGCAATAGTATGTACAAAAATTGAAGAAAATAGTGCCCATAAAAATATATGATACCACATTTCTGTATAAAAAAATCAATTATTATTATTGATATTGGTTTATGTGAATTTCCCAATAAATAGAGATTGAATTGCAATTAATGAATTACCAGCAAATGAGGTAAGTGGTGTGGAAAAAGCGCCTGATGGGGGAATTTTTATGTTGGATGCAAGATGCGGCGCCAAACTAGTAATAGGTACATTAGACATTGCTAATTAGGAATGACAATAAATGAAGGCTCGGTGAGCCTCAGTTTGATAAATGATGTACCCATAAACTGCCACGTTTTTATGTTTCGTTTGGTATCAATAAGTAATGTATGTTTCCTGTAAAAAAAGCATTCGATAAATTTTATATTATAAATGTTTTTATTACTAATGTAAATAAAGCTATTAAAATGAATGTAATAGTTATATAATAAAATGACTAGAGATTTGAAGGCATTATGAATCTGTAGCAATAAATAATAACCTACCGCTTTACGTCAATAATCATTGCAACAAAGAATTAAAATCATTCGAATTTCACCCGTCAATTCTATTGAATATATTAGAAACTTTGTTACTTTGGCATAGTTTTTTAAATGAAGAATACAATTATCTACTTGTATTTTTGGTGTAAAAATTAAAATATATCACATATTGTTATTCAAACATTTGTTTTAAAACTTATGTATATTACAAATCTGCAATACGTCAATAATTATTTCCTATCTAGACTCCACAGGTATAGGAAAAATTCTTAATAAAACTGATACGAAAATGTTGTATACAAAGAAATCGAATTGTTGCAAAAAATGCAACGAAACAATAATAAAAATGGCTCAATCCACATTGAATTTTTCGCTATTAGCGATTATCGTGACACCTATAACTGTCAGAAATGGAGTTTGGAGTAAAAAAAACGGAAGCTGTTTTGATCATAGCACTACGCATGGTCAATTCACGTACTAAACACTAACAGAAAATACACAGAGGCCAACTTAGCTAACTTGTTGTGAAATCGCACTTCTGTGTCAAATACTCCATTGTTCGCCATTTTTGTATTCTTCTTCATTGTTTACGTTCAAAAACACACACAAATATCCAACATTCTAGATCAGTTTCACATATGCGTACATAGGTATGATAATTGTTTGCGTATGTAAGTAATGACGTTTATACACATACGAATAGTGGCACAGATCAAATAGACTAGTATTTTGAGCTTTTAAAGGTTATATAAATCGTTTGTTTACCATATCGTGATGACTTCTTGAAGACATTGAATTGGTAAGATATAATATTCAATCCGTATAGCAATTAGATCTTCAATTGAAATAATAAAAGTTGCATTTAATAATTGAACAACAGTGATAACTATTTTATTACAAAAAATAAATCTCGAGAATTATTTTCTTCATTACTTCATTATTGCCCTAATTTCTTTTTGAAAATCAATTAATTATTATCAGTAATCTAACTGATAATCATTTCGTGAATCATACTTTTTCTGTGAATACGTCAACATTTTTATGCGTACAAATTTTCTAAGAACAGTGGTTTATTCATTTTTTCGAATTTATTAATGATTTGTTGCGTTAGGTGTTGCAGAAAGTAATAGAGCATCAAAATGGGTCAAACACTTAGTGAGCCAGTTACCAACATGATATCAGCATGTTGCAAAGATTCCAAATTTCTCGTTGGTAGCTCTTGTATGCAAGGATGGAGAAGTAAAATGGAAGATTGTCACGTACATATACTCTCTCTTCCTGATGATCCTGAAGCTGCATTTTTCGCTGTTTATGATGGCCATGGAGGTAAGCTTAACTTTTTTTATATTTTCGTTTTTCTTCAGTTTTTTAGATTTAGGAAACAAATTTTTAACATTAAAAATTATCATTGTTTTTAATTACATGTCAGGTGCTACAATGTCGCAGCATGCTGGAAAACATCTTCATGATTATATTCTTAGAACAAATGAATACAAAGAAGGCAAAATTGTAGAAGCAATGGAACAAGGATTTCTTCAACTAGATGAAGCAATGCAAGCTGATGATGCGTTAAAAGCTGAACGTGTTGGAACCACAGTCATTGCTATTCTTATTAAAGATAACGTTCTATATAGTGTAAGATATTGTTAAATTTATTTTAAGATATTTTTTTATGAATAATTATTATTGAATAATATTATCATTAACTTATAGGCTAATGCAGGTGATAGTAGAGCAGTAGCAAGTATATCAGGCAGAACAATAGAATTAAGTCGAGATCATAAACCAACTTTAGAAGATGAAAAGCGTAGAATTGAAGCGGCTGGCGGTTGGGTTGGTTTCAATCGTGTCAATGGACATTTGGCACTTTCTCGAGCTCTTGGAGATTTCAAGTTTAAACGAAATCATTCAAAAAGTGCAGAAGAACAAATTGTTACTGGTATGTATAATGGAATAAGATTTTTATAATATTATTAACCATTGAGAATAATACAAACATAAATTGATATTTTAGCTTTTCCTGAGGTCCAAACATTTCAACTGACTGAAGATTGGGAATTTATAGTTTTAGCTTGTGATGGAATCTGGGATGTAATGACCAGTAGTGAAGTTGTGGATTTTGTCAGAAATCATATAGCATGTGCTGATGCTCGTGATACAATAAATGTTAATGATTCAAGTAAAAAGCAAACGGATTCAGAGTCATCACTAGTTGACCCTGAAGATATTTGTGAAGAATTATTAAATGAATGTTTGGCTCCAGACACATTAATGGGAACAGGATGTGACAATATGACCGTAGTTATTGTTTGTTTACTGCATGGTAAGCCACAGTCTGATTTAATCTTACGTTGCCAACGTCCTCCAGCTGACCCAAATACTATTATATATAAATCTACACAATCCAGGTATAAATTATAAATATTTCAATTATTTTTTAATTATTGTTGATAATAAATAAAAACTACACAATTAATTCTTATAAAATGATTTTCAGCAGACAGAATGATGAGCTTCTTGACTTTTCTTAAAAAACTTCAACAAATAATGAGTTGAAGCAATTTTTGGTAAGTCAACTGACAGGGTTATATTAAGACTGTTTTGCTACAACTCCATTGAAATTATGAGAGCAAGTATTCAAAGTATTTAGATCCGCAGAAGTCTTCGATTGTTATGAAGAAGCAAAGTTTTAATAAAGCATGGAAAATAAAGAAAAAATTAAAAAAAAGTAAATGAAGATGAAGAATGTGTAAAAATAAATGAATTTATATATCAATTGAAAGTGGCTTTCATTGATAAATCTACTCAGTTTGTCAACGATTATGTTTATTAACGAAAGCACTTGTTACCGATTAAGAGCAAATAAGAATTATCATTATATTATATATCAGCTGGAAACGCTAACAAATATTTTATTCCAATCCATCAAGTTGTCGATATTTAGAGTCTAGTCAGAGCGATTGAATTAAAATCTATAAAGAGTATTTTATCTTCTAAATACATTGTATATTGATGGTCTTTTTTATTGCATCAATAAATAAGTGATATATTGGTCATTATTACTTAATCATGATCATTGTTATGTTCTTAAATGTCTAAACCATTATTATTTATGTGTTTATGCGTTTTAACTTTTACCGTAATGACTTGATGTGTGCAAAAATGATGAATAATTATATCTGAAATATTATTTATTATTTAAATTATTAATGTAGTTAAGAAGTTGTTACGAGACAATGATCTCTATTGTATATATATTTATAACTATATTATTGTAATTATAAAAATACCATTATAGTTTTATAATAATAAAACTGATTACAATCAAAATAAATCTTACTATTTATTTATTTATCATATTTTACAGTTTTTACCCTTTTAAAAGTATTTCTATATTTGAAGAAAATTACTGTTAATAACTGTCATTTATTTTTAAAAATTAGTACAAAGAAACTATCTATTAACTTCAATAAAAATAAGACACTATTTTTAAGAATAATTTTTTTAAAATTATAAACTTTCATTTTTTTTACTTCACAATTGAAATAAAAAGATACCACGAGCTTTAATTTAAGGGTGTTTCATTTTTTTTAAATAAAATTTGGTATCCGTTAACTTTTTATTCATCTTAGAATTGAAAAACAATTGGTATATTCGTTGAGAGATAATGAATCTATTTTTTACACTTTACTGTATTATTTGTTTATTTTTTGAAGATGTGAAAATGTGATGCCATTTATATACAATTATTTAATTACTTTATTGATAATATCGAGTTCATGATCTCGACCTTATATACATTTCAAACGGTATTGTTGAAGTCATAACAAATGTTTTTTATCGATATCAATTATGATAAACAAAGAGATATTTTTACTAGAGATTGAATATTTCATTTTTGAATCAACTTTTTTTAAATATTTCAACATCAAAATGATTTTTTTGTAAATTAAAGTGTACTTAATTTACAGCATTTTTATTTATTTTCGTATTTTCTATTTTTTTTACCTCAGTTACTTTAGTTTTTTTTTGTTTAATAAATTGCATTTATATTTTTTTATTGCCCTACGATTCCAGTATTTACTAAAGTCCATAACGATCTTGTATGGATGAAACAGCAGCATTAGCCAATGAACTCAATTTGCCTGCTACTTTGTTAACGCCTTGACGTACACTTTCACGTACATCCTCAAGATCTACTGTATTAGTTCGAGCTGCCAAGTTACTCATCGATAGAGATGATGAAGGTGATTTTTCATGATTAATTCCAAAATAGTCTGCAGAAGATATTGAAGAAGAGCCTTCGAATCGGCGCAAATTTGATTTACGTTCCCACTAATTTAAATATAAAAAAATTATTTTTCTAAACATTTCAATATCAAAAACTAAGAATATGTAAACTATTTTTCAATTGTTTACTTACAGAATCATCATTGGCACTGTCACGGAAGAATTGATCCGAGCTAATAGCTTTAGCTTGTCCAAATTTTCTTTGAGCTTCACCGTCATCTCCTGAAATTTTCTTTGTTTCAAGTTTTGTATTGTTGGATTTTGAAGCACCACGTTTGAGTAGTTCTGGTTCAGAAACTACGAAAAATTCATCTGAAGATTGCTTATTACTGGTCTTTGATGAATATGGCGTACATATAGCAGTGAAAAAATCATCTAAATCATTCACAGTACGAATGCTCACGGGCTCAAATTCAGCATTATCACGCATATCATACTTTGAATCATTAGTGATTATTACACGATTAGTAGATTCTTGTGTAATAACTTTCATATCTCCTAATGCTGAATGACTTGCTCCACTAATAAAAATAAATGATGCAAAATAAAAAACTATCAGTAATTTATATTTATATATTGAACTTAATAGAGGCAAACTTACGCTCGTGAATTAAAACCCATTCCCAGCCTTTCAGCTTGTGATGCTTTCATTGGATCCAACTTTTTCGTACGTTCATTAACTTTTTGTGCCTGTTCTGTTAGATTCTGTTCCATTTTATAAGCTAGCCTGCTATTAATTTCAGCAATCTCTTCTTTATTTTCTACATTTTCAACTGGCTCTACAATATTGTTTGATTCAATTACACTTTTTTCAAGTTCATCAAAGTTTGTTGTTACTCTTTGTGCTCCAAGCCCTCCAGCTTTCTTTCCTAACTTTGAAAATAACAACAATTACAAATTAAACTTTCTGTCTATCACAATAGATGTTTATTGAATTGTTCTATTTATGCATAAAATACTTACTCCAGGACGCTTAGATTGAAGCTTTCGTCCTCCAATAGTTGGTTTCCGATTTGTAGGAACATTTACTGCTGAATCAGACAACTTAACGGTTGGTCCAAGTGAATTTGCCAAAGAATCTACATCTATTTTATTATTATTTTCAATTTTATTTTTAATGTTATTTTCACTATGTGAATTTTGTATATTTGTATTTTCTTGAGCTCTATGAACCGATTGAATTGAGGAGTTTTTCATTTCACTAAAGTTCTCATGTTCAGCAAAAAAATCTACTTCTTCTGGCTCGGTGTTGGTATTTATTGTTTCACCATCATCTAAATGCAACTGTCAACATAAAAAAAATTTATTGTTTTAAAATAAAGTTATTTTACAAACTTTTATAGTGAAGTTAAAACAATAACAATGAGTTTTAGTTGTTAATATTTTAAAAAACACCCAATGAAGCAACTGTGAGATTAAAAAATGTTCAGTTTAATTATTAAAAATGAAAAATTAAATATTAAAATTCAACAAATGGTTTTGTGAAAAATAAAGCTGAAAGCTTGCATTTCTCACCATATTCTTGTGATTTGGAGTCAAAATAACCTATAATTGTTAAAAAAAAATTTTATTATTGTTTCTATTTTGTTAATAATTAAAAAAAAAAAAAAATAGAATCTTTCATAACTATAATTTATAATTATAATAGGAAAAATATCATTATCGCATCAAGAAAGGAAATAATTCAATAGAAATAGAAAATAATAATAATGAGATAAAAATAATTATTACTTTTGTTCCATATCGACGCATCGCCTGATTTGAAGCTTGACTCAATTTTTCACGATACTGCATGGCTGTTCGTGACTTATATTTTTGTTGAGCATCTGTTGTTGTGCAATTATGCTGGGCAAAAAATGCTCGCTGAAAATGATCATTTTATTAAATTGTAGATCTTAAAAAGACCATCCCCTATATCAAGGAATTTTAACTAAGCTAATGACTTAATAAGTAAGCAATATATCCAATTTATAATTTATTGGATATACCGTTTTGACACTTGTTGATCATTGAAATAAATTCAACTATTAAGTGATGGGAGGAATAGAATGAAGTCCTAGATGTATTACTTAGATTATAAAAAAAGAAAATAATAATTTTCAGTTACTCATATACCGATAAAACAGATTAGTTTTGGTGTGTCAACATCAACAACGTTTCTGTTACGTCAACTTTGAACAGATGTTATGGCTAATTATTATCTGATATGTAAGATTAACTTACAGCTTGGGCATTGCCCCCTAATTGCATATTTCGCAATTGTTGCCATGTCCAATTGGTGTCTAACTGAGATGATCTAACAAATGTCAAGTGTACTCCAAGACTACGATGCACTGCTGAGCAATCGATGCATAAAAAGATTCCATAAGTAACACTACACCAAGCCGGATTTTTTGCATTGCAGTCAAAACAAGTCTAGAAGAATTTAAATGATTTATTTATTAGTCATAAATGAACAGATTGATTCAATCTATTTAATCATTTGTATGTAGCACAGAGAAATTTATTTTGACCTCTTTACTTTTACATTTTTATAATTAACGAAAAAAAATAATTCAGAAATTTAAGTTTATATTTTGTGGAAAGTTCACTTTTATAAAACTTTAAGTATTAAACCGTTGGTTATTTAATTAAAAAAAAATAACAACGAAGTAAAAATCGAGGTGTGCCACATGAAACTTTGTAGTAACTTTGTCAAGTGACAAAGAACTACATATTTATGCTAATTTATTGATAAATAAATACTCGATTATATTTGTCAATAAGTACTTTAATATTTAATAATAATTATATTTACTTTATTGGTTGGTATAGCTCGTAATCTCTTAAATATTTCTTCAATATCACTTTTAGTTGGTCCTGATTCTGCCATTTTTGACGTGTTGTCACTCTGCGCACGCATATCTCTTTTGATTCGTCTATTTTTACTTGCGCACGGGTGCCATAAGGCTGAAGCTCGATGTCAATTGAAATTGAGTAGGTAACAGGGAAATTGTTTGAAAAATGATAATTTACAGGGATGCACTAAAAAAAAGGGAGCCTTAGGAGACCAAGAAATTTACAAATTTCAGAATCATCTGTTTCGAGCAAAATAGAGCACGAAATATATCCATCCATCTCCGTCTTATTTGTCAGAGAAAAGACTGCGAGTTCGAACAGTTGGCAAGAAAGCTCAGCCCCCACCTTTACTTTTGTTTTCAAGCCTGAAGCTTATGATACATAAATATATGTATGCCCACGTATGACGTCATAAGGACAAAGTTTAAGCCAATAGGATTATAGTGAAAAATACGAGGAAAATTTGAAAAATAATTACTCAGTGTTTTTTTTTATATAAAATAATTATTAAATATAAATTCTTAGTATAATTAACAATCTTTTTTCTTTTTTTTTGCTGGTTGTTGTACACTAACTGATGAATCATTAGGGTTGGATTCTTCTCGATCAATCTCCAAATTATTAAGCCTAAAATTAAATACTGATATTTATAAATAACTGATTTTTTTATTACAGAAAAAATTACAATTATTAAATATAGATAAGACTTACTCATCTTGTTCTAAACTATGAAGCATTTGAAAACCAGCATCTAAACTTGGTGGAAATCCTATTTCTGGATCAAGCAGTTGTAACGTTGGAACATCTTTATAAGGATTTACAAAATGATCCAACTCATCAAATTGGAGCTTGTTAACAGCTTCTTCAAGTTCTAATCTATAAATAAATAATTCTTTATAAATATTTTTTCTTTATTATTAAATGGCTTGTATGACGTTTTTGTAAATACTTACTTGGCTGTTGTACTCAACTCAGACTGCTGTTTTTCAGACATTATTTCTACATTCCTTTTAACTCTTTTCTCGAACTTTATAACGTAATTTTGATAATAATCATAAATATCAGCTACACTGCCTATATTAGTTTCGACTAATATTCTTTCCAAAACATCCTGAATCATAGAAAAAATTTATTATTTTCAGGTAAAATGTAGAAATTACAAATAAAATTTATTTAATTACTGGAAATCCTGGAAGCTGTTGCTCACTCGCAGATTTCAATAGAAAAGTAATTTTTCGCAATAAATTATCAGCAATATCCACCAAAGTTTCTATCGCAATGTCTGAGGACATTTCAAAACCAATATGTGCGATAAGTACAATTACTGCATGTTTCAACAAGTTCCTTGCAGTTGATGGCCTTAAATTATAATTTGCTATTTTGTTTTTCGGTACTTCACTAAAAATAAAAAATTTGTAAGTACAAGAAATGATAACAATTTTATTTTATAATTTTGAATTGAATATTAGAATATTTTTACTTTTCTTTCTTTGGTGATAAAAAATGAAATGGATTTTTAGGTTTCCTTATTCTAGAGTAATTTATGTCATCAACTGAAGAAATTCCCCTTATTATGAGTCCATTTTCCATTGACCTTCGTTGGCGATGCAGTTGAATGGTATTTAAAACGTAAGGGTTTTCTACAGGTAATCTGCAAAAATTTAACAATGAAATACAATTTAAGCAATGAATATTACATTTAATTAATGAATCAGTGTTTTCCTTACTGAATGAATTCTTGATCTTGGTCCGTTTGATAATCACACTCAGTGCTATTACAGTCATCAAGAACTTGCCTCCAAATATTTTCAATAATATCTGGAGTAATAACTTCTTGTTTGTGAGTTTCTCGTGTTGGCAATTCTCCCCAGCTGACGCCAACTCCAATATTTTTACTCGATTTCATTTTTAACAAATGGTCTTAATTTTTTTTGATAATTTATCAACGAATTTTACACCTTTCATTTATTAGTTTATTACTTCAACACAACTTTATATCACCCGCCAGTAGAATTTTCACGTGACAGTAAGATAAAAAAATAAAAAAGGAAAACAATCTTAAAGACTTCAAGTGTAAAAAAGGTAAATAATTTTTTGATTTTAGTCTCTAAATAGTAAACAATTAAAAGAAAAAACAAACTACACTACACCGCTATTATACTGAAGTGATATTTTAATAATTGCTTATAATTTTCATTGTATTTATCACGTCAATTGTTGTCTAAACATTTGTTATTCAAGGTTATAAAACAGTTTATGCTTTGTCCGCCATTTTAAATCGGATTTTGTCTGCCTACTTTGGAAATGGAGATACAGGTGGCGCAATGGCGTTTTTCAGCGCGATAATTTAAATTCAAATGAAGAATAAATTTTTTTGATTATTAAATTTTCAATGACAATATTTGGTGCAAAATTGCATACAAAATCATGGAATCAACAGCGATACCAATTTTAAAAAGAGCTGTGGAGATGGATACGAAAGAACAGTATACACTTGCATTAATTTTATACCAAGAAGGTCTTCAAATTCTTCTAAATTCAATAAAAGGTAATTTTTAAAAAACTACTACAGTTCTTTAATGAGATTATATAATATTTTCTTATTTGTAATAATAATAAATTAATTCAATACAACATAGATGTCCAAGACAAAAGTAAACAAGAATATCTTCGAATAAAAGCAAAAGAGTATATGGAAAGAGCAGAAAAAATAAAGAAATTGATTGATGAAGGAAAGGCTTCAGGAAAATATAGAGAACATACAAAAATTGAAGCAGGATCAATTAAACATGGATATGACAGTACTTTTGGCCGTTTCCTAGATAATTCTATTACTTACATTCTAGTTGAAGACCCATATATTCGTGCTTATCATCAAGTATACATTTTTTTTATTTACATATATCTAATTGTCAAATAAATAATCACGATTTACATTTCAGATTATGAATTTCGTTCGTTTTTGTGAGTTAGCTGTAACTAAGTGTCATTTACTAAAAAAAATCACTCTAACAACAACTCAAGACTCAGAAAATCCAAGAAATCAAATGACAAGATTAGAAGAATTAAAACGAAGTCTACGTGATCAATCGATTACATTAGAGATAAATTTTTCAGAGACATTACATGATCGACAAATATCGTAATAATTACTTTTATTCAAAAATATATTGTATGTACACAAATCTAAATAATTTTCTTATTGAATGATAATATTTTTACAGACTAAGTAGTGGTTGGATAATCAAAATTGGCCGAGGACTAGATTATTTTAAGGCACCAGAAGGAAAATTTGTGCTCGGCTCTTGTGATTTGGAATTACGGCCATGTTTAGAGACAACAGTTGATATTTTTCACAAGAGTCATTTAAGAACTTAAATTTTAATAATAATCATTACAAAAGTATTTTTTCATTTCTTATGTCATATAATATTATAAAAATATTATATTTTTAACACTTAACTTTGATAATTTATATGTAAAAATGAAATTAAAATATCTTTTTAATAAAACCATTAAACGAATTTATTTTTTTTATTCAATAGAATAATCACAAGCCTTGGCTTCACCGATTTGTTGAGCTGCTTTTCTGCAAGCAATTCTTAAACTTTTAGTATACTGAAATTGTCCAAATCGATCATCAGGATTATCTCTATTATTATTTTCATAGTTCGGAAGGCAATCAGCACCACCAATAGCAACAACCTGACGAGCGATTTCGGGTTCAACACAGAGTCGTGTTAAGGCCGTAGCAGAAGTAGTTGAAAGCCGTTCATAAGCATCCTCCAAACCTGGAGGTGCCATTCGGAGGAAACAAATGAGAGCAACTGAAGCTCTAGCTTGAGCTAAATGTTTTCTAATTTTGGGAAATTTGGCTAACTTTCCTATGAGTGATGCAACTTGTTCCATTAGCCAAATATTACCTCCTGGAGCTTTCTTAACACATCGAAGCAATTTTCGAACAGTTTCAAATCGAACAATGGCTTGAATACATTTTGTAGATTCCGCAAGATTATTTAAAGCCGCTGCAGAGAGTAATAGAGTCTGACTACATGTGGTAGACTCTGCTAAATGAGTCAAAGTATCAACCAAGAGATTTGCAAAAGGTTCCAAGTATTTCAGACCTCGAGCTTCAGTCCATGGTGCTGTTATTTGAACTACTAATGCCGTAGCTTCGATTTTTTCACGCTCTGGGGTTGTTGGTGATGTCAAAAGTTCTACTAAAATCTCTGGACCTCCTTCTTTTACAAAATGACTGATGGAAAGGGCACAACAACATACGCTAGATAAAGCTCGAAGGCTTGCAGCTCGTAATTCTGATGATAATCGGCTTGCAGAGATCAGAGAAGTTAGCAGAGCTCGAACTCCTGAACAACGTGCAATACTATTGCCTGCTCGAGCTCCTGCTAATCCTAGAGCTGTTAAAGCTGCCAAAGCCCCACGTGCTGCACTACCTGTTTCTCTTGGAGCATCTTCTAGTCCTCTTACAACTCTCTGAAAAGAAAAAATTCAACTTATTATTCAGTTTCGCATTAATAATCAATTTTTTTGTTTTGTTCTATCATTCAATTCATATTAAATTTAATAAAAAAAATATAAATAATTACCTCAATATAAAAATCTAGTCTAGTGTCCAATGCACTATCAACAACATCATTTAATGATCTCAATTGACTTAAAATCGATTTTAAACTACCATCATGAATTCTTCGAGGTGGTGGTGCTCCTAATTCAGATAAAATTGAAAAAGCTTCTTCTTCAATTCCCCGTAATAGTTCTCGTTCCGATCGTGAATTTTCCAAAGAAGAAATTTTTCTAAAAAATTATTTTCTATTAAATAACTGCTCTTTAGTAAATAATTAATATGTTGAAAAAATTTTTTCAATTATTTAGGTCATAAAACATGTTTTTCTAGTTTTAAAACTTACTCTACAACTTCCTGAAGATGGCGATTGAACCCTTCGGCTCGAATAATTAATTGGGTAGCAGCTGCAGTAGCTGAAGCAGTCAACATTCTTAAATCTCGGTTTTGTGCTTCTTCAGATTGATTTATCATCCGACTTCTTCGAGGTAAAGTCTTACTTTGAAGTGTAATAACACATTCATAATCGACGTCTTTTTCAATGTCTGCAAGCCAAGCTTTTACAGAAGCTTGGTAGGATTTTTCTAAATTTGCCCGATAATTCTTTTCATTAAGTTTACTATTAGTTTCCAATGACGATTCATTTGACATTCTGGTATACCAATGACCAGCAACAGATGGTGTGGAACCCTCAGATGTCGATTGGAATGGCGTTGTTGGTATTTCATCTTCAGGAGGTTCTGTTGTGTACAAGTAACTTTCTAATTTGTCTTCTTCAATCTGCAATTGATCATGATAGCTATCTGGTATCAATCCTTGATTATCCTCAACCCTGAAAAAATCATCAATAAATTTAAATACATCACTTTGAAAAAAATTTTTATAACTAAATTATTTTTAAGATAGAAACACTAAAAGTATTTCTTTCATTTATATAGAAAACGTCTTATATTAAAACAAAGTTTGATAGAAAAGCTTGAATTCTATACATTTTAAAATGATTTTACCGTGACCAGACCATCTTCTCGTCTCTTTAGCTCGTAAACTAAACATAAAATCTCCTAATGATTGTTCAAAGCTGACTAATCTGTTACAAATCTTGATTATTTGCATCAAGAATGACTAATATCTCGACGAGTGCGTCATGAGCACTCAGCTTATTCATTGTTCACCTTTGCGGCTTTACGAGGATGCGGATTTAGCGATGATAATGACTCAATTTTCATCTTTGTTTCTTTCCTCATCAAATTTTGAAGCAATCGAATGCTAAAATTTTTATTTAAAGAACTTTTGGAAAATCCAAACTTACAACTCTATTGACACTTCAAACGTCTATATAAGACTGTGGTGTATTTTCTGGATACACTTGTAAGCTGATAGTTAATTTAAAAAATAATCTCACGCATGAATATCGTGATTTGAATACCAATCACTATAGGCGACGCATCTTTTGTTAAATCTGGATGTTCTTTATATCTGTTTGTATTGTATAACGGAGAAAAATAGATAGAAATAGTAAAATATTGTTATAAAGATTGAATTAAATGATTATAAAATAAAATCATGATTAGTTTTTAAATAGGTAATCATTAGAAGGTGGAGTCTCCTGAATAATATTCAACATATGAACAGTGTTTGATAACAAAAGAAAAGAAAAGTAGAATGTGAGAGAAGAAGACAAGAAATAATAGATTAGGTGACACATTCTGATTATCTTGATTGATATTTTCTTTCATAACTTCCTTTGCTCTGACTCATCTTTTTTTAATCAATTCGCGTTATCTGATATTGCGTATTCTATGTTGACTCTTAAGACTTTTTATTTTTATTCAATTATCCATCATTAAATGCAAGTTTTTATATTTATTAAACAAGTTGAAGGCTACAAAAGTTATCCTCAACCTTGAGAGTCTTTATAATGATTGCCATTATTATTAATTATTTCATCCTAATGATTGATTAAAATTCATAACCTATTAAATCTTATGTTGATCGAACATATAATCATATTTTTTTCAATCAATGAAAGCAGTTGAAATGAATTTAAAAATCATTTTTTAATAAAATCAAAAATGTTCATTAATTATAATTTCTACATTGAAGCATTAATAAATTACTTTAGCAATCTAGATTCATGTTAATCAAGTTAGTTTATTTTTTACCATTAATTCTTTGGTTTATGATTAATTAATTTTAATTAAAGGTTTTTATGTATTAATTAACTAAATATTTTTTATATTATTCTTTAAAATGCAGGTAACGAACCTATTGATTTTTAGGGTTTCTCCCTCAATATTTTTATCACAATCTCCTTCGTGCTGGGCATTTTGTCGTGATTGAAACACCTGACAATCCCTTGTTAATTTTGGAGTGGACGTATGTGCAGGGTTTGGTGGTATTTCATGGCTGTTCCATAAAAAACTTAATCTCCCATGAACTCTTGTATAATCTCTTGATTTCTTTCTCCTCTTCTTCCTTTTTCTCATAGCGTTATCAACATTTCCTCCACACTTGGAAGTCTCTGAATCAGAGAATCCAGAATCTAAACTTCCATGTTCTTGATCAGGATTAAAAAATTGTAATCCTAAACTAGGTACACTATCCTGGTACTCTTCAATGTCTTGTTCATGTTCTTCAGGGCTTTCATCAACTTCTAAATTATCACCAACATCTTCAACATCTCTTGGAAACTTTTTAGTGTCGTTATTATTTTCTAGCTCATTACACTCTTCGACTGTATCATCAACTTGTACCTTCGTGTGATCATCTAAATTATTATCATTTCCATAAGTTATTTGTAACTTTACAGCAGTAATATTACAATTGGCATCCACTTCACTCTGCATATCTGCACCAGATGAACTACTGTCACTATGTTTCTCAACATCAGTATCACTTTCACGACCAAAATTACAATAAGCACTTTGAATTAATCTTGAATCAACACTATTCGTATTTCTACATATCAGAGGAATATGTTCAATGTCTTGAGCTGCCATTTGGCCCCAGAAAACTTTACTCTGCATTCTCTTGAACCCTGCCATAATGAAACTGAACAAAATAAATGTCTACGTCAATTTGAAACCACTTTTTAACTTGAGAATCACTCAGATATTTCTTAGAAGGATTTGGGAAAGAAAATCTTGATAGGAGACATTCTTTAACTTTCTTATGAACAGAAAACTAGCTTCGGAAGTTTACGAATGTTAAAATGACAAGGGATTAAAACTTCCGTTGAAGAAGACTAAAAGGAAGCTCTGGATTAAGTTCGAGTACACCCCCGATGGTGTAGACCCCCGGTTCTGGCGTATTTTCACGATTCACTGGAGCAAGACGCCACGCGTGGGCCCTTTTAGACGCCTTATGTTAGAACTGTTGTAATTAGTAGCTGCCACGCGACCCGAAGAAGATGGTTTAACCCGAAGAAACTTTCATGACACCTGGGCACACGCGTATGAATCTTCAACACGTCCACACTCGATAGCAGTCCGATCACAACTGATTACTCGAATTCAATGAACTGCAATAGAGGTCCTATTATTGTCGCTTATGATTATAAAGTATGAGTAATCATTTCTAAATCCCACTACACTTATCGATTAGAATTGGAGAAAGTTCAATTTTGTTGAAATAAGTATTAGATAAATTAAAAAAGATATATTCCAATGACTTTCTGACACTCTGCAATGCTAGGCGGCAACTTTAGCAAGTCGAGAAGTCGCGGAAGTAACTCCAGTTCTCCCTTCTTCATGTTTTCTATACCAGACGGGATGTCTAACCGAAAAGTTGATGGAAATCAAAGGAAATAGGACAAAAGATGCTTTGAAGGGGTGGATGAACATCTAGCTGCCAGTGTTGATGGTACACAAGAGTTTCAAATTGAAACCATGTTATTGGATGATCATATGAGCTAGAAATCACACCATTGGTAGTTTTTTTTTAAACAGATGCCAGGTGGTAGTTCTCTACTGCCCCTGCTGGTATTCACCCTCGATGTGGGTCTAACGTACATGGGGGGTGTCATCCCTACCCCTCTGGGTGTGTTGGCACGTGTCATACCAGAGCATCTGCGCTTTAATATTAAAGGACTAGCTGATGGCTTGCATGTGTTGGGTGACAACACTTTATTTTCATTTGAAATAGAGGAAATCGTTGATTAGTTTGAATATTTTTCTACGCCTTTCCTACCAGCATATTTAAATAGATGATTTTAATGAATATCAAAAAAAAGTAAATGATATTTTTTAACCGAAACTTTTTATTCAATTACGAATAGATTAATTAAAACTATTAGTTATTACAAATTATAAAATAAATAAATTAATATATTCAGCTAATATTTCTTCGTTAAATTTAATATGACAAATCCTTATAAGTAAATCATTTTCGTCCTTTAATATTAAAATACATAAGCCTTTGTTGAATTCTTGATAAATGAATTGACCAAGAAATTTACAACCAGGATTTCTGGACTAGATTTTCAGCATTCCACTGTAGAATATCACACGTGCATTTTATGAATCACTTTCCCAGAATGATGAATCGTTCTATGATAATTCTTTTTTCATATTTTTAAAACTAAAGTATCAAGTGAAATTTCACTGTAGAACTAAACAAAGAAAAATATGAATGAAGTAATTTGTCATTAAAGATTATTTATATCTTCTTTATGCAGATAATGCTTGAAAAGTGTTCATATAGAAGCTCATAACTCAGTTTCCAGTTAACAATATTTTACAGTAGAACTGGGATACTGGACATTCAAACAAAGGAGTGTTAGCATTAAAAATACTAAAGGTTACCCAATGCATGAAAAGCTTCTATTGGATTGAGTATTCGTGGATTATGTGGACGTTTACCAGCAAGTACTTATATGGTGGAGTGTAACGGTTTCAACGCAGCTGTCCTTTATACATACACTGCATGCCTATGCCATGCTTCTATTCGTCTTTTGATATGACAATAGGGGCCAATGTATTGCTAAAAGTAGTCTGTGGAATGTAGTTAATTTGAATGGGCAAAAAAATCTGGCTTCATAAACTTTGCTCGAATCCAATCAGCAATTGTTACAACTAAACAAAAACACAATGATATTTTTTTTATATAGTTAACCATATTTTCAAGACTATAATTATTTCATCGAATAAAAAAAATACGTACCAAACTTTTTAAGTTGAATAGAACATTCAAATAATATTTAACGATTAAATATAATGTATATGTTATTTTATATTAATTAATTAGGCGAGGTTAATTATGAAAAAACACAAAAACCATTTAATAAATTAGATTTTTAAATTAAAAAAAGTAGTTTATAGATAATAGTATCATATTATTTATGGATAAAAATATTTAATTACAACTATACATTTTTTAAACAATAAAAACGTTTTTTTGAATCTTTCTTGGATGGAAAAAGTAGTGTTTTCGAGTTCAAAAATAAATTGATAAAGCGACTATCTAATTTATTAATAGAAACGAGCATCTGTTATAGGTAGAGAAGTTTGTTGAATTAGGCTCTAAAGATAATCAAAATTTCTGTAAATATAGTGTACCGACGAAATCTACAGTAAGTTGTTCATTTGTTTCTATAGTTAGACTCATCGTGTTCCATCCGTACAGAGTTTGTGGAGTTTTCGTTGTCTAAAAACTGATTTTTCATAATTGTCTAAACGATTCAACATGGTAAGTGATTAATTAATAAATTTTTATATTAATAAAAAAAAGAAATAAAAAGTAACTAAGGAAAGCAATGAAAATATGAATTAACTGATTAAAAACTTTCAATTAAACCGGCTGATCATTGACACAAAATGAAAGAAATGGCGCACGTGTGTCTTACGATTTATATTTAAAATGAAATTTAATGATTATAAACGAAAAATGATTATATGATTATGATTTTCAGGTGTCTCTTAATCCCGTCAGAATTTTAAAGAATGAAGCGGAGGAGGAAAAAGGCGAAATTGCTCGTATGAGTCTCTTCACGGGAGCAACTGTGATTGGAGACTTCATTAAATCTACATTGGGCCCAAAAGGCATGGATAAAATTTTAGTGTCTTCACAACGTAATAGTGATCAAATTCAAGTTACTAATGATGGAGCGACTATTTTGAAAAGTATTGGAGTTGATAATCCTGCAGCTAAGATTTTGGTTGATATGTCAAAAGTTCAAGATGACGAGGTTGGCGATGGGACCACATCCGTTACCGTATTTGGTAAGTCAATAGTGGAAGGAGAATTCTACTTCTTTCAGAAAACACAACCTTCATTTCTTCACTATTTAAAATGTTTATGGTTAACATTGTATTGTCTTATTTAAAAATTTACTAAAATTTTTTAATTAAATTAATTTATGCTGCATCAGTAATTTATAATTTTTATTATCAAATTAATAAAAAACATTATTTATATGAATAATTCATTTTTAGCATCTGAATTATTAAAACAAGCAGAAAAAATGGTTGAACAAAGAATTCATCCCCAAACAATAATCACAGGATGGCGTAAGGCAACTAATATAGCAAAAGAAGCATTAGAAGCAGCTGCAGTTGATAATTCAGCTAATACTGAAGAATTCCGTAAAGATTTAATAAATATCGCTTGTACTACGTTGAGTTCCAAAATTTTAGCTCAGCATAAAGAGCATTTTGCTAAACTCGCAGTCGATGCTGTTCTTCGTCTAAGAGGATCTGGCAATTTATCTGCAATCCAAGTGATTAAAAAACGTGGAGCTACTTTGGCAAATTCATTCCTGGATACAGGATTTTTATTGGATAAAAAACCTGGCGTTCATCAACCACATAAAGTACGAGATGCTAAAGTTTTAATTGCAAACACTCCTATGGATACTGATAAAATCAAAGTATTCGGATCTAAAGTCCGTGTAGATTCGATGGCGAAAATAGCAGAGTTGGAAGTCGCAGAAAAAGAAAAAATGAAAGATAAAGTTGACAAAATCATCAAGCATGGATGTAATGTATTTATAAATCGACAATTGATCTATAATTATCCAGAACAGTTATTTGCCGATGCAGGCATTATGGCTATTGAACATGCTGATTTTGACGGAATTGAGAGATTAGCTTTAGTCCTTGGAGGTGAAATTGTCAGTACATTTGACAATCCTGAGCTTGTAAAACTTGGCAAATGTGATCTTATTGAAGAGGTTAGTATTCAGTGTAAAAAAATGTTAAACAAATCGTTGAATATAAAAAAGTAATCAAATATGTATATTTCAGGTCATGATCGGCGAAGATACACTACTCCGTTTCTCAGGAGTTCCTTTAGGAGAAGCATGTACCGTCGTGATTCGTGGAGCAACTCAACAAATTCTTGATGAAGCTGAACGTTCACTTCATGATGCTCTTTGCGTTCTAACAGCAACAGTACGTGAATCTAAGATCGTTTATGGAGGCGGTTGTAGTGAAATATTGATGGCAGTGGCAGTACTCGAATCGGCTGCGTCTACACCAGGAAAGGAAGCTGTAGCTATGGAATGTTTTGCGAACGCCCTTCTTCTTCTTCCTACTTATATTTCTGATAATGCTGGATACGATTCAGCTCAATTGATCAGTGAATTGAAAGCTTTGCATCATAATGGAAATAAAACCATGGGCTTGGGTATGTAATAATTCTTTTGAGATATTGATAAGTAGTAAAATTAGGCTATTATCATGACATATTGGATACTGATAATTGATATTTTTCTTACAGATATGAAAGAAGGAAAAGCCAGTTGTATGAAAGCATTGGGAATAACCGAATCTTTGGCAGTGAAACGTCAAGTATTATTAAGTGCTGCTGAAGCAGCAGAAATGATTCTTCGCGTTGATAATATTTTACGTTCTGCACCACGAAAACGTGTTCAAGATCGTGGTCATTGTTAAATGAAAACAGACGTTATAAGATCAACTTATAATAATTCAGTTTCACCATTTCTTAAAAACAAAGAAAACGAACTTTTTTACGTCTAATCCCACTGCTTTATAACAATTTAATTGTTTACATTACATGATTTATTCGTATTTCAAAAATAAATTTATAAAAAAGAAACAAAGATAAATAATTAATATTTAATGATTCAATAACTTTTTACAGTTTACTGTATTAATTAAAAATTAATTACATTTATAATTTTTAATTAAAAAACCTAAAAACGATTTTCAATTTTTTCTATAATTTCTATAATAACAAGTAAATGCTCCATTAATTGCCCTGTCGACTTTATTGTCAAGAAAAAATTATTCTGTTAGTTTGATTTTGCATGTATATTATTTTAAATGCTTAATTCATTTTACTACTTTTTTAAACTAATAAGCGAATCTGAGTTTGGAATCGTAACCTAATTTGTCTAAATTAGGTGTACAAGCGAAGTTAATCATGGGCGGAGGTCCACACATAAGAACAATTGTATCATCACCAGGAGGATACATATGATCTTTAATCATATCAGCATTAATGTGTCCAGTGGAATATTTCCAGTTTTCACTACTAGAATCAAGTGTATACCAAAACTTGAATTGTTCTGGATGTTTCTTAGCAACATCTTCTAATTCGTTTCTTAATAATATGTCTTTTTCTGTTTGATTGGCATATAACAGTGAAATTTTTGTGTGATCATCAGGGACTTTAGTCATTTCTCTGATTAATTGAAGCATTGGAGTAATTCCACTACCTCCGGCAATCATTACAACCTATAAAAAAATACATGTTTAGCCATTTAGTTAACATGAAAAGCTATTTTGTACTACTGGATCAATTATTCATACTTTTTTAACGTTGTATTCAGCTGGAGGTTGTTTCCTGAGCAACCTAATAGAAAAACACCCCTTTCCTAAGTATATCAATCGACCTGAAGGTCCTTTGAATGCTATCTTATCGCCAATTTTCATACTTTCCAAGTATTGAGATAGTTTCCCACCTTCTGGGAATTTGGGATGAACATTTTTAAAGTAAACCTACGTTAACAAATGTTTTCAAATTAAGATATTTTTTATGCTTGGAAGCATTTTAAGATAGAACTTACCTTAACAACTAAATCAACAAAGCCTTGATCATCATCACTGGAAACTGGAGTATAAGCTCTGATAACAATATCCCCATTAATTTCAGCAGTGAGATGTACATGCTGTCCAGTTGGTAGGCCAAGAACATGCTTAGGTGATGGTAAGCCAAATCTAAACCTCCTTGTATCATGGCTAATTATTTCTTTTTCAATTAATGGCAACTCATATTTTGTCATAGGATTTTCTAACAAGATCGGGCCCTTTTTTCGTTTATTATTTTTTTTCCATACTAAAAAGAAGTGGACTGTTGCTCCAACAATTGCTATTGTGCCTAGAGCACCTAGAACAGCAAATATCTGAAGAAAAAAAAATTATTACTGGAAATTTAACAGAAAAAAGATTGGAAAAGATATAAATACTGGTGTCCTTCAATTTTTTTTGGTTGACAATTTAATATGATTAGTATTTCAATGATTTTTCAATTTTATTCCTCTACAATCAGGTGTTACACATAGGCAAGTTGAATTTGAGGTTAAGAAAAGGATTGTGTGTTAAAATCAATAAGAAAATGATTGTTTACATTGAGGAATTTACCATCATTCATAGCTAAAGACAATCTATCTTGTTTAAATAATCATTCAATATATTATTTGTTAATTAGTTAATAAATACCTTATCACGTGAGTTCATGATTTTAACCTAAGAATTGATTGATGTTATGTTGAATCACTATTTTGAGTAGTTAATTAAAGTAAAATTTGTTAACATTAGGTTTGAATGATGCAAAACTTTAGCAATTAAAAAATGAATTCCTCTTATGTAATAATTCAAAAGAATTTAATGATTTTGTTAGTTATAACTGACGCTAGTGTTCAAACCTAGCGTCTGCGTCTAAACTCGAAAATAGAATTGAACTCTACTGTCTGGTTTGCATTTTATTTATAGAAATAAGACTAGAAATCAAGAAATAGCCAACAAAGATAATAAAAATAATAATTAACTATTTTTTGGTAGACATTCTGCACAAGAATTTGCTATGAATGATAGAAAAAAAATAAAATCAAAAATACCTCAGAGATATTCATTTTACACCACAGATTTTTTCCAGTCCTCAAAAGCTTCAGATTTCTGACTGAACTCTGACAGAATACGATAACGAATTAGTTTTTCAAAATTGAAAGAATATTTGTGGAACCCCCACTAATTTTTACTTTCTATTTATTTTTTCAACTTAAATTAAGCCTAATGGATCAGGCAGTTTTACTAATAACTTAGGTTTCTATCCGTTAATTTTGATTTTATCATTGCTAATAGATCTAATTCAATGAATCATTATGAATACCAATTTACAATTATCAATTAAAATACTAAACAATTCGTTTTATGAAAGATTATTAGTTTATAATACAAAAGTTAATACATTAGTTAAGTAAAAGAGGTTATAACTTTTCATATTATTCATTGCAAAGAATGAGCTGATCTGATAAGTCATAAAAGGCTAGATAGATACATTTTAACTTATTATTACGTACATACAACTTGCATAAAATCAAGGACGTGATAATTTTTATTAAATAATCCGTTTTTTAACAATTACGAGGTTGAATACTATTGGTCTCATGATTTTTAATTGTCAGTTAAATTTACTAATCAGGTAAATCATATAGATTAGATAAATTCATCATTAACGACAAGCAAACTTATTAAATTCTGCGTTACTTCTTGTTAAAAAAGCTCCAAAACACATATTTATATTATTGTTTATCGATTTAGCATAAAATTATACGTAATTATATTTTATACATAATTTTTTTCATCAGATAATAAATGATCTAATTTTTTATTTATTTATTCTCGACGAAACGTTTCAATAGCAATGGCAGAGGAAGCGATTGACTTGTTGTCGTTGATAAAATATTCTTATTAATGTTAATAAAGTATTTATTGGGTTCACAAGTTCACAAATAAATGAGAAATGTCATTTAATAATCAATTACAACAATAAGAAATACAGATTTATCGTAATTCGTTTCAAAAATTAGAATTTGAATCATTTTTACAACAGCTGTACATTCATTTATTCGGCGTCGAAAACGGTTTTTCGTCGATTCAGTACTAGGATTACAGAAAGTGCATGGAGGTATTCGAGAAATTCAATAGGCGTATACTATTCAACTGCGACCGCCCTAAAAATTCCGATTGGTTAGAAAATTCTATAAAAAATTCTGATTTGCTGAGAGGTAGCGCGGTTTATTTTGAAATAAGCCAATGGGAATGAAAGTAGGCGGTCACTTGAACCAATCAGAATACTTTGGGCGGTCACAGTTGAATAGTATACGCCTATTGAATTTCTCGAATACCTCCATGCACTTTCTGTAATCCTAGTAAAAATCCCGTATTTTGTGTCCAAAAGTCGTCATCTTTCCGATCTTGGCGACGGGATTTTTAGTTTTTTTTTAAATAACGTCAAATAGCAAGGTTATAGCTGTTTTATGTAATTATTTGCGATAAATAATTGTTCATTCACTATTTTTATGTTTAAATTAAGTAATAATTAATATATTTTGAAATTATTTTATTAAATTAACGATAATTTTGTGTATTAGGTTAGGGAAAAAGGGCATAAGAGAAAAGTCACCAAATTTTATTCAAAAAAAATATTTATTTATTGTATTTGTTTATCCAGAGTTTATAAAATCATTTTGATAAAGTTTATATTGATCATTGGTTCTAAATACATTGTAGCTTTTGTATATAACATCTGTGAATACTTGTAATATAATAATTATATAATATATATAACATCTACATCTTTTTTTCTTGTTTATCTGACACATGTTCAATTTTATCCCCGAGAGTCAGGTACATTTCAAGCCACAGTTTAATAATATTTAATTGCATTGAATTCACCCTCCCGGAAATTCAATTACACATGATAACAATTAATTTATTACATTATTCATTAATATATAATGATTGTTCACTAATATAATATTACAATTTAAAAAATAAAAGATAATACAAAAAATCAGTTTAACCCATTGACTTATATATTCATTGTGATTCTTTTACGTAGGTACGACTTGCTAAAATTAATTTTTTAACTATAGTTTAATATTAGACTCATTAAATAAAGTAACATAAAAATTCCTGATCCTTTGTGATTCTAAAACACAAATAAAGCGATCCATTAATATAAAATTTAAATGATAATATTATAATCCTTTTATGGTTATTGTTCAATTGTTTTTACTCTTACCGATAACTATTCAATTATTTCGCTTTGTTTAAATATAAACAATGTTGGTTTAAATAGTGCTACGAGTGAGGTGGCTTTTTTCGTCTTCCAAATAAATTACTCAAAACTGAACTACGTTTATAATCTCGATCTTTACGAGATCCTCCCGAGCTTTGTTCACTTTCTGACCCACTTTCTGATGCTCTTCTTCCATCAACTACTGATATTCCTGAAGCTCCAGCTGGTACAGCTGGTGGTGGTGCAACATAAGGTGGTAAAGATGTTGGTCTTCCAGTAAATGAATTAACAGGTTGTTGTCCACCCTTAAAAGTAATTCAACAAACATTAGTTATCTGGAGTGAATTGCTAAAAATGGATTTATTATTACTAATTTAGTGATTTCTTACCTGTCGCATATTGACCGAATACCCATAAGCTGTAATCAGAAAAAAAAAGAATGAAATAAACTGATATAATATAATTTTGATAAAATAAATTCTACATGGTCTGTTTAAAAAAATGGGAAATCATGCTAAATTATAGAATAAATATCAGAAAGAAATATTAAATTAAAAATTTTGACTGATGCAGGTGGAGTTCATGCATCAAAGGCAGGTGATTGTCAAGAAAATTGCCAATAGAAATTGAGAAAAATCGCACGCTCTTCAATAACTAACCGGGATCATGAGTATTCCATTGAGCCATCCTGACTGGCGGGGGGGCACTTGATGGCAGGGGAGGTGCTACTTCTATAAAATTATCCAATTGAAATTGAATGTCAGCGTACATAATATTTTAATGTTTAAAATAAAAATGATGTTCAACAAACAATACCTTGTGAGGGAGAATTAAATTCCATGCTTCCTGGCCTATGCCAAACAGTGCCTGCATTTTGTTCCGAGCCATTGTGGTTTAATGTTGAGCTTCGCTGCTGATAGGACTGTGGTCTCGCTGATGGTGTATAATGATCAGCATCTGAAATGATATTATCAATAAATAATAATAAGCAATATCTTCGTAATACAAAAATAAATGAAACATGAATTTTGTTATTATAATTCTTACCATTACGTCGCAACTGAACGACATTTTCAGAGCTCGGCGATCGAACAGGAATAGGTGGTGGTGCTCCACGAGCTGGAATTGGTGGACAGTCATTAGGATGATCTCTTTGAGCAGACAATTGTTCTTGTTGAACCATTTGCTGATGAGCCAAAATTTGTTGTTGTCGGTGTTTTTGCAAAAATTCAGTTTGTGGTTGTGATGATTCTGAAGCTAGTAATTCTGCATTTCTTGATTCTCTTAATTGTTGATTTTGTCGGTGTTTTTGTAGAAATTCAACCTGTACATTGCTTGACACATGATCTTGTGAAAGATCTCGTCGAATAACTGAATTCTTACGTTCAAATTCAGGAGTTGATACATGACTACTTCCTGTAGAATTATTATCGTCACCAGGAATATCAGGTGTATCACCTTGTAATCTTCCCACATTGTCTTTTTGTGATTCATCATATTTCAACAGTTGCATACTTGGAGGAAGTTTAGCATGGAATGAAATTTTATTCACCCAATCTTCCATTTCTTGTTGATCAGCAGCTAAAAATAAAAATTCAGAACCATCTGTACATTTGAGTCTGAAAACATTTTTTCTCTTGGTATAATCATCAGCTTTTTCACAAGTAGCATTGTAGATTGTTATTGGAGCAGTAGCAGCTTTGCTAAGTGAGAAATCTCCATAATCTTTAAAGAAACATAATAATTGTCCACAGAGAACAGTGAAATATTGTTTCCATGAACGTACCGCAGCCTTCTTTCCACCACTTTGAAGTTCATGTTTTCTTTCAAGAACTCCTTGAATTTCTACTGGACTCAATGGATCCATATTTTCCATCCTTTGGTGTTTTCTGAAACTCTGAGTTCGTCTTCGAGTAGTAAAACTGGGAGTGCGTTTCGGCTTTTTCGTATCAACTTTCATACTTTCTGCACGTTTGATATCAGCAGTATTGCGTTTAAGACGATCTCCAAATACATGAGATATTCCATGAAGTTTAGAAGGTGTTTCTTGAGCTTGTTGAGCCTTGAGAGGTGTTAATCGATTCATAGACTCATGATTTTCAGATGTTCCATTCACTACATCATGAGTAGCTCGATGTGGACTATCCAATAATTTTCTGCGTTCCTCTTCTCGTTTACGTTCTTCAGTAATTCTCTGTACTTCTTTTCGCTTTCTTTCTTCAATACGTGCACGCTCAATTCGTTCCTTTTCTGCTTGACGTGCAGCTTGTTCAGCCTCTTGTTGTTTCTGGAAGGCAAGTTCTAACATAGTAACTCGTTTAAGAGCTTCAAACTTCTCTTCTTGAGCTTCTATTGTCTTCTCAAAATCATCATGCTTTCTGATTAAATCTTCTACCTGTGGAATCGTTTCACCAAGATTACCATCATGAAGCATTGGCTCTCTACTTATTATCCAATTTTCCAAAGTTTCAGCTTCACGCTTAAATATCTGAGTATCTAAGTTTTGTTCATAAATCAATTTCCGTTGTTCCCAAGTATCCATTAACACTTGTTTTCTTTGTTCAAGAATTGAAATTTTTTCTTGTATTTCTTTAGCCAAGAAGTGACCTTGCTCAATTAAACCTTTTCCAGTTTTATTAAACTTTGAGAAAGCATCTTGTCGAGAATCTATTTCCACTTTGTACTCATTGTGGCGTGAGATTAAAATCTCAGCGCCCGGAACGTCTCGAGCGAGTTCTGGAGCTGTTACTTTAGCCACCATTTCATTTATCCAAAAAGCCAAATCTCTATACTCATCGAAGTAAGCTTCAAGCTGTTCAGCTTGGGCTAATTTACTGCTTCTCTGTGCTGCCTTCTCTAATAATTCACTCCAGCTTTCATCAACTTCTTCATGTTTTACAGCAATATGTTCTCGAGCATCTGGGAATAATTCTGCAAGTCTTGATGCTTCAGCCATAACAGATTCCACTTGTTCTTTAACAGCAGCTAAATCTGTTTCAAAACCTTGGTGTTTTCTTACAAGTGCTTGAATTGTCTCTAAATCATGTCCATAACCATCAGAGCTCAAGCTAGCTTCTTTTTCTTGAATCCAGGAAATCGTTTCATCTGCTGTTCGATCAAACATATGAACTTGTTTAGCTCCAGCTAACGCTTCTTGCCTAGCATGAGCTAATTCTTTTAAGTCGTCCCATTGTTGTTTAGTTTCGTCAATTTTGGCATGGATTTTATTTGATTCTGGATTCTTTTCTTCCAATAATTTTTTTCCCGCTTCTATCAATGTCACCACACGACCTTCACTTGTTGCAAGACTAGCTAAGAAATTATCAAATATTTGAATTAATAATTCAACATGCTCTACATCACGTCCATAATCTTCAGAAGCGGCTATTGTAGTTTGATCACCAATCCATTCAATAACTTCTTCAGCTTGACGAATGAATTGGAAGAATTTTTCACTCTCTAATAATCTATGTAACCGAAAATCTTGTAATTTAAGTAATTCTTTGAATTTTTGTTCAATTTCTTTTTGCTTCTGTTCTATATTTTTACTATCGAAATGATGTCGATTTATTAATCCTAGAGATAATTTTTTCAAATTTTCTACTGTACTTTCAAACGATGATAAATCTCGCTCAAGGCCTTCGAGCTTTTTCAATAATGATTGAACAGAATCTTCATCCTTTCCATAGTCAGTCGATGTAAGTAAAGGATGTTTTTCTTTAATCCATTGTTCAGCTTCTGATGCTTCAGCATAAAATAGTTGTGACTCAACTGCATCAAGAAGTCGTAATTTTCTTACACTCGCTAAATCTCTTAGATGAATTAATTTTTTCTGTAACTCTTGGATTGATAATTCAATTTTGTCAGCAGCAAAGTGCCCATTTCTCACCTACAAATAATTAAATAATAATAATTAAATTTTTCAACGAATAAATTAATTTAGAATTAAAATGTTTACATACCATTCCGGCAGCACGAGCAGCTAACGATGCAACTACTGGTTCTCGAGAAATTAATTCCGCTTCAAGACCTTGATGTTTTTTCTGCAGTCTTTGAACAGTCATCAATGAACTGCCTAAGTCATTACTAGATGCAAGAGGTTCTTTTTCAGAAAGCCAGTGAAGTTCATCTTCAACATCTCTCAAAAACTGATGAAGTTGTTTAGCATCTTCTAAATTATCCCTTCTAATTTGCATTGGTTCTTGAAGACCATGATATCTAGCGATGCAAGCTTGAGCTCTTTCTTGAATTTCATCACACATAAAATGTTTTGTTTTCTGGAAATTCGTAGCAGTTTCTTTGATAGATTCACATGCTTCATTATGACCTAGAACATCGTTTTCCAAATTTGTATGTCTCTTTAATAAATTAGCAATACTGGATAGATCTTTTCCATGATCTTCTGATTGTAATTGAGTTTCGATATCATCCATCCATGCTTCAAATTCATCTAAACTGCGTCCAAATAATAATGCTTGATAGGCATCATTAAGGCGATTCTTTTTTAATTCACTCGTCTCTTGAAGAATTCGCCATTCTGATTCTAGATCTTCTAATCTATCTTGAATTTCTTTAGAAGCAAAATGATTATTTTCAATAAGTCCTTCACCTTCGTTCATTATCGCACTAATTCTTCCTCTATTAGCCATTAATTCACTTTCAAATGCCAGATGTTTTTGGATTTTACTTTGCAAATTTGTCGAGTCTCGATAGTTTTCATCACCAGCCACTTGTTGCTTCTGATGTAACCAACCTTCTACTTCATAAATATTTCTCAGGAATTGATGTAACTGCCGACTTTCTACAAGTTTTTTCATTCTAATTGACGCATTATCTTCTAGTTTATCTCTTCTGGTACATACAGTCTTTAATCTTGATGTAATTATGGCTGCGTCGACTGGGTTGTCTTTGAGAATGTTTTTAGCAAAAACTTCAAGCTCGTCAATTCTTCCCAATTGAGATTTAAGCATTTTTTCAAACTCTCCGTGCTTACGAATTAATGTCTCCACACCTGAGAGTGATTCTCCAAGGTCTTCATTATTAAGGAAAGCTTCTTTAGTTGCCAGCCAACTTTCAGCTTGATCAGCTTGTTCTTTAAATTGCTGTAAATGATAAGCTTGCATTAATTTTTCTTTTCTTTCTGTCCAAGCATCAACAAGACCAGCACGTATTTTTTCCAAGTGATTAAGACTTTGTTTTACTTCAGGATCGATTGATATTAATTTTGTTCCATGCTCATGTAAAGCTTTTATCATATCTTGTCTACCATCAATCTCAGCTTTTCTTTCTTGATGAAGTTCCAGTAATGCTTCAGCTTCAGAAATTGTTGTTGGTGCTTCAAATTCATTCATTCGTTTGATTGTATCTGCCACCCAAACTTCTACTTCATGTAAATCTGCACGGAATTTATGGAGAGTATAAGCTTCATTAAGAACATTCCGTCTATGGTTGGTTAAATGTTGCAATTCATCCCAGTTTGATTGGAGATTATGTAACATAGCATTTATTTGTGGAGCATTATCAGGATATTTGGATGATAATTTTTTCGCTTCAGTTTTATGTTCTTTTAATTTACCTTCGATTGCTGTCATATCTCTTTCCATTGTTTCTTGTTTACGTTGAAGTTGTTCTACAGCAGCCAGATCTTTTCCTACATCTGTAGTATTCATAGCTAAAGATTTTTCAATAACTCGTTGGCTAGTATCATCTATGTCGCGGTTGAATAAATGAATTTCCAAAGCACCCGCAAGAAGAGTTCTATAATTACTTAGAGCACCTTGAAGACTCTTCCATTTATTATTAACATTATCTCGTCTCTGTTGGATGGCTTTAGATTCATCGTCGTGACCTTGTTTTATTAATTTATCAGCAAGAGAATTAATGGATTTTATTCTTGTATCATCGACTCTCATGTCACTGTCAACATCATCTAATTTTCGCTGTAGACTTAAACAATGCTCATAATCTTTTCCAGTGTCTCCAGCTTGGACCATCATTTCTTTATCTCTAATCCAAGCTTCTATTTTTTCTACTTGATTATTGAACTCCAAAATATCTTGAGCTTCTTCTAAACCTCTTCCTCGATTGCCAGAAACCACCAAAAGTTTTCTCCAAGTTGCCTGAAGTTTTTCTAATTGAGATCGAATTTCAGCACTCGATGGATGTTTTTGAGCAATTAATGTTTCTCCTTTCGTTTTAATCTCTTCAATTCTACTCTGATTAGCTGCCAGTTCAGCTTGGAATGCTTGATGTTTTTGTAATTTTTTAATTTTATCTCCCAAACTCAGCACTTCACCTTTAGAGGCTTCTGCTTCAAGTTTCTTTTGTTTTTCACCAATCCATGATTCTGCTTCACCAACATCACGGATAAATTGAACGTGAAGAAGACTAGCTTCCAACCTTTTACGTTTAGCATCGCAAAGTTGTCGAATCTTTGCACGCTTCTCTGAAACTTCCTGAAGTCGTTTTGAAATAGTTGGAGAATCGAAATGATTTTGAGCCAACAATTTTCCACCATGTTCTTGAAGTGCAGTTAATTTTTCTTCCTGAGTAACCAATAATTTTTCAAACTCATTATGTTTCTTGACTTGTCCATCAATTTCTTCAACAGAAACTCCAAAATTATCGCCACTAAGGGCAGCTTCTTGAGTAGCAGATAAGTTATCCAATTGCTTGGCATCACGAAGGAAGAAATGAAGATCGATAAGTTGATCCAAATGAATTTTCTTTTTTTGCCAAGCTGTATGAAGTTTCTGGCGTTCTTCTAATAACTGATTACATTTTTCTTCAACTTCTGGACCTGCATAATGACCCGTTTGTACCATTGCTTCTCCGAGATCAAGTACAGAACTAAAAGAATCTTCTCTAGCTTCTATTTCACCTTTTAAAGCTTCATGTTCGGCTTTGAGAATTTGAGCGCTAGCAGCATCACGTACTTTGTCTTCTGTCGACAATGCGGCACGTAAACCAGCAGCCCAATTCATTAAATCACGTAATTGAGTGAGGAAACGTTGAAGATCACAACTAGCTTGTAATTGATCTCTCCTGTGAGCGGATTTTTCTTTCAGTTCCTCCCAATTTGCTATGACAATTTGTTGTTGTTGATCAATAAAAGTAGCATTAGTTCCAGGATATAAAACTTGAAGCCTTGAAGCATCTTCAACCAATACTTGAAGTTGAGCTTCTAAAGCTACCAAATCATTTTCAAAACCTTCATGGCGTCTTATAAGAGCTAATACAGAATTTAAATCACGGCCCAAGTCTTCAGGAAGTGCTGCTTCTTTTTCTTGAATTCGTGACAAAGCTTCTGCAACATCACGATGGAAACGGTGAATTTCACCTGCTGCTTGCAATCTTTGTTCACGATGACTAAGTAATCCAAGAAGATGCTGCCACGATTCCCTATTAAAATTCACAATAAAAAATCACTCATTTAATTTTTTGAATAATCAATCCAATTAATGTAAATTTTATTTAATAGCTAAGATTAAAAAAATTCCACTTTTTTTGTCAAAAATAAATCAATTCTTCATGCTCATGCACAAGAGGGTGTTTTTTTTTATTAATTGTATTTATATTATTAATGTAAAAATATTAGTACTGATGCATCAAGTTAAAACTCACCACATGTGTTGGTGTTGTCTTCGAACTTGTTCTACAGGATCATCCTCATCACCTCTACATAGAATTGAGTTAAAGATTAAGTTAATAAAAGCCATTACCCGTTAAAAATTCTACTGTTTCAATATATAAAACCCAGATATGGATGCAGTGATATAAATAAAAAAAAATTGATATTTTTCTATACTACATAACATTACAAATAACCATGTAAAATTAATTGAATAAAGAAGTATGATTAATGAATTAAATGGATGCAAATAAAAGGTGAAGTAAAATACTTATTAACAAAATAGGCAAATAAACAATATTTATTATAACTTACCCAAGTTGCTCTTGACGTTTTTCAATATCTTGAATGTAAGGACTTTCATTGCCAATTAATTTCTTAGCAAGTTCTTCACACTGATTGAATCTTTCAGAACCTGCTTCTATTCGATGTTTAAAGTCATTAAACTTAGCTTGTAAAACTAATAAATGTTCGTAATCTTGTCCATAATCTTCTGATGCAGCAGTTTGTTCTTGTTCTTTAATCCATTGTTCTAATTCACGACTTTCAAGGAAATATTCGTGTCGATACATGCTCTCCATTAGCCGTTGTTGCCTAGTTGTCGCTAGTTTTTGAAGTGATCGTATTTGCTGGGCTATGTTTTGTTGTTTACTAGCTATAGCTTTGCTGTCAGGGTGTTTTGCATTTACCATCGCAGCAGCTGTGTGGCCCATTTCTGTGACAATTCCGTTGTATGTATCTAGCTCTAGTTCCACAGTCTAAAATTATAACAACATTTTTCTCAATATTTTTAGAATTTTTATTTTACTTATTTAATAATTCTTTTCTGAAACTTTTTTCATTCATCTAAAATTATCTATAAAAATGTAAAAATGAAGGTTTTCTATTATAATAATATTTTTCGTTTAAAATAAATAATTTAAGTTTCATTAACTCAGAACAGTTTAATCAGAAAACCCTCCGTTAATTATTCTAATATTGACTAATTAGTCAAGACTCTCATGTTATTAATTACTCTAAACATAAAAAATAATTAAGCGTATACTTTATGAATTGTATTATAATATTCCCATTAACTTATTAAGATGTTAACAGTTAACTTGGACATTCTATTGAAATAAAACTTGAATAATTTTATATTTGATAATAACATATTCATTGATAAGCTTGAATCATTAGCTTGTTGCTTGTAAAGATACCTTGTGTTTGGTAAGCAATTTAGTTGCTGCATCACGATCTCTGCCGTAATCAGTTGAGCTCAAAACATCATTCTTTTCGCTCAACCAACTTTCAACTTCACCGGCCTCAAAGAAAAATTCCTGAGCTCGTAGTGATAAATCCAATGCTCGGCTACGCTCTCCTGCTTTATTTTGCAAGTCTTTCCAAGCACAATCCAGTTGTTCACAGAGTTCTTGAATCTATAAATTTTAAATGGTTATGTAAAAATATACTCATAGCTCTGTAAAAATATTTCATAATTTTTATGGCTAATTTATACATCAATAGGTTAATTAACCAACAGCTGGAACATGCTTAAAGCTAAAAAAAAATAATAATTTAAACAATTTTAATATTAATTATTGTTAAGGAATGTATCAACTATAAACAAAACGCTAAATAAATCTTTTATAAGCAGTAATTCAATGTTTGACCGATGTGTCATAGTAAACGGGTTTAAAACACCAACTCTGATGATGTAATTATTTTTTTTAGACCTATTTCATTCTTATTCATGCAACCATGATCTTACCCTTGAAGATTAATATTCTTTTCAGGCTTCCCGGCTGTGCAAAAATGATAAAATTCTTACTCTTTCAATGTAATAAACTGTTTTATGATAAATATATATTTCAATAATTTTGTATCAATAAAATTTTTTCCAATATTTTACTTGAATAAAAATAATCAAGAAATAATTGGCAGCGATTTTATAATTTATGAAACATATAAAAACTATCAATACCTTTTTTCTTTCAGGATGGACTTGATCAATTAATGCTTGACCTGTAGCCAATGTTTTATCTATCATTGGTTGATGTCCTGAAATTTCTGCCTCAAGTTTCTTATGTTTCTTGTGTAATGTCTGGGCCTGATGAAGATTTTGTCCAAGCATAGTTGACGATGCTTGAGGAAGATGATCTTTAATCCATTGTAATTCAGCATCAAGTTCAAATCCAAATTTATGGAACCGCAAACTTTCTTCAAGAGCTTCGCGTCTCATTTGAGCTGGAACTTTTAAGGCTACGGAATTTTTGTTGTGTTGTTTGACAAGTTTTCAAAATATTTTGAGCATCAAAATGTCCTTCATGCGCCATTTCTTCACCCATTGCCACCAGATCGTCGACCTTTTGTTCCCACTGATACATATCAGTTTCCAATGTCTGATGTTTCTTTAAAAGTTCTTTACAACTTCTGAGGTCTGTTCCAACTTGTTTACTTTGTAAAGAAGTTTCAATTTCTTCCAACTTCAACCGCGCATCCTCCATTGTTCTATTGTAACCATGTTGACAAGCTGCTTGACGAAGTCGTCTACCTTTTTCTAATGACAAGGCTACCAATTGACTCCATTTATTATTAAGGTTTTTTAGCATTTCTCCAACGTCATTGGATCTATAATTTTTCTCTGAAATCAAAGCTTTACCAGCCTTATTTACAGCACGAAGTTGGCCTTCATTAGCTCTCAATTCACGCTCAAATGCTTCGTGTTTTTGAAGTTTACGCTCTAAATTATTAAGATCTCGATAGCTTTCGTCGGCAGCAACCTTCATTTTATCTCCAAGCCAGTCGTGAAGATCATCAACTTCAGCAGAAAATTGCTGATATTGTTCTGATGCTTTAAGTGCAGCACGTCGTGCTTGTGTTGCCTCTTTAACTGCCGCTCGACGAGCAAGAACCTGATTTCTTTTCTCATTAATATAATCTTTTTCATAATGATCTTGAGCTATCAGTCTATCAGCAGTATCGCTGAATGCTTTTAACCTTTCGTCTTGAGCATGCAAAGTATTTTCGAATTTCTCGTGTTGTTTTAGCAAAGCTTCAACATCATCCAGTGATTCTCCCAAATCTGTGAATTCAAGAAATGCTTCGTGAGAACTGGTAGTGGCTTCAATCTGATCAGCTTCTCTATTGAACTGCTGTAATTCTAAACATTGTCGTAGCCATTCTTCTTTAGCATTCCAGTCAGATGTCACTGCTTGATGTAAGCCATGCAATTTATCCAGACGTTCACGAACATCCGTTAAAGCAGGATTACGATTTAACAACTGATTACCTAGCGCCTCAACTTCGCGGAATTCATCTTCGCGAGTTTTTATTTCTTCTCCAAGTTCTGTGTGATGTTTTTTAAGTTTTTCAGCCGTGGTGACATCTCTAACAGGTTCCTCAGCTTTCATCGCTTCCTGAACATCTAATGCCCAGTTTATTAAACTCTTTGAACTATTCATAAATATTTGTTGTCCTACAGCATCCTCCAAACGAGAACGACGTTCTTTTGCTTTTGATTGAACTTTATTCCATAATTCTTTGATTTCATTTTGTCTTGCATCGACATTTTTATGCTCATTTGGATATGAACTTTTTACACTATTAGCTAAGAGATTAACCTTACGAACTTTTTCTTCAACTGGAGCTAATTCTCTCTCTAAATGCTGGTGTCTACGTTGTAGAGCTTGAACAGTCTTTAAATCTGGTCCTAATTCAGCAGTATCAAGCTGAGTTATTTTTTCCAACATCCAATCATGTGCTTCATCACAAGTACGATTGAAAAGTTCTACACTCGATGCACCTTCCAAACTCTTTTCTTTCTGAGCTTTTAACCAATTTAAATGATCCCAGAGCTGATGAATGTGCCTTTGTCGAGCTTTGACCTTGTCTAATTGACTATGACCCTGTTTAACGAAGTCATTAACAGCAGCATCAATTGCTTCAACTCGTCTTCCTGAAGCTGATAAGTCTGTCAAAAATTTCTCATACTTTCTCTTGGCTGTTTCGACATTGTCGCGAGAATCATCGGCACGTAGCATCTTTTCTTTATCTTTAATCCACTTTTCAAAGTCATCACATTCACGATAAAATCCATAAAGTCTAATGGCATCTTCAAGAAGAGCGTGACGTCTAATAGCTAATTTTTGCAGCTCATCATATGTTTCATTAATTTTTTTCTGCCTCTTTTCTACACTATCACTATCACTAGTAGTTTTACGTTTAATTGGTTTGACAGTTGATTTAATCGATTTAACTCTCCTCACTGGAATCACTTGATTAACCATTTTTGTCTTTTTAACACGTTGTGTAATACGTACTTTGTCTGGTCTTTTCACTTGTACCTGTATTATCTTCGGCTCTATTTCGCGAACGTAATTTGCAGGAACAAAGCCATCAGTACCATCAGCTTTTCTAACATTCCACCAATCAGGGTTGGTTTTATTTAACAGAAACATTACCTCACCTTTGTTCATATGCATGCCTTGACCACTAAAAGGATATAAACTTCTAACTTGTGGCACTAATCTATCTTCATGAACAGTTTTAAGTTCTATTCGTTCTATTATTTCATCAACCCACTCATCTTGAGGAACTAATCGTACTTCTTTACTCCATTCTTCTTGTTCAATTTCAGCTACTGGATCTAAATCTGTAGATAATTCTAAAGTCGAAATTCCTGCTTTAATAAGTTTTTCAGCTTGAATATTAAGTGATTGAACATCTCCTTTGTAGGCGTTAAGCTCTCCTTCAAGATCTTTATGTCTTTGGAGCAATGCTTGAGCACTCGGTTCATCAACTCCAAAATCTACTGATGCCACTAGAGTCATTTTTTCATTCATCCAAGAGTCTGCCTCATTTGCATCTGTATAATACTGGAAAGCCTCAGCTGCATCATCAAGTTGTTTCTTTCTCAAGGCAGCTAATTCTTCTAGAACTTTCCAATGTTCTTGAAGTGATTCTATACGATTTTTGATTTCCAATGATGATGGATGTTTATCCGCTATTAATTTCTGTCCAGTACCACAGAGTTGTTCAGACTTTGGTCGTCTCACTTTCATTTCATCTTGCAGTGCTTTATGTTTTTGTTGTAATGATATTACCGCTCTAAGGTCTTTAGCTGAGATACCAGCTTTACAAATACGTTGTTTCTCAATTAACCATGATTCTTCGTCTTCGTGATCTTGGATAAAATGAAAAAAATTTCTAGCGTCTTCCAGACGAGCTTTACGTTCTTTACTATTCTCGACTAAATCATTGTAAGCACTGTTTAATGTCTCCAGTTTTTGTTCAAGTAACGGCGCTTCCTTACTCAGCGGTTGTGTGAGATGCTGTGCTGCTTGTCTACCAAGTCGTCGTTGTGTTTCACCAAGTGCTGTCACTTGAAGCTCTTGCAGACTATGTTTCTGCAATAAATCTTCAACTCCTAACAAATGTGGTCCTACATCTGTACTTTGGAAATTAAGTTGAAGTTCTCGTATGCTTGCCAATGTGGTGTCAATCTCTCTCATCAAACTCATAAGAGAACATAGTGCAGCAAGATTAGCTTTATGATAGTCTAATAATGTTAAAAGCTGTTTCCACCTTTGGAGAACTTCTTGTGAACGTGATCTAACACGTTCTAATCCATGATAATTTTCTCTCACGAGTTCTTCAGACATATTCGTTAAATCATGAAATCTTTCCTCTCGTGCTAGAATATCAGCACTTATGGCCTCGTGTTTTTTTACAGTAGCATCTACTTGAGTTAAATTGCTGCCATATCGTGGATCCGACAAGACTTGAATCATTTCTTTGAGATAACCTTCTCTTAGTACACTTTTTTTCTCGAATTTGTAATTGAGTTGTTCTAGCCTTTCTTGCCGTAATAATTCAGTACGAAGGGCTACTTCTCGCCGATGTTCAGCACTTTCCAATTCTACCCAATTTCTCTCTATATCCTGTACCAATTGTCCTTCTTGGGGTATAAATGCAGGCTGATTCAATGATTTCAATTGTGTATTAATGTGAAAATATAGTGCTTCAATTTCTGAACGTTCTTTGTACTTCGGTGGCTTCTCCACGGTTCGATACTGTTTAAAGGCCAGCAGTTCACGTTGGATACCCTCCAATGAATTGGGAAAATTCCTATTCTCAAGCACTGTTATTTTAAGCTTTATCCATTCAAGTAAATTTGTGGTTAGTTGTTCATAATGAATTTTCATTTTATCCGCATCCATCATTTGCCCAACAATATTTGCTATCCTTTTGCCACTCTTTATTTCATTTTTCATCCTGGCAAATGTATGATAATATGAAGCCACATATGTGATGATAGATTTTTCATCCGGTCTCGCTGTATCCACATCTTCAGCATCAAGAAGCCTTGGGATTCCAAGCTCAGTATTTGCAACATCAAAAGCATAATTGAGATTGTCAATATGTTTATTTTGCTGCAACTCTGACCAATTGACAAGGTCTGGTCGATGAGCATGAATAAGAGCATTGAAACCCAAACCACTTCGCCAAGATACTGCAACAATCAAATTTCAATCAAAATTCATTAATTTCATGATCATTAATATTTGATTGAAAATTTTTAAAAAGAATATAAGTAAAATAATAGTTGGCTAGTCAAGACAAATAGTTAAGAAATGCAAAGCTATTAAATTTACAAGGAATGAAATACCAGTTTTAATGTTTATTTTTTTTAGCATTTTTGTGCTGAGAAGTTGGTTTAATCAAGCTGTTAGATTTGCTTATTTAGAGAAGAAAACAAACGTTACTGTTCAATAATTTATTATGTTGCTTACATTTACTGATTAAAAATATATTCTGCAAGTCTACCACTGATTACATTTGAAAAAGAAACTTATATTTTTTAAATATAAAATTGAATTAACAGATAGTTAAATAAATATGTCATAAACATGACATGTTTACCTGTAAAGTCTTGTATATTGACATCTGGATATCCATTGGTTTTCCTTTGACACCAAAGCAGCAATGCATCTTTAGCTGATTTTTTCTCACTGCTTTCATTCTCTTCATCAACATCAATCTCTATTTCTTGAATTTGGAAACGTAAAATGATTGTCCATATCAAACCCAATATCAATCGAGGATTTCCATCAACAATATCTTCAGCTCCTATACTTTCTAACCGTACCTGGAACATAAAAAATACATCAATTGTGCATTTTATCAAGGCTCCATCTGTTTGAAGACTATTTAGATATCAAATAATTGCCATAATTTATGAGATTTTCTAAATTACTAGTAATTTATCAATAAAAAGTCCAGATAAAACATCATAAAAAGACAATAAGTAAAGCTTTTTCTCAGTTGCGATAAAAGATGATGAGTTAAAATTTTTTTCTACATCATCTAAACTTAGAAGGAATATAAGAAACATAAATTTGATTTTGCCAAGCATGATTTCCTTATCATTAAGTACCGTTTAAACGAAGCTTTACATCATTACTGATTGACAAGAATTCTTCAAGTTTAATAACAGTAGCATAACAAAAACGAAATAACAAACCACGCCTGCGGTTTTTCATTAATGAATGATAGACGTTTTAAGAGATAAAAATATATCATTGCACTTATATATAGTATCACGGTAAAACGATGCACTAGATCTGAAGAGAATAACAGAGTCATGAGCAATTCAGACACATTATTCATACATGATTTTAATCTATACGCTCACGTAGTACACGATATTCTGTAATGCGTGGAATGCCGTTCGATTTACAAGACTTGCGCAAGGTCGTTGGTATTATAAACAATATACAATTTCAACGATTTTGTAATTTTTTTCAGGGTGATATTTATTATCAAAAGGTATTGATTAAAATAAATTGGTTTAAGAAATAATTTTAATTGTCATTTTTTTATTTATTTAGACAAGTATCTTTTGCAATACTATCTTAGACATAGGATAATAAATTTACTGATAATCTTATATTAATTTTAGATGCTCATATTTATAAATAAAAAATCATTTTTTAATTTGAAAATTTTTTTTGTTATTTTGCTTTCAATTATTCAAAAGATTTATTTATGCTTATTGTTACTGTTTATTTAATTATTTTTAGAAAACATTTGTAGATAAAAAAAACTTTTTCTAGATTTTACCATCATTTTGACTAATAAATAAATGTATCAATTATTTAAGTAGTCATCTAATTATGCATGGAATGTAGAAGTCAAAATTTGAATACATTAAATGTAAAAAATTTCAAAACTGACTAAAGTTATTGATTGATCCATAAATCAGTCACATTATCAATTGACTTGTTCAAGCCTTCTGACCATTTATTCATCATCATCAACATCATCGTCATCATCATCATCATAAAATATAAATAATTAAGTGACTGAGAATAAATGAAATATATAATAAAATCTTCTTCTTTTTTATCTCATGTTCTTGACTCTTGACTTTTTTTCAATCTTATTTCATTTGTGATTCAGTCATTAATATTTTTTGTTTAAAGTGATTCTCACAAGTTATATTAGAACACTCGTAATGTCGCTGACAGTGTGAAAAAGAATAAAATAATCACAGAAGCAGAGTGGACGTCGATTAAAAATGACATGACACAGTGTAATCCGTTACCTCGGCATGTTTGCATCTCGACCTTCGTAGTAACTAGCACCAGCAATCTCTGAACTGCATACGATCACGTTGAAAGACATTCTTGAACTCGTGTTAAGAATAAAGAATCAATATATTTTCTCGGTTAAATAACGGTACCTGATTAATTAATAAAAAATACGTCAAGTGACAGAGAATTTATCATATTTTGTCATCTACATCATCGCTAAATATATCGCACGGAAACACTTGAGAAATAAAATCATTACAAAATCGTGGGAAAAGCAATCACTTCTCTACAATTAAATTAAATGATTACTCTGCTCGAGAACTGAATCATTTTGATGAAGAATTTCAATTAAATTTTAGAAAAAAATATATTCAAATATTTTAAATTAATTATTCTAAAGAATTTGTAATTAAACTATTTTAATTAATTTATATTTTTATACTACAAATAAGTCTTTTAATTATTAATATAATTTGATTTAATACCTGCTATAATGTAACATTAACATTCAATAAAATTAAAAAAAATTTCATTTACTGTTTAATGAATGAGCATAAAATTCACGCCAAGTGATTCTTCCTTTACAATTCAATTCAATAATTCCCAAGGTCAATATTAAAAATTTTTTCTCTCAGATTTAGTGTTAATATACTTTTAAAATTTATTTTAATTGATGTAATAACTATCTCAATAAAGAATAAAAATTCCAAAAGTCTTAATAATACGAACATTATTAATAAATGAGTTATCAAAAAAAAATTTATATATTTTTTTTAAGCAAAATAAAATTTTTTGTGCAAATAAAAATGTTGATTTAATTTTTTTCAACATTAATAAGCACTCATGAACAACCATAAATTACTTTTAAGCTGATAAATGAATCAAAATAGAAATAAAAGACGAGAAAAAATCTTGAAAATGTCATAGTGAAAAAAAAATGTCTTGACAAGTAATTTTTTCCTACAAATTTTCCATTCTCTTGAGCGAAAAATTTCTTATCTCTCAACGCATACATTAACTACTGTAACCGATTAATTGTCGATGATTAAATGTAATAATTGATAATATGAATAAATAATTGAATATATTGACCCAGTATCTTATGTAATCAGAGTTACAGGTTTACCTACACTACATGAGGTATATGGGAATCGCATTCTTGAGAGAATTAGCACAGCATACTCAACAGAGAGACTCCTACGTGGCGTACGTTCTCTTTCGATAGTCCGGTCACCGGCACCAAGCATCGGTTGCAGTGAGAGTCATCGAACTGAGTACATTCTTTACTTTTATTTTCCATCTTATACCGATGTAAAGAGAAATATTGTCAGCTGGTGATGTTATGGTCGCTTAAAATTTAATCCTTAAGTTAATCAGCTAAGATATTTCTATTGTATAATTTTATCCGATAACCACTCGTCCGATCGACTATCTCTCATCGACTCCCGCAACACAGTACTCACGAGGTAACCTCAGGGCGTTCTCTTCAGGTACGCATAGCGGTTTTCCAATGGCATTGCCTGCTGCTCCTGCTGCTGCCTTGCATTCTTTGCAGGCCAGGAAATGTCGATCGATGGAATGTGAATGACACTAATCGAATGCATTTATATATATTTACTTTATTTTAAATATTTTTTTTTTTTCATTCTTACTTATGATTAATCCATAGTATTTTTATTTTATGATGATTGATTTTATATTAGATTCATTTGATAGAGATCTAATATTATGCTTTCTATTGTTTTATTTTTTATGATCTTTATTGATAGACTTTAATTAGATTGATTTACAAGTCAGCTGTTTTTATTATCATTTTCTGTATTTTAATTTATGACTCATTCAAATATATAGATTAAGACTGTTTCTTAATCCTACTAATTCTTTCCTTTAATCCTCTATTGTTTATCAGAAATTGTTTCAATACTTTTTATGATTAATTTTAATAATATCTTTATCTTCTTAATCCTTCTCGATAAATATTGAACAATAAAAATATTCATTTTATTCCATTTTTTACTTTTTGAATTTTTATTATATTTTTATTTTTGGAGTAAAATCTATCTTAAATGATTTCCAATAATTTATTGATATTTTTATTGATCATTCATTCTTTTTTAACTACTGTAATTTTTTATTAGCTCATATAATTCGTTATTATTCTCAATAATGAAATTTTTATGAGATTCTATAGATTTTATTATCGAATTTATTACTAAAAAAAAATTTTAGAAATATTTAAATTTAATAATCTAAAAATAATATCTTGAATGAATTCTTTGTGTACCAAAATAAATACATACTAAAATGGTGAAATAAATATATTTTATAGTTCCTGTAAAATTTCAAAGGGTTAATAGTAGTGAGAGAACTTGTCAAGTTTATATGTATAAAAGAGAACACGTGTGGTTTTACTAGAGACACCGTAAATGGCTGAGAAATATAAGGCTGTGTATAAAGATGACGATAAGCAACTCCTTTTTTCTCGGGTTAGATTCTCCGTTAGAACCCGCTGGTGCAAACAGCTTCTTGTTATTTTATGACAAGCCTTCACTAGCATTCGGTACTCGCGTGTCGATTCCATCATTTAACGTGCACGTTAAGTTCATGTACAAGTCTTTAACTCTTTTACACTCACAATATCAGTGTAAAGTAACGTGCACTACTCTTCCTCGTTATATTCTATGTTATTGGCAGCCATTAAATTTATCTATCTTCATTTTTCCTATTTCAAGATGACCATTACATCCTTGATGTTACATCAAAAAAATTTATCAGGAATTTAGACCAAAAAAGGGGCCACTGCTTTCTCTTATCAATTCAGAAGTGGAAAAAAATGTAAGAATTGAATCATCAAGAGGCTTACAAGTTACAAGTAGAGGAAGAAGATGAGGATCATCGATATACAGGTTTGATGACTAAGCAGAAATGTCGACCTTATATGTTATGTAGCTTTGAGACTCTAGAGAAAAATACTTTTCACTTTATTAATGAGGGGTATCTTAATATTTAATATAGTTAATCATTTCATTATTTATTTCTTTTATCTATTTTGTTTGAATCCATTTAGAAATGTCTATATTTTTTTTCTTCTAAGCTGGTTAAATTGTTTGTCTATGATGAAAAGATTAATCTTTATTATTTTTTATTTTTCAAAGACTTTATTTGAGAAGTTGACTGACCATTAAATTAGATGTAGAATGACTGATGTGAGGTCATTTATAAATACCAAAAAAAAAAAAAAATTTTCTTATAAATGGATTTGAACTGAAAATAATTTTCACTTTATTAATAATGTGTATTCTATGATTTGACATAGATAATCATACAACAATTAATTATTTACCCTCTTAAAAACAAATAAAATTTCTAATTTTTAAATGATTCTTTGATCAATTCATAAAAATTAATTTTTTCTTTAAAATAACTTCTAATAGTCTAATATCAAAAAAAATTATTTGTGTATCAAAAAAAAAAAAAAAATATTAAACTCGTAAATATTAATTTTAATAATAAATATATCATTTTGGAGTAATTGAAAGCAAAAGAGGACAAG